GAATAGCTGTATTTCAAATGCTTGGTAACCATATATACCTACCTTGGGCAGTGCAATTGTAGGATCACTAATAGACAAATAGTAAAATAAAATGTGTACATTCCATCCAGCACATGCAAAAATAAAATGGAATAACAAAAATAATCATTCTGGAAGACAGGAAGAGAAAAAGGAATGTAGAACAAGTGAAATAAATAGCGAACGCAAGCATGTTGGTAGATTTTTAAACCCCAATATACCAGTAAGTATAGTAATAAAGACAAATATCATTTTACTTGAAATAATACCCAATTACTTGCAGCTGAAGACACAGCTAAAACAACAATACAGAGAAGTTGAAAGAAAAAGGATTGAAAAGTCTATCCAATGCAAATGTCAATCTAAAAAAATTGATGTAACTGTATTAATATCTGAATAGGTTTTAACGCAAAAAACATATCTGAGAAAATGGTGGATGCCTTATAATGAAAAATGGTTCAGTTAGTCAAGAAAATTCAAAGATTTTAAGTTTTCAGTAACACGGCCTGAAAATAAATCAAATCAAAATCTGTAGAGTTAGAAGTCATAGAAACCCCCAATGAATAGTTGGGGAATTTTAATATTTCTCTTTGTAAGAGAAAAAGATATTAACATACACAAAAGAATCAATTATGTAAAATATAAGAGCAACACAATTAAATTGGATCTAGTAGATTTATATGAAATGTTGTACCCAGTAACTACAATATACATGTTTTTTTCAAGGATGAAGCATATACAAAAGGGTCAGATTTGTTTATAAAGCAAATCTTAGCATGTTTCAAAGGATTGAAATTATAGTGAGTCTGTTTTCTGATTACAAAGCCAAATAAGTCAGAAATTATTAATTAAAAAATAAAGATATTAGGAAAAAGGCTAAAAAACCAATTATCAAATCCATTATGAGAAACTAGAAAAAGAAGCACACACACCCTGTAATCCCAGTAGCCTGGCAATTTAGCAAGACCCTTTCTTAAAAAATACAAGGGTTGGGAATGTCGTTTGGTGGTAGAGCAACCCTGGGTTCAATCCTCAGTACTGCCGAAAAAAGAAAAAGAACAACTTAATTTTTCACTTTTAGTTCATTTAGCCCAAATGAAATAGAAGAAAGTAAGTAATAATAGAGCAGAAATTATTAAATTAGAAAAACAAGGTACAGCACAACAAAGCCAAAATATTGTACTTTGAAAACATGAATAAAATTAATAAACTTTTAAGATAAAAAGAAGGCTCAAATAACTTCAGGAATGAAAAGAGGAACCTTATCAGTATAACTTTTAATGTCATTAAAAAATCATGAAAGGATACTGTGTATAAAATATGCCAATAAATGAAAATTTTAATAAATGATCCTTTTTTTCTGATAAATGAACCAAATTAAATTAGAGGGTGGGATATAGCTTAATGATAGAAGTGCATGCCTAGCATGTACAGGGCCTTTAGTTTCCTAATTCCTCTTCACCACTGGGGGGAAAAGGAATTAGGAAACACCAAATGTGCTGTAATTATTAAGGAATGATTTCATAATAAAAGTGTTCTCTAAAAGGAAACTTTGGACTCAGATAGTTTTCTCAGAGTCTTTCTAAACATTAATGAAAAAAACCCCACCCAAACCTTTGCATAATTACTTAATTATGGAAATATTTGAGTTTGCAACTCTTACCTAAGTTAATGTCTGACACATTTTAATTATCTGGTTCTGTAACATGATGTTACTAAAATTAATTTCTGTAGTGTTTTTTTCTCATTCCTTCATTCACAAATTCTGGACAATCTTTTGAATGTTAGATGCTGTATGTGAAACTTTTGCTATACACAGATCAAGAAAATATATATCTGGTCATCCTGAGGTTTACACCTAATGAAGGAGACAGATGTTTACACAAAAATTGTTCAGTTTAGTATGAAAAGTATTATAGTAAATAGAAGTAGAGGTGTTTGAGAAAACAGAAGGTCATCAAATTGCTTAGGACAGGCCAAGAAAGGCTCTTCTAAAGACAGGTGATATTTGAGTGAGCCTTGAGTGGAAGGTGTTAATATATCAGGCAGAGGGAGATGTTACATTTAGGAGAGTTTAACAGATGTATAAAAGCCATGAGAACCTTGCTTATTGAGGAATATATGTGTAGTTTAGATGACAGTATGGAAAATAAGAAAAGAAGGTAAGGACTTATCATTAAGAAGCTTGTATATTATGTTAAAGATAAATGGAGTATTTCTAGTCTTATAAGTGGAAATATAACATGGTCAAATTTTTATTTTATAATTATTATTCCAGTTTTTCTTTAGAGAGATTGAAATGATGTAAGACTGGAGGCAGGGAAACTGGTTACAAGGTTGTTGTTATAGATAGGCAGATAAAATGATGAGAGCCTAAACTAGAAAAGAGGCAATAGAAATAATGAATGAAGATGTAAAGGCTTTGATTTTTTGGCATAGTTGGCAAGCTTTTGTTTCTGGCACTAAATCGACAGTGTTGTTTATTTTTTATGATTATTTTTTATTCTTGGTAGATAGTCACAGATGTAAATGCAAATTTAGGAGGTTCAATATTTTGAAAAGGAGGAAGAGGAACTTATTCAAGATCACTCACATGGGAAATTGATACTCATGTTGATTATTTTTCTTATTGTGCATTATGCTGAAGGCCCTGAAGGCAAATAATAGTTATTAAGCTGACCCACAGATGAACTCCGATCTATTATGAATGGATGACTATATTTAAAATTGTTCATAAGCATTTTCATTGAATGGAACATGTTAGTAGTAGAAAAATTGTGCTTTACTGAGTTCCTGATACAAAAAATTCCCATCAAAATTCCTAACCTTATAGTTTTCTTGGGGAGGAGATTTAAAAAATTATAGACATGGAGTTTCTTTAGTTTCTTGAGGAGATACATATTTGGTATCAACATGGGAAGACAAGGAAATCAGTTTTGCTAACTTTGTTTTTAAAAGTATCTGCAATTTGGGCTGGGGATGGTGGCTCAAGTGGTAGCGCGCTTGCCTGGCATGCGTGGTGCCCAGGTTCGATCCTCAGCGCAACATACAAACAAAGATGTTGTGTCCGCTGAAAACTAAAAAATAAATATTAAAAAATTCTCTTTCTCTCTCTCTCTCTCTCTTTAAAAAAAAAGTATCTGCAATGAGTCTTTTCTTTATTGAATATTCTATATTAAGCTAGTAATCAACAGTACTTTTATAAAGCCAGGAATACTTTTTTATTTGCCTTGTCCTTTTTACTCTTACTCAATGTTCTGAACATTTACTCTTACTCATGTAAATTTTGTTAACATTATGACATGTTATTTTGAGGAGATACCCAAAGCGCTTAAAATTTGTGAGGACCATTTTTTTTTTTAAATGCAGCTTACACGAATAATTAAGCAACTATTAAGACTCATTGTGTAAGTAAAATTATGAACAAAACTTCCTTTCTGGAAACATTTTTCAATGTATGATTATTAACAGTATGTATTATGGTGGTTTTCATATCTCGGCTAGGAAGAATTCTGAGGTGTGAATACTTAGCTTGGGAGTCAAATCCTGAAGAAGCAGAAGTTATCTTTTGCCTAGTCACTAATGGACATCTAAACTTATATCTAAAAAACATGAAGTGAATTATATTCCTGAATCTAATTTTAATTTGTTTATTCCTAAGAATTAAGATTAAGAGATTTAGTGTAATTCAATTTCCATGTTTTGTTTATATAAAAAAAACCTTAGAATTTAAATTTAGTGAATTCATTTGTGTTGTTTTCTAAATTTCACTTGAAATGGTATCTTGTTGACTCTGCCAACAGTTCCCATTTCATTCTACCTTTATGGAGCTAAGGTGTGTGTGTTAATCATTTTGGTAAGTTTAATCAAGCTAAGATATTGGTGTTAATCACATGCGTGTTACCTAGAAAAAGTAGTTGTCTATTTCATCCTGTGTATGGTCCCTTTAAATGTTTAGCTTATTTTATTGGGCAGAATTCTTGATGATATGACTTCTATAAAATTGCTAATACGTGAAAATTCATATACATAAATTTAATTCAATAATTTATTTTCAGTTATTACTATTGGTTTGTTTTCTTTTATAAAATCAAGAGCTTTTTATGCTGTGTTGTTTGGCATATCATTTTAAAATTAAATCAGCCATTTTATAATACCAACTATAGGGTATAGCATAGCTTTCAAGGCTTTGTCTTTTGCTCATCTAATTTCATTGTTTACTGTTCTTCAAACTGTTCTTGCATTTGTTTGTGATTTGGAGATTATTATTTTGTTTTAGACTGTAATGCTAGTTAATGTTACTTTTGCTCACCTACACATTCTAATTCATTCTTTTTTTTTTTTAAAAAACTATTTATTATTTATTTTTTGGCGGACACAACATTTTTGTTTATTATGTGGTGCTGAGGATCGAACCCGGGCCGCACGCATGCCAGGCGAACGCGCTACCGCTTGAGCCACATCCCCAGCCCCCTAATTCATTCTTTAAGGCTTATTTTAGTGTGGTCCATCCTTCTGTATTTAGTGTTCTGCATAGGCAAAGTTAGGAGCTCTGTCCTACGTTCCTTTGTCATGCTATACCTCCATCTATTCTGGTAAATAATAGCTATTATTTATTACCATATTAGTTTCTTAATAGCAGTGTTCTGAACAATTTGAGGACTGGGTTTGTGTCTGAAGATTTCTATCCCCAAGAATGAGTAGATATTTAAATTGTTTCCAAAGAATAAAGAAAGCATGATAAATTAGCAGCAAAAAGAATCTGACATCTATTTGGAAAGATTGAAAGATTTCAAAGTTACCCCTTTTGGCTGGGTAGAGCAGGGTGCTTAGAAACCTTGGCATTCTCTGACTTTGAATGTGCCATTTAAGCAGTATTTTGCAGATGGTTTGTTTTTGTTCTGAAGATGCTGAAATCACTTTAATTGAAATTTCTTATGTTGTTACACCTTCTAATTTATTTATTTATTTTTTAATTTTAGGAAACACTCCTTTACATCTTGCTGTGATGTTAGGAAATAAAGGTTAGTAAATATTTTTCTTTTTATGTTTAACTTTCTTCACTTGTGAAGGCAGTTTAAAATTTTCAGTTTTGTCACTTGAGTTTTTAAAAAATTAACTTGCTTTTCTTGTATTTGAGCTTAGGATTTAACATATTAAAGTTAATATTTTTTTTTCCACTTTTTATAGTCCTTTTTAAAAAGAGAAGTCTTGTACTAACCTTCATGTCACTTAAATCTTTCTTTCAGCTGGGGATGTGGCTCAGTGACAGAGTGCTTGCCTAGCATGTGCAAGACCCCAGGTTAAATCCTCAACTCTGAAAACAAACAAACAAACAAAAAAACAAATAAAACTTTCTTTCCCTGAGTTACTTTATCAAGCAGGTGTTTATAATTTTAGAAGACTCCTATTTCCAAATATTAAGGTTTATTAAATATTGTAAAACTTTTAATGTCTTAAAATACCTAATAAAAGTACTAAGTATTTATAATTAGTAAAAACTAATAGTAATTTATAATTAGTATAAGTATTAATTTATATAATATGAAATATTAAATGTAATAATAAATATTTTGAAAATTCATATTTAAGATCATAAAAATTAATATATTATAAAACATTAATATGAAATATTTTATATATCTGAACTCCAGAAGTTGATTCTTCTTTATGATAGATAATTGTAAAAACTTGAGACATGTTTGTTTTTTAGTTAAAAAAATACTTTGTAGGCAGGTGATTTAAAAAATCTACTTCTGTATATTATTCCTATACGCAATACCATTTCCATTACCTGGATTCCCAGTTATTTTGGAAAGTGAGGATTCTAAATAGCCGATTGGCAATTTTCTGAATGCTAGATTTAAAAACTTTAAATATTTGATGAAAATATTATTAAAAATATACTCTTGCATCTGGGCATGGTGGCACATGGTATAACCCCAGCAATTTGTGAGTCTGAGGCATGAGGATCTTTAGTTTCAGGCTCGCCTAGGCAGCTTAGCAAGACCCTATCTCAAATTTTTAAACAGGGACTAGGGTGTAGCTTATTGGTAGAGTACTCCTGGGTTCAATCCCCAATACTGGGGGAAATTTTTTTCTGTATTTTTAAACAGACTAATGAATTTCTTTTAACATTTTTCCTTTTAATTATTTAGAAGTATCATTATGAATATCTCTTATTGTCATATGGTGTAATGTAACTGTATAAACATTTGACCAATGCCTACTGACCTAAGGGTTGTTATTAGAACCTGTTTTTTTTTTTAATTGAAAATTAAAGTTCTTTTGTTAGTTTGTGTGTGTGTGTGTGTGTGAGAGAGAGAGAGACACACACACACACACACAGGGGATTGAACCCAGGGCCATCTTTTTTTTTTTTTTTTTTTTTTTTTTAGAGAGAGAGAGAGAATTTTTAATATTTTTTTAGTTGTCGGCGGACATAACATCTTTGTTTGTATGTGGTGCTGAGGATCGAACCCGGGCCTCACGCATGCCAGGTGAGCACCCTATTGCTTGAGCCACATCCCCAGCCCCCAGGGCCATCTTATGCATGATTCTTGGCAAGTGCTTTACCACTAGCTATATCCTCAGTCGGTTAGTTTTTTTTTTTTTGTTAGTTTCGTTTTTAAGTTCATCACATGTTTAAGTGAATCATAAGATCTGTAGGATTATTTAATTTTGATTTTAATTCTATATTAATTGGTGATTTAAATATTTAACTTCAATATGACTTTTCTTATATGAGTTACAGATTCAGTTATAACTTCTCAGTAAAGAGATAATAATAAGATGCTATATATTATAGAAACTCAAGAAATGGGGACCAGCCAGGTCTCAGCAAGATAAAGAACCAAGATGTTTTGGGGATCATCCATTCTCCTATCTGCTCATTTCCCTATTTATCATCTGTCTCTTATGGTATATCTGCTGTCTTTACATATCTTATATCTTTCTTTCCTTGGATCCTAAGTTTTTTTTTTTTTAAGAGAGAGAAAGAATTTTAATATTTATTTATTTATTTTTTAGTTTTCGGCGAACACAACATCTTTGTTTGTATGTGGTGCTGAGGATCGAACCCGTGCTGCAAGCATGCCAGGCAAGCGCACTACTGCTTGAACCACATCCCCAGCCCCTGGATCCTAAGTTTTAATGACTTTTTAGGTTCAGTATTTACCACCAACTTGTTAGGTTTCTTAGGTTTCCAAATTTTTGAGCAAAGAGTTTGCTGGTCTAGTTCATCTCAAGCCAAGCTATTAAGAAATGGGTGCTGGCAAACTCATGAATTATCTGGCTTTGAGATAGATATTCTGTGAATTTCGCTTTGGTTAGGCTCACTTGGAGTGAGAGATGGGGTAGGAGAGGAAATCAGGATAGTGTGTTTAATAGGAAAATGGGCAAAGCAGGCCATGATAGACATCTCTAATATAGCTACTTTGCTGAAAATACATCAGATGTAGTTGACTAAATTTGATCAATTAAAAACTTATGGTAGGGCTGGGGATGTGGCTCAAGCGGTAGCGCGCTCGCCTGGCATGCGTGCGGCCTGGGTTCGATCCTCAGCACCACATACAAAATAGAGATGTTGTGTCCGCCGATAACTAAAAAATAAATATTAAAAAAATTAAAAAAAAAAAAAAACTTATGGTAGGCTGGGGTTGTAGCTCAATAGTAGAGAACTTGCCTCACACTGGGTTTGATCCTCAGCACCACATTTAAGGAAAAAAAAAAAGGTTAAATTCTAAAAAAAGAAAACTTACACTTTTTTTGGAAAGAACATTGGATCAAAACTTTAGAAAATAACTAAAGTATATTTGTTATTTATAATATGCCAGATACTTTTTTCTAGTACTTTGTACATATTAACAACCCTTACACAACCATATCCCATGTTGCCTTATTTTCCAGGGGACAAATATTAGCCCTAAGAAATTAAGCAACTTGTATAGAATAAAGTAGCAGAATTTTGATTTCAGCTTGGAATGTTGAACCTTTATTTATGGTATACTGGATGGTATACTGCATTGCCCTCGTTTCACTCAGAACTGCTGAAAAAGTGTATAGTTGGGCTAGGGATGTGGCTCAAGTGGTAATGTGCTCGCCTGGCATGCGCCAGGCGCTGGGTTCGATCCTCAGCACCACATAAAAATAAAATAAAGATGTTGTGTCCACCGAAAACTAAAAAATAAACATTAAAAAATTCTCTCTCTCTCTCTCTCTCTCTCTCTCTCTCTCTCTCTCTCTCTTTTAAAAAAAGTATATAGTCTATGTCAATATTAGAATTTAGTTTTGGGTAGGCTCGCATGCAGCTTGCCAGTTCAGATGCTATTTTAGAATGTGAAATGAAACTTATCTACTATCTCTGGTATAGTTATTCTAATTTTAGATGTATGTATTGTTATGCATTTAATCTACACATGTTAACCTTCTCTAAAATGCATTTCATTAAACATTAGTTTCTTGGGATATTACTAGGCAATTAGAGGAAAAGAGTTTCCAGGTCAGCTTGATTTGAAAAATATCAGGCTAATAAAAGTTTAGCATTTTTTGCTGGATATGGGGGCACATGTCTATAAATCCAGTGGGTTGGGAGGCTGAGGCAGGAGGATCAAGACTCTTATAAAAAAAAAATGATAATAAAAAGGGTTGGAGATGTGGCTCAGTGGTTAAGTGCCTCTGGGTTCAATCTCTACTACCAAAAAAAAAAAAAAAAGAAAGAAAAAGTTTAAGTTTTCTTTATGGTAGAACTTGTTATAATTTTGATATGCTAATAGTCATTATGAAGTTCCAAGTTGTAGCAAGTGTTAGTTATACTAGTCATTGTTTCCTAGTTATTTCATGTTTGTTCTTTTTCAGCATCTGGAGAAGACTAACGTTCTATGGGATGTATTTTAGGAAGCACTTGGTTAGATGATTCAGGTTGTACAAATAATGTTGGTATTTATTCTTTCTGAGTCTTTTTCATGTAGGGTAGGCACCACAAATAATATACAGATCCATTTACATTTTTTCAGTTGTGTGCCCCTTTGTGCTTTTTTTTTTACTTGTTGATAGACTTTTATTTCATTTATTTATATGCGGTACTGAGAACCGAACCCAGTACCTCACACATGCCAGGAAAGTGCGCTACCACTGAGCCCCAACCCCTCCTTGCCCCCCCAGCCACTCCCACTTCCCTTTGTGTCTTTATCTTTATTGCCTTTTTATGTTTTGGATATTGGGTTCTACATTGGAATGTGTAATAGAGGATAAAACATCTACTTTCTTAGTTCTTTTATATTATACCATTTTTAGTTTATGACACTTATTTTTTTAACACTCTTATTTCTTAGTTCTTTTATACCATTTTTAGTTTATGACACTCTTTTTTTTAACACTCTTATTCTTTTATCTTCTCCTTTTGAGATATCACTTTTTGTTTATATACTTATTTGTAAACATAGCCCCCCAACCATTCAGATAATTATTTGTTGATTGAGGAAAGGAGAGAGAGATACATTAAGGTTTTTACATTTTTATTTACTCCCCTTCTCTCGTTCACTTTGATATACTGAATAACCTTATTTTTTCACCATGGAAGTCTGATTTTTTAAAATTTCTGGGTCTTTAAAGTTGGTTGTGTTGTCTGGGAGGTTTCTAAATTATGAATTTGAGTGGAAATAAAGAACATATTTAATTAAGGAAGATTTCAGAAATCTTTAGGAGATAAAAATTGAAAACTAATCTTTAATTCTTATCCTTTTGGTTAGAATCAAATTTCTAGGTCCATTGACTAAAGTTGGCTATATTGCCTGGGAGGTTTTTGAGCTATGGATTTGGGCGGAAATGAAAAAATCACACATTATTTTTTTTTTTTTTTTTAGTTGTAGATGGACACAGTATCTTTATTGTTTGTTTATTTTCATGTGGTGCCTCACATGTTCGAGGCAAGCACTCCCTGAGCCACAACCCTAGCCCCAACATCACACTTTATTAGGGAAGATTTCAGAAATCTTTAGGAGATGAAATCAAAAACAAATCTTAAATTTTCATCCATTGGGTTAGAAACATCAGAAAATGTTTCTTTAAATCCATTGCTTCAACTTTTAATTCATTATCAGACTTTTGTATAGTTTTAATTTTTTTAAATGTCTAGAATTAGAATAGCTTCTCACTTTCATGAGGATCTCTCTAGATCTTCTGTTATGTTTCCAACTATTCTATTCCACCTATCTATTCTTTGTATATTTTATCATCCTTATAGCTCTTGCTTGTTTCTGTGTGATTTCTATCATTAGTAATTTCAGTTTGTCTATATTCCTCAAATCCTGGATTCTTTCTGGCAGTATGCATTTCTTAAGCCCAGTTAGTTGCTAACTACCTGTTTTATCCAGTTCTTTTTTTAAAAACTGTGTAAGAATATTTTATAGGTAATTGGCATATCTATGACTATCTGATTTCATTAGTTGCTCCTCAATTGGTTTATGGCTGGTGAGTGGAGAGCACCGCTTCTACAGGTTTTGTGGCATATTAAACATGTCTAGCATAATATATAAATCTTACACTAATCCTATACCTTAGTTTATACAACTGGGATGTTGCTTTAATTATTGTTGTGTATCCTGCTTTTTAATATTTTAAAATTAAAAATATTTTGCTAATAATTGTTTGGTTATTAACACACACATATTGAAATAATTGAAATAATACAGTACAGAATTATATAAGAGCATCTTCTTTTTCCAAGGTAATTAACATTTATGGCCTGAGGGTATCCTTCACACCCTACACTCCTTATTTATAACAAAGGGGTTTAGTTTGCATTCACTGAGAAAGAATCACTACATTAGAAACTTATTGTAATTTTTTTTCACTCAGTTCTGTTATGAGCTGTCCCTACAAATCCATGGATATCTTCCATGTTTGCAGTCCCTTGTCTTTTTTTGATATTTTTAGATATATATGACAATAGATTGTATTTTGATATATCATACATACATGAACCTTATCTTTTTTCTCTAATACATATACGCATGACTAAATAAAACCCAGTAGTAGTTCTGTTGTGGGGAGGGCCTTTTTAGTTTTTATTTTTTAAAATTCTTTTTAGTTTGACTCTTCATCATTCTTCTCCCAATTAAAATGATAACCCATGTTAAAACTTGTTATATATTCTTTCACTTTTTTTTGTTGTTGTTGGCCATGCTTACTGTTGTATGTGGTTAATGCATATGTGTCTGAACACACAAGGTGTGTAATTTTTGTTTATTTTAGTAAAATGGGATTATAAAATGCCCTTGTATTTAGTAGGTAAGTTGTATCATTTAGTAATACATTGTAAAAATCCTTTAATTCTGTTGGGATAGTTTTAATTCATTTCTTTTTGATTTTTTAAAAAACATCTTTATGTCGTTTTTCTCTTTCAACATTTTATTATGAAAAATCTTAAATGCAAAAAATTGAAAGATTATCACAATGAATAGTGAAACACTCTTTAATTGTCTCAGTAATCATCAATATTATATCATATTCGATGTATCTTTCTTTGTGTTTCATATATTATTTTTGCAGTACTTTTTGAAAATTAAGTGTGGATATCATCTCATTTTATCCCTACATATGTTAGCATATGGAATAAGGACATTCTCTTTCATAATCATGTTATTACTATTACATGGAAGAAAATTAATAATATTGTTATAATATCTCATAGCCAATATGTATTCAAATTTCTCCAGTTGTTCCCAGAATGACTTTTATAGATGTTTTATATTAAAATAAGACCCACTGAGGCTCATTCATTGCTATCATTCATTGTGTTTCTCCCTTTTGTGCCTAACATTTTGAAAAGTCTTATACAGTAGACTTGTAGAGTGTTCTTAATCTTGAATTTGCCTGATTATCTTGTAGTGTTATTTAACTTGTGTCTGCCTTTTGTATAAATTGAAAATTAGCTTTTGGGGGCATGTGTAGATTAAATGTTTCTGCAAAGAATACTTCACAGGTATGTGATCCACTTTATATTGTGTCACATTAGGACACACATAGTGTTAGATTATTCCACTATTAATGCTACTAAATTTGCCCACTTGTTTCATAGGGATCTCTAGATACATCCACTAGAAAAGAGCTTTTTTCTTATTGTAATTAATAAAAAGTCTTGGTGATACTTTAATACCATGTGAATATCTTATTTTGCAGCACATAATTTCTTACTTAGTTGCTTTAGAATTCATTGAGATTCTTTCCTAAATTAGTTATTATACTGGGTGCTCTAATATATTAATTTTCCACTTTTACCATTTATTAAGCTGGCATTACATTATTCTGTAAAGAAAAATTCATCACCTTTTAATTTTTATTGTCAGTTTATTTTTCTTTCAATGTACTCTAAATAGTTAGTAGTTAGTATTGTTTTTGGTTCTCAGTTTCTCAAATCTGACCAGTAACTCAACATTCAAGCGGTCTCCTCTGTTCTTTTGGTATGACTTGATTCTTTAAAAATTACTGCATATTACTCCAGTAATATAACTGCAACATAGGTTTATTATTATCCCACAATGGACATTTTTGTTTTCAGTATATTTACTACTACAAATATTAAAATAAACAAATAAACATTTTTATATGTATATTTTACTTAAAAAACACCTCTGAAAGTTCTGTATTTATTTTATTTTATTTTATTCTAATGAAGTTTCTTGTTAGTATAGGTATTATTTCTATTACTAGGAATAGTGCTAATGGAGTGCCATTCTTCTGAAATTCACCTTTTGCCCTCCTATACCACACTATCATAATGTTTTTATTTCCTTTAAAGCATTTTTTATCATATTCTTTTTCTTTTTCTTTTTTAATTTACTTATTTTCTGACATAGGATATAAGCTTTCTGATAGCAAAACTTTGTTTTCCTTCTTCATTGTTTATATCTAGAACCTTGTAATTAAAGATGGCCATATAGTAGGCACTTGATTGAATGAATGAGTATGGCTATACTACCTAAATTTACTATGAGTCTCAGTTTTAAATGTTTTTTTTTTTCCTGTTAATACACTTTAATTTTTAATTTTTTTTCAGCTTTTGTAAAGATCTATGCTTAGACTTCTTTTGATTACTTAGAGAACTTTCCACATTTGTCCTTATGATCATGTAACATTTTGCCCTTTTTTGGGTGTTTTTTCCCAAACTAAAATATTTATAAAACTTGAAAAATAAGGCTTTATGGAAATGTTACTGATTATATTTTTTCAAAAGCACTTTTTTTCCCCCCTTGAAATAACGAGCTTTACATTTGACATTATAGATGTACAAATCCTCTCTTTGGTCTTATTCAGTAGTAGATACTTGGTTGTACTTTTGTACTTTATTCTTGAGGTTTGTAGTTTATATTTTAGAGGATGGAAACATTCTCAAAATACTCCGGGAAAAAAATTACTAGGAAACATAATACTTGCTTTGTAGAGCAATCCAATTTATTTTTAGGTAGTAGAATGGTGCTTTTGAATCTGGAGATTTGAAATTATTTGGTTTAGATACATAGGATATTTAAAAATTATTTAATTTTATAAAGTATAGTATTTTACAGATTTATTGGTATTAATTTGACTTATTAAACTTCAACATGGTTTTTTATTTATCTTTAAAATTTATCTTTAAAATTACATGATGTTTGATTATTACTATTCTTTTATTGCAGAATGTGCCCATTTACTTTTGGCTCACAATGCTCCAGTAAAGGTGAAAAATGCTCAGGGATGGAGCCCTCTGGCAGAAGCCATCAGCTATGGAGACAGACAGATGAGTAAGCAATATGAATTACTGTTGTTGATAAATATTCCAAAAATACAAAGTGAAGTATTTGAGATATTTTTCATTTAGTGTTATTTTTCCATACTACAAACCTTGAAGTTAAATCTGTAAAATTATATGTGAATTATTCATGACTTAGGAACTTGAACATTGAAAACTATACAAAAAGAATTGAGGAACCATGTTTAAAAGTATATTGTTTATAGATGGGCATGGTGGCACCCACCTGTAATACCAGGAGTTTGGGAGACTGAGACTGGAGGGTCACAAGTTCGAGGCCAACCTAGGCAACTTAGTGAGACCCTGTCTCAAAAATAAAATAAAAACATCTGGGCATCTATTTCAGTGTTAGAGTGCCTGTTGGTTCAATCCCCAGTGTTGTTATTCTGAATAAAAGAATCCTTGAAAGTCACAAAAATCTCACAGTGGGTAAGAAACCCAGGAGCCCATAGAGTTTCTCTTCACTCTAAACTGGTTAGAAAAATCAGTATGTAAAATAAGCCAGTTGTGTTTTCTAGCCTGGCAAAAATTACTTTAATTTTTTTTTTCCCCATTTCAACTTTAGTTACAGCTCTTTTAAGAAAGCTTAAGCAGCAATCCAGGGAAAGTGTTGAAGAAAAACGACCTCGATTATTAAAAGCCCTGAAAGAGGTAAGCTATATTTCTTTGCGGATTTTGCACCTAAAGAGTAATTGAAAGTGTGATTTTAAGCATTTTTAATAAATTCTAAATTTTTACTGCTGGTTAAGGATTAATAAAGGGTAAGAAGCATGTTCAAATTAAGCAGTAATTGAAATAACAAAATATTGTGATTATAAGTGTAATCTAAGAAGCACCTACTTTCTTTGAATTAAGAAAATAAAGATTTATTACTTTTTAGTAAATTAGATAAGTAAGCAAAAAGGAGGTGCATCATAATTAATGGCAATAATTTTCCTTTGTGCTTTGGATTAGAAGATTCTATAATAGCTGAATATGATGCTGCTAAAAGGAGCAATTTGTGTTTTATTTATGTAACAATAAAGTTTTGTCCATGCTGTCTCAGAGTGGTTAGAGTTGATTGTGCTGGCACAGAAGAGAGAGATTTGTTTTCTGTTTTTGTTCTCTTCCTTTGTATTTTTTTAAATATCTTTGTTTTATTTATTTATTTTATGTAGTGTTGAGGATCAAACCCAGTGCCTCACGCATATGAGGCAAGTGCTCCACCTCTAAGTTACAACCCCAGCCCTTCTTCCTTTGTATTTTTTTTAACTTGTTTTAATTAGTTACACATGAAAGTACAGTGATCTTGACATAGCATACATTTGAATCATATGGGGTATAATTTCTCATTTTTCTGAGTGTACAGGTTGCAGAATCATATTGGTCATACAGTCTCATATATATATACAGCAATAGTAATGTCTGTTTTATTCTGCTGTCCTTCCCTTTCCCCTTTCCCCTCCCCTCCCCTCCCATCACTTCTCTCTACCCAATCTAATGTGACACACTTCTTTTTTTTTTCCCCCCTCACATCATCATACATGTATTCTGTATAACGATGAGAGTCTCCTTCCATCTTCCATACAATTCCCCTTCTCCCTCCCTTTCCTTCCCATCTCTCTTCCCTATTTGGTGGTAATTTTCTCATGCTCTTCCTCCCTACTCCATTTTGAGTCCCCCCCCCCCCCTTATATCAGAGAAGACATTCGGCATTTGTTTTTTAGGGATTGGCTAACTTCACTTAGCATAATCTGCTCTAATGCCATCCATTGCCCTGCAGATGCCATGATCTTGTTATTTTTTAGTGCTGAGTAATATTCCATTGTGTATAAATGCCACATTTTTTTTTTTTATCCATTCATCCATTGAAGGGCATATAAGTCGGTTCCACAGTCTAGCTATTGTGAATTGTGCTGCTATAAACATTGATGTGGCTATGTCCCTGTAGAATGCTGTTTTTAGGTCTTTTGGGTATAGTCCGAGAAGTTCCTTTGTATTTTTGATGTCTGACAGAACTGTGGGTGAAAGATAATGTGTGCTATTATGCTTTAAATAATAATCATGTTTTGATGATGATGTGATAATGGCTTGTCTTCTCTTAGGCGATGCTAATTTTTTTTTCTTTTTTTTTTGAGATCTGAAGAGTTATAGAAAGAGTCAGAAAAAATGTATTTAGGTTGCAATAATATCTAGTATTAGATAAACTTCTTTCATTGTTTGAAATACAGAGGTCTAACTTGCCAGTGTTGCTATATTTGCACTACTTTACTTATATTCATACTGTTTAAATTTTTAGAGAATATTTGATTTTAATAGTTTCCTTAATAATTATAGTCTCTTTGCCGTCTAGCTTTTAGTTTGAAAAATAAAAGTTTTCTCCACAGGTCTCATATGATTAACATTTTCATATTTACTAAATCTATCACTTCATATAAAAATCTTTTCAGTTGTATTATTTTAAACCATCATGAGACAGTACACATAATCATTTTGATAGTTATTTTTAAAGTTAGTTATTTTAACAATAATGCCTATTATTATCATTTTGGTTGTGCTGACAAGTATAATATGTAATCATACAAATTTAAATGTGATAACATATTCTTATGATATGTATAGTAGTATATATTTTCCTTTGTAATTGAGTAATGCATGCTATTATGCTTTAAGTAATAATCATGTTTTGATTTTTTTGTTCTTAAACTTTTTAAATTGATTTTTTATTATTTTCTATTCTCATAGATTTATAATGGTCATAGATTAAAGCAAAATATTAAGCAAGATTAAGAACTGTTAACTACAGTGCATTTGTTAATTATTCATATTTCATTTTGCAGCTAGGTGACTTTTATCTAGAACTTCACTGGGATTTTCAAAGCTGGGGTAAGAGTATGCTGTTTTATTGTACAATATTTATTTGTGCAGAGATACAAGTGAAAAAAAATATTATAGAAATGTTATCACAACAATTTTGATACTTGTTCTGATGGAAATTATTTTTCATGACATTGAAAATAATAATTAAAAGCTCTGTGGCAATAATTAAACCAATGTGATCAGCAGCTTTCATAATTGTTTTTAAGGTTGAAATTTTACTTAATTTTTTTTTTTAAATAAAAGATAGGGTTAAAAATTTGAGTAATTTAATGTAAAGAATTTTAATTTAATGCAAGGAATTTTAAAAAATATAGTCCATGAATATTTGGATTTAATAAGCTTATTATGTTTTTAAAAGCATCTGAATTAACTTTTATATTGTAAAATTATTTGAATGCTCAGTGATACTTATCTCCCAAATAATCATAGAAATAAACCATATAGTGACAAATATATGAGGTATATTCCATTTTATATAATTTTGTATGTTATGTAATGTCTGTGTATATGTATATTTATTTTTATTATTATTTTTACAATACTGGGGTGACACTTTATTACAGAGCTACACTTCAGCCCATTTATTACTTTTTATTTGAGATAGAATCTTGTTAAGTTGCCAAAGTTAGTCTCAAACTTGGGATCCTCCTGCCAAGAGTATCTGGGTTTATAGTGTATGCTACTGTGTCCTGTTCATGAAAAAGTAAATACAGCCATAAATTTGAAGATCTCCAAGTTAGACTGATCTAATGCCTGAATTTTCTCATCTGTAGAGATTCAAGTCTTGCCAGTGATCCTAAACTGGGTTGTCTCTTGAATATGTTGGCTCCTTGACTGATTATCTTCATGATGTTAGTTGTGTGAATTCTAAAATTGTCAGTTGCTGAACAAAATTGTTAAAAATTGAAATATAAATACATGTAATCACCCCTGCTTTATATTTTTATTTAGTTATTCAAATACATTATAAATTTTGCATAGTCAAATTTATGACATAACCACTGAGGTACTTATAAAAAGTATATCATCTTTGAGAACTTGATTTTGACATATGAAAGTCAGCACATCTGTTTCATTGCTGAAAAGGATTTTAAGTTGGGTGTAGTGGCTCAGCTCCTCAGGTGACTAAGACAGGAGGATTGCAAGTTTGTAACCAGCCTCAATAATTTAGTGAGGCCTTAAGCAACCAGCAAGACCTGGGGGTGTATGTCAGTGGTAGGCCACCCTGTGTTCAATTCTCAGTACCAACAAAAAAAGAAGACAACAGTAAAGAAAAAAGATTTTAGTTGTTGAATGTCAAAACTGTATCTGATAATTAAGATATCATATGTAATTCTAAAAACTTAACCCATTGGTATCTATTTAGCTTAGACAGTTTACATTAAAAAAACCAGGAGGTAATCTGTTATTAGATTTGATGTTTAAGCCTTTTTTAGACTTTGAGAATGTTTCTTCCCTTTATCAAAACCTATTGTGTGTGTGTGTGTGTGTGTGTGTATGTATGTATGTGTGTATGTATATATAAGGGAAACCAGAAATAGGGAGAGCTAAGAAATATTGAGATCTGGGTAAATTTAATTTTGAGATAGTAGAGCATACTTACTTTTTCTCTTGTTATTTACATTCACTTTTTGGAGAAACTAGTCCAGGATTTAATCTCAAGTTTGAAGACAAATGAACTATTCCAGCCTGAGGTTTGAGATATAGAAAACCTTTGAACTGGAGTCAGTACTGTTTTCTAAGTATTTGGCTTGGCATGATATCATATGTGTTTCCTGAGCTTCAATTTCTTCTTTTTTTAAACATGTAGATAATAGTAACTACCTATTGCTTATAAACACAAGTATACACAAACTTATATGTGCTATACATGTGTTATTGTTTGAATTTTAAGAATTTTGTGCTTCCCATTTTCTTTCATCATTTTGACATAGTAGTTTTTTATAGCCCGTGATGCAGATTTAAGTAGAATAATAGCTTTTATTTCCCCCAAAATAGCCAGTAAATAATAAAAAAAAGTCAGAATAGCTTGTGATAAAATATGAGTTATAGAAAACAACATTGTAGTATAGAAAGCTATAGGTAAATACTATGAATTCCATTTTATAGATTTTGAAATCTTTGTACAGTGAATAAATAACCAAGGCACATGTTTGGGATTCAAACTTATATTCAGCTATCTTGCTTCCATGATGTGTCTATACACATCACTTTTCTGCTATATTTACAAGTTATATTTAAAAGATCATTTAGGACCCAGATCCCTTTGTTTTAACTATTTGGGTGATTTAGTTACCATAGTGTATTGTTTACTCATCTATAATACCATGCAGTATGTATTTAAGAGTTACCTTATATGGACTCTGCTACTCTTGTATGTTTGTGGGAGAGGTAAGGACACAGTAAATAATACAGAAATTACAGTTAAGTATTAGCCACTGGATGTGTGTATTACATTCATTATTAATCGGAAAATGCCATTTTAAAGGAAATGATTATAATTTGGTGAATTGGTGAAATGTTTATATTAGTGCTCTTTTAATTGTAAAGTTTATAAATGTCTCAGAATTTACTTTTTTCCTTTTGTTTTTTTAAATATAGTGCCTTTACTTTCCCGAATTCTGCCTTCTGACGCATGTAAAATATACAAACAAGGTATTAATATCAGGTAAGGTGATATGATTTTTTTTCCTTGAGTAAAAGAAAATTGAGATTTGGAGGAAACTTTTCCTCCTGTAATCCTAGCTTACATGTGCTTAATAACTTAAAAATAAATAAGATACTATAATATGTTTAATTAATTTTATTCATTTGAGACCTATTACAGACAAAAATCTTGACTTTAATCAAGATAGTTGCTTTAGCAACTAGTTTTATTCAACAACAAACTATCCAGCAGACAAACATGAAGACCATGATATATATATATATATATATATATAAAATAAAATTTTGTTTATCTACATCTCTACAGATCTCCAGATTATTAATTTGGGTGTTTTAGGGGTCTCTACCTAGACTAAATACTTTGAAGGGATCATTTCATATAAACTTCTTTCTAGATGAGAAAGCTCAGAGATATCAAAAGTTTTTGTTTTGTTGATCCGTATACTTTTCTTTTTAAAGAGAGAGAGAGAGAATTTTTTAATATTTATTTTTTAGTTTTTGGTGAACACAACATCTTTATTTTATTTTTTATGTGGTGCTGAGGATTGAACCCAGCGCCCTGTGCATGCCAAGCGAGCGCGCTACCACTTGAGCTACATCCCCAGCCCAATCCGTATATTTTTCAGGCTGTGGAGATGTGGTCTGGGAAAGAGATTGATAGTCTGAATCTGGTAGTAGGTTAAGAGATTTGTAGTAGGTTAAAGGATTGATCAAAGTTGAAGGATGAAGTAAGGTTTAGTATCAGATGATTAAGCATAAAATGGATGTAGATCAAAAGGGTCGTTCTAAATCTAGGAATGTAGTCCATATATTTTGCTCTACCCATCTTAATACTCCGCTGAGATAGTAACGTTTTAAAGGGATCAAAGAATGTTAGGTCTCTTTTCCTTTTCTGTTTTTCCCTGTGGAAGTAACTTATTGAGGAGCTGTAACAAAGGAAATGGTAGAAAACAAAGGGAAATATTTCAGCAGTAGGGAAACACTTTTTTTTCTTGATGAGTTAATGAAGTATGTATTCAGAAAAGTAAAATGTAGATAAAATGGAATATGTATTTAAATGGTTTTTAAAACTAAAATATTTTAAATTTAACTTGCTTATAGGTTTAGATTGAAATATATTAGAATCTTAGTTTGAGTTTAGAAGACATAAAACTTGTGTAATTATTAATGAAGTTTTGTTTATCAGTTTCTCACCTACCTGTATCTTTCACAGGCTTGATACAACTCTCATAGATTTCACTGACATGAAGTGCCAACGAGGGGATTTAAGCTTCATTTTCAATGGGGATGCGGCACCCTCTGAATCTTTTGTAGTATTAGACAATGAACAGAAAGTTTATCAGCGAATACACCATGAGGTGAGCTGTTGTCTTATCAATATTTTTCTAAATGGTTAAAAAAAATGTATTTAGCCAAGTGTCCATTGTAATTGCTTTAAAAGTATAAGATATAATTGAGTTGATTTATTCTCAAAGGTTCCATTTCCTTACAACTAGCCTCTTTTTTCCTCCCCATGATCTGGTCTACATTTTGACCAATCCATTAAGTCTCTTTGCTCAGAATTCACTGATTATCTCCTCAATCAATGAATTTTGATTTCTTTTAGTTCTTATTTGTAGTTTTCATTTGTTGAACCTCTGCTGTTTTTTTTTTCCTTCTTTTTTTTTTTTTTTTTTTTTGTGGTATAGGGGTATAGGGTATTGATCTCAGGGGTCCTTGACACTGAGCCACATCCCCCAACCCCATTTTGTATTTTATAGAGACAGGGACTCACTGAGTTGCTTAGTGCCTCACTTTTGCAGAGCTTGGCTTGAACTGTCGATCCTCCTGCCTCAGCCTGTCAAGCTGCTGGGATTATAGGCATGTGCTACCATGCCTGGCTTTTTGCTGTTTTACTATTTATCACTTTGATTTCTTCTAATGTTTCTGACTTTCTTTATCTCCTTAGTATGGACCCGTCTCTTTTGTTTCTGCATTCTTTTACTCTCTTTGGCTAACCTTTTCTTTCTCTATTCCCCCTCAGCATTATCGTACCCTCTGGTATATCATCTTTTTATGTTGGTATTGCTTCACAACCAACGTTTACAAACGATATGCATCATTTTTATTTTTTGTTCCCTTTTCCTTCTATCTTCTAAAAAAGCTTTTCCAGGATCTAGGTCATTGATTTTAAGTCAACATTGTTTTTTTGAGGGGTGGCTGGGAGGGGATCACTGGTGTTTTTATTTTGTCTTATTTTTTCATCTGTGGCTCATTCTTCAGTATCTCATAGTTTAGACCTTCATATTGCTGTATCTACTTATAAGACCTTATTTACTTTGGGGTATGTGTACTACTGAAATAAATAGGTTCCTAACTGACATTATGCAATCAAGATTTAGAATGAAAGGAGAAGAAAAAAGGGTATTTCTTATAGGAGAAATAGAATGAGTAAAGTCAGAGAAACAGAAAGATCATTGTTTTCAGGGAAGGTTTCTCCTATGAAATGAGAAAGGCCTTAAAAAAGACAGATAAGATAATTTAAGGTCTGCTGCAATTGGCAAGAGAATGTCACAGATTCTTAAGGTATTTTAATCAAAAAGTAATTCATGTGCATTGTTCTTGGGTATTTTACTTTTCATCTTCCACAAATATTTATCAAGGACCTAATAAAAGGCTAGACATTGCTAGGTGCTATGAATAGTATTATCATATTAATAGTGTATATCAGTTACTACCATATATTAAGTGCTAATTGACAGTGTTCAAGGATTACAAGTGCTTTACAGTTTTCCTCATAAACTTCTTACATAACCTGCCAAATAAGTTAGTATCTCCATTTTACAGGTCAGAAAATTACTTATAGCATTTAAATGAGAGCTCAAAAGATTACACAACTAACATGCAAGATGAATTGGAAAAGGGAGAAATTGAAGGCAGGGAAATTATTTGTGAATATTTTAGAGTTATTCATTGGAGAGGTGATGAGATACTAGTGTAGTATAGTGAATAGTTAAATTATGACATCTATTTTTAATATGGCCATTATAGAAATTTCTAATAACTTAAGTGTAGTAAATTAAGAAGAGGAAACATGGCTGTGTGTAGTGAAGCTGGCTTGAAGAATGGATGATAGCAGAATCATTGATAGGACTGGAACATTTGGAAAAGGAAATAGGCTTGGGATTTTAAAGAATTTGCATCTTGAGCCTGTTGCTAAAACCATTGTACTTGTTAGAACTTTCTCTTTATTAAATTTCTTGGAAGTATTTGCTTTTGGTTTTTGGAATTTTTGTTTTCTTTGGATTTGACCTTGGCCACTTGTTGCTATTTTCCAATTTTTCCTTTACCTACTTCTTTTTCTCTGCTTACCTTTTAGATATTGATGTACAGACTTTATTTTCTTGTCATTATTCCCTAAACAATATGGCAAAACAAATATTTACATTGCATTTGTATCAGGTATTAACACATAAAGATGGGAGGATATGCATAGATTATATGCAAATATGCTGTTTTTATACAAACTGGGTCCTGTATTGAATTCCTTGTAGCTGCTGAGGGAGTACTGTACTCTCTGTTTATGCTAATGTGCATGCATAAATAATAATTCGTCATTAATTTTGAAGGAATGTAGTTAAAAGCAGGTATTTTTCTTTTTTTAATTTTTTTTTTAAGTTGTCAATGGACTTTTACTTTATTTGTTTATATGGGGTGCTGAGAATCGAACCCAGTGCCTCACACATGCTAGGCAGGCACTCTACCACTGAACCACAACCCCAGCCCCATAAAACAGGTATTTTTCAATGATGTAGTTAGGATAGCTCTGATTTATAGAAGAATTCTGTTCCAAAAGTTTACTTGAAAAATACAGTAAAATTTGTATATAACAATGTGCTTTGTAGTGTTAGTTGCCAAGCTGATATATAAAATTCTAGTTAATTAGTAATCTATTTGAAGTATAATGTTTTGACAGTTCTTTTCAATGTATTTTATCCAAAGCTTTTCTTTAGAAAACTGTTCAGAAATAGTTTGTGTTACCCAGCAATATGTTTTTAGCTGTTATACTTAGTAGTGATATCAAGATTTTGCTCCATTATCTGTAAGGGTGGAGAAAATGATATTGTCTTAGTTCTAAGCCATTGCTATTGTTTTCTGTAGACTCAAAAATTCAGAAAGGGATCTTATCTAGGTGAAAATTAGGTGGTTGAGAAATAGAACTTCTAAGAACCATTGTTAACCCTGTGGACAGTTCTCATTCCCTAAATGCCACTCTAGTTTTTACCTAATGTTAAAAGTGTCTCTTGGCCTGTTAGGAAGTAGAACCTCATCTTATACCCACACTTACTCTTCTGTACCTGATCACTTATTCTTCTGTCCCTGAAGCAAGTATAAAGGCACAAAGCTTTCTTTCATTTCTTTTTTAATCTAAAATATAATTGTTGCTTAATTAATAATACCAGCACTAGAGAATATATGGAGGATAAAACCTGAAGAAGGGCTGCTTTTTAAGTTTAGAAATCATGGACTGATATTAATGGATTCCTTTCTTTTCTGTAAGAAATACAGAAAAAGCTGGGTACGGTGGAATATACCTGTAATCCTAAAGACTTTGGAGCCTGAGTCAGGAAGATCTTAAGTTTGAGACCAGCTTTAGTAACTTAGTGAGACCCTGTCTCAAAATAAAAGAAATAAATAGGTCACAGTAATAAAAAAGCTGTCTAAAACATACTGCTATGTTATTATATATGGATTTAATTCTGAAAAGATAAGTTAAAGGCTGGGGGTGTAGCTCAGTGGCAGAGCAACCCTGGGTTTAATTCCTAATATTGCGGCCCAAAAAGAGAGAAGTAGAAAAAAGAATTTGTTTTCTTCTCCTTTCTCTTAGAACTTTTAAAAAGACTCAGATAACAGTGATAACTTTTCAAATTACCAATATTTGATCAAAGCCACGTTCATCTATATTTCAAGGAAATCTTTTATATGTGCATTTTATTTTATCTCATGTCTTTTAATTCTTAAGGTAATCTTTTAAAATTGTCCTACAGATCTAGATAGTTCTGAAATGGGTAATATTGTACTGTTTCTATTTCATATCTCTAACAGTATAAGAATATGTATTTCATGAGAATTTCTTTTAAAGATTCATAATTTGTCTTAGATAAGAGATATATGAAATTTGAACATCTAATTGTTTTTAGAATAACAGGAACTTTATATTTTTTAGAAGCTATCCTTATCATCTGTAACATTGTAAGTGTTGATATTTTCATATGTACCACTAATAACCTTTAGATAAACTTAGATTCTTATATTTAATTTTTACCAATACCCTAGGAATCAGAGATGGAAACAGAAGAAGAGGTTGACATTTTAATGAGCAGCGATATTTACTCTGCAACTTTATCAACCAAATCAATTTCTTTCACTCGTGCCCAAACTGGATGGCTTTTTCGGGAAGATAAAACAGTATGTGCAAATCTAGATTTTTAAACTTTAAAAGTTGGTATTTGATGTTGCCAAAATAATGTGACCACAATGCAGAAAGAAGTAGCTTACTGAATTGTTTTCAAGTATTTTATTCTCTCTTCTTTGAATTCAGACAGGTAATTAAAATGTTGGGTTTTGGGAGTTGGAATGTATTCTTGGAGAAGCCAAGAGAGAAAGTTTAACTCATTTGAATTCTATGTTAAGGAGAATTCTTGTCAATAACTGCTAAGTTTTTACAAGATTCCATTTTATTTCAAATTTTTATTCCATAGAGAGACCACAGTAGGGATACACTAGAGTTCATTTTTCTGAATCTGTTTTGGCCCGCACTTTTAGACTTCTGAATCATTTATTCAGTATCTGTTTTTCAATATTCTTTCTAAACTCAAAAGTAAATTATGTTTCTACAACACTGCCACTAAATTAAATCTTAGTGGAAGTTTTTACATCAGTGAATTGTAAATTTCTTTCCATAATTTTCATTGCATATGTCAGCAAGAGGTTATATAAAACTGTTCAACATATATTATGAAATATATTTATAAATTTTTATTCAAGGATAATAACTACAACAGGAGAAGACCAAGATTAATTGTTTTCTAAAAATTATATTTTTATTATTATAGTAGAAATGAATGTGTTTACATTGGAGAAACAGAAAAATAATGTGTATTAGTTAGGATTTTTTGAGAAGCAAAATTAGCAGTAGATAGAAAGGGTAGAAGACAGGAATAGAGAGGAGGAACAGAAAGAGAGGGAGAAGGAAGAGAGAAAGAGAGGAAAAAATTGATTTATTTTAAGGAATTGGATCATTTGATTGTGGAAGCTGGCAGCCAGTCTGAAATGTGTACAGCAGCAGTCCAGCAGGCTAGAAATTAAGGTAAGAGTTGATGTTGTAGTTGAGTCAAAAATCTAAGACTGAAAACTCAGACAAAGTTTTTAAGTTTCAATTTTATAGCAGAATTGCATTTTCTTCTGGAAACCTCTGTCATTGCCCTTAAGACCTTCAGTTATTTAGTATTAATTACACCTATAAAATACTTTCATAATATTTTGAATGGCTGGCACCTGGGCACCTTACCCTAGCCAAATTATCATAAAATTAACCACCATACAACTTGGTATATAGTTGAAAATTCTCCCTTGACGACTCCCCATAATCCCTAAACCCCTTACTGAAGGTTATCTGTATATACCCTACCCTTTTTTTGTTTTCACACATTGATATGTACCCATAGTAGTTTGTAGCTTTTTATTTAGATGTTTGGTTTCATATAAAGTGTCATTAATATTTATTGTTTTGCAACTGGATTTTTTCACTCTTTAGAATGCGAAAAAAGCCTTATTTTTACAGGTAGTACTACTTCATTCTTTTTAGCAACTGCATAGTATTTATAATATGGATATAATGTGACTTGTTTATCCAGTTGTATTTTTGGACATGTATTTCCATCCAGTTTTCTACTGTTATGAATGATGTGTCACTATTCTTTTACATGAACTTTGCATTGTCAGTTATAGGCAACAAGATATGAAATGGCTACATTAAAATTTTTATTGATATAATTTACATTTAATAAATAAATACTTTTGTATGGCTTCAAAAACGGGTAATTAGGGCTGGGGTTGTGGCTCAGTGGTAGAGCACTTGCCTAGCATGCATGAGGCACTGTGTTTGATTCCCAGTACCACATAAAAATAAACAAATAAAATAAAGGTATTGTGTATATCTACAACTAAAAATATATTAAAAAAAAAAAAAAACTAGGTAATTAATACCCAATCACAGATAAAATTCTAACTGAGCTTTAGGCTCATCAGTTTCCTTTCTGTTTGGCAACAAATGGCAATATAGGATTCCATGCTGTGAGATCCTACATTGCAATCCATTTGTTGGTTTGAAGTCTTATTTATACTCTGTTCTTCTGGACAGAATTAGATGGATCACTTCAAGAGAAGATAAAAATTGAAACTGCTATTCATCTAGTATTACTGCTAAGCAGCTCAAAGCTCTTGAACAGCGTCTAGGTGATCTTCTTTAATCTTTGACAGGTAAGGAGGGAGTCAGTAATCCTTATGGTTCCCATTTTGTAGGTAGAAACTGGTGAAAAGTGCTTTGCTTTATAATGTAAGTAAGGAGCCACTGAAGCAAGGTAGACCTGGAAACAACACTTAAGCTCCTAGCTTTGGAAATCAGAAAACAGCAGCAAGGTGGAGATTATTTGATTTGCATGTAGGTAGAAATGGGAAGCTTGTTTTCAATAAGTTATTGTTTTTTTTTTTTTCTTCCCAAAATAAGGTATTTCAAGCTCTAACCAACTCTGGTTTGAAAAAAGGTTAATATTAAAGGTAAATAAAAAAGGTGAAGGTTAATATTAAAAGGATTAGGAAGGCTTCATTGAAATAACCCTTCCTTACTTGTCTTTAATGTCACTTGAGTTTTCCTATCCCCAGTTATAATTTAAACAATTATATTTGTAACCAAAGCTATTCTGTTATTTTTTGAAAGCAGCCAGCTGCTATAACATGACGTTTGATTCTGTTAGATAATAGAAAATTTGAATAGATCATTAATTCTAATTGTACTAGATTCCTATGTGAATTAAACTGTTTATTTTAATTCCACTTTTTTTTTCTATCTATAAAATGGGAACAGTATTATCCCTGACCCCTCCTTGTTACTTATGATATTTAATTGTTGGCTTGATAAAGTTTTTCAGATAGCTTTGTGCTACTTGGGAGTCGATTATAAAGAAATATTATGTGATATTTTTGTTTAGATTTAACTCATTTGCAGATTAAGTACCACGTATCTTTGTACATTTAAAATTTTCCTTTATAAAATAGAAATGCATAATTTAAAACATTTTTAATTTAATAGTATAATTTATACTAAAGGAATATTCATTTTCACCTACATATTGCACATATGTGGAAAAATATGTATAATATATGAAACTTTGAATATAAGACAAATTTATTTTAAGTTTTATTATTTTGGAATATTTGATTTTATTTTAGGAAAGAGTAGGAAACTTTTTGGCAGACTTTTATCTGGTGAATGGACTTGTTTTAGAATCAAGGAAAAGAAGAGAACATCTCAGTGAAGAGGATATCCTTCGAAATAAGGCCATCATGGAGAGTTTGAGCAAAGGTGGAAACATAATGGAACAGAATTTTGAGGTATAATTTTTACTACTTCTAATTTATAGTTTTCTAAGGAGAGAGGGGATAGACTTCATTCCTTGCATTTATATAAATATATTCACAGGTTTTGTTCATTATGTATTACCTTTTATTTTTTTGTGAGTCTTAATTTTTTTATGTTATTAGCATGAAAAAGAAAAGGAAAGAAGGTGACCTTTGGTGTTTTCCTGAGTCTGTACTTGGTCCTTGATTCTTCTTTAATAAGAAGATAAAATCATTTTGTAAGCATTAAACTCAGTGTTAAATTTTATTCCATTTTCCCTTACATATAGTCTTCTGATTCACCCATATCTGCCATCCATTTTATGAAGTCATCAGTAGCCTATACTATCCCACAAATTTTATTCAGCATCTGTTTATTGAAAGCATGTATATACAGTCATGTGACAGTAAAGAAAGGGGAGGGGAAATTAGGAAATAAAAAGATACATGAAATATAGTAACTGATCATCTTATATCCTAATAAGAAGAATTGGATGAATTTTTTTAATTTTGAAAATATTAAGATTTACAAGTAATTATAGAATACTACAAAAAAATTCTTGGATACATTTCATTAAGATTCCCCAAGTATTAATATTTAGTTACATTTAAATAGTACTGTTCTTAAAACTGCAGGATAAGGGACTCCTTTACTAATGTTACAATATTTATTTAGTGGGCCATTCTGACTTTTTTTTAAAATCAGTGACTAAGAAGTGATAGAAAAAAGTCATACCTTACCATACATGATAAGACATTATTACTTTATGAAACAATAGTTTCAAGGTTGTATGTGTTGTGTTAACATTTCTATGCATGAATGTTAGGTTGTAGTGTAAATGGAGTCACACTCATAAGAGGATTAAAAGGTATTACAAGAAGACTTGAATTCCTTGAATATTTAGTTCTTCTCCTATGGTATTGTTCCAGATGGACAAATTTTCCAGAATAGTATGCCAAGTTCCAGCTAATAGTGTATGTATATGCCAGGAAAATATTTTAATGTTTAGAAGGTTCATGTGGTGAGTGAGTCAACCATAGTTTGAGTTCAATATATAAAGTGTTTAAGTTAAAGTTGTGATGATGCCAGTTTAGTGTGAATCTGACTCCTTCCTGCCAGATCCTGCTTTTGCTCCTCATTTTTCTTCTTGCCTTGAATTAGAGCCTCTTTTCATTCATTTATTGATCTCTTGATTAGTAGGCAATGCATATATGCTCAGGAGATAAAAATAAAGATAAATAGAGGGAGTAGTCTTTGACAAAGCTACCACCCTCTCCCATTGTTGACCAGACAAAAAAGACCATGACTCTTCAAATTTGTGTTGTAGTTTAAATTTCATGAGGAGTTCTTCTAATAAATAAATTTGTTGTAATTATTGCTACTTTTGTTTAATATTGGCAACAAACCATTTTGGGATGATTATATGGAACAAGATTATTATGGAAGCGCAATTAATAGGTCATTTACCAGTTGTTTCTGATGGTCTCATTTATGCTTATTTATTTATTTGTGTAGCAGTGCTGTGGATTGAATCACTGGGCACATGTTAGGAAAGTGCGCTGTGCCTAAGCCTAAATGCTTTACCTTTACCCCTACATGCCCAGCCCTTATTATGATTTATATCAACTAAATTTCAAACTGCTAATCAGAAATTAAACAGTTCCATAGCACCATGAACTTTTTGGGTTCTTTTTTTTTTTTTTTTGGTGTGTGCTTGTGTAGTACAGAGATTAAACACAGAATTGTTCTACTTCAGAGCTACATCCCCAGCCCTTTTTAAATTTTATTTTGAGACACAGTCTCACTGAGTTGCAGGTGCTAACCTGGAAATTTGTGTCTCAGCCTTCCAAAGTCACTGAGATTAAAGGCCTGTGCTACTAGTGCCCAGCTGTAGTTCTTTATGCGTATTTAAATTCAGTCTGTCAATTTCTACAAAAGATGAAACATTTGGTGAGCTTTTGACTAGGTTAGTGTTGAATCTATAGATAAATCAATTGCTATAAAAAAGCTTGTTTGGATTTTTTGAATTTTTAAAAAATTAAACATTGTACTTTTGTTGTTGTTGTTGTTGTTTTTGGTGGTCCTAGTGCTAACCTAGGGCCTTATGCATGCCAGGCAAGTCTGTGCCATTACATGCCCAGTCCCAAGCTTTTGCTTTGTGTTTGGTTTTTGTTTAGATTACATTATTTTTTGTTTTTATTGGTGTGTTATAATTATTCATGAAAGTGGAAATCCTTACATATTTGTACATATACATAATAGAGCAATAAAATTTGGTCAGTTTTGTGGCCTAGTAACCAAGCTTTGTATTTTAAGATAATTGTACATATAGGTATAAGAAGTAATATAGAGATTTGTGTATGCTCCACCCAGTTTCCTCTAATGGTAACATCTAGCAAAACAGTAGTAAAAGATTTCAACCAGGATGTTGGAATTCATAGTCAAGACATAGACTATTTCTATTACTACAGGATCCCTCATATTCCTCTTTTTATAGTGATACCTCCTGCTCACTTTTCCTCTCACTGTCCCTTACTCCTGTCAACCACTAATCTGTTCCTCCTTTTTTTAAGGTTGTTAATTTAAGGATGTTCTGTAAATGGAATCATATCCTAATAGGTAACCCTTTGAAATTGCCTTTGCCTTCCACTTAATATAATTCCCTGGTAATTTATCCAAGTTGTATCAATAGTTTGTTGCTTTCATTGCTGAGTAGCATGGTACTACTGAAGTAGAATTGTTCTACTTTAGAGCTACATACCCAGCCCTTCTTAAACTTTATTTTGAGACATGGTTTCACTGAGTTGCGGGTGCTAACCTGGAAATTTCTGTCTCAGCCTTCCAAAGTCACTGAGATTATAGGCCTGTGCTACCAGTGTCCAGTTGTAGTTCTTTATGCGTTTTTAAATTCAATCTGTCAATTTCTACAAAAGATGAAACATTTGGTGAGCTTTTGACTAGGATGGTACTCAGCAATGAGTATCACAGTTTATTTAACCATTCAGCTGTTGAAGATCTGGGCTGTTTTCAATTTTTTGGCTATTATAAATTAAGCTGCTGTAAATATTCACATGTAGTTTTTTTTTTTTTTTCATTTTTCATTTGTTGTTTTTTTTTTTTTAGTTATACATGACAGTAGATGTATTTTGACATAACTGTGCATATGTGAAGTGTAATTTCCCATTCTTGTGGTTGTACATGATATAAATAAACAAGTTGTGTATTTATATATGAACATAGGAAAGTTATGTCCAATTCATTCTACTGTCTTTCCTATTTCCATCCCTCCTCCCTTCCCTTCATTCCCTTTGTCTAATCCAGTGAACTTCCATTCTTCCCTTCTCCCACCCTTATTGTATGTTAGCATCCACTTATCAGAGAGAACAGTCAGCCTTTGGTTCTTTGGGATTAACTTTTTTTCACTTAGCATTATTGTCTCCAGATTTATCCTTTATGGCAAATACCATAATTTCATTCTTCTTTTTGACTAATAGTCCATGGTGTATATACCATATTTTCTTTATCCATTCATCTGTTGAACAGCACTTAAGTTGGTTCCATAGCTACTGTGAATTGAGCTGCCGTAAATATTGATGTGGCTGCATTACTGTAGTATGCTGATTTTACATGTAGGTTTTTGTGTGAACATAATTCTCTATTTCTTTGGGGTACATGCCTAAGAGTGAAGTTGCTGTGTCATATGGTAATTTAGTTTTATAAGAAAACTGCCAAAATGTTTTCTGGCTTCTGTTTTCATCAGCAGTTTATGAATTATCCAGTTTTTCAGATCCTTGCTTGTTTGTGTGTGTGTGTATTTTTTTTTTTTTTTGGTATCACCCATTCTGACAGTGTACAGTGCTACCTCATTGTGATTCTAATTGTATTTTCCTAATGCCTAGGGATATTGAATATTCTTCTTTTGATGTGCTTATTTTCCACTTGTATTTGTTTTTCAGTGATAAGTGTTCCTTTCTTTTGCCCATTTTCTAATTGGATTATTTATTTTTCTGTTGATTTTTTTTTTTTTTTTGTATTGGTTATTGAACCTAGCACACTTTACCACAGAAGTACATTCCCAAAGATGCAAGATCTTTCTTAGTTGCTGAGGCTAGGCATTATCTTCCTGTCTCAGCCTCCTGAGTTGCTGAGATTTTACAGGCATGTGCCACTGTGCCCTGAAGGGAAATTAATGTTTAAAGAAATTAAACTTGTGTTCTACCACTGAGCCACAGAAACATTTTAGATGATTGAAACGTTGAGTGAATGGTATTATTACTTTGATACTAGTATTCATTAGAAAAAAATTAGTAATATTTCTATTAGAGCTTGAATCACCAGGGTACTGACTTGGTCCTGGAAGGAACCTCTTTAAGTATTATATTGAAGAAATTAAGGAGATTGATGATTTTAAATAATACAATGTGTGTGTGTGTGTGTGTGTGTGTGTGTTATTCCAGTGCTGGGATAGAATTCAGGGCCTCTGGTATGCTAACAGGTGCTCTCTAACCCTAGCACCCAGTTTACTATATGTTTTAATTTTATATTTTAAACATTTAACATTTTTCTTTTTTCACCCAGCCTCCTCCCCTTCTCTTTATTTCTCTTTTATATTTTGGCAGCCTGTTCGAAGACAGTCCCTTACCCCTCCTCCTCAGAACACTATTACATGGGAAGAATATATATCTGCTGAAAATGGAAAGTAGGTGGATTTTTATGTTTTCTTTGGTTTTTAGAAAGAATAATTTGTAAAAACAGAATGTGTGACTAGGTATAAAAATTTATTTTAGAGAGATAATTATTAATATATTGTTTGAAGCAGTGTTTTTTAACTTAGAAAATCATGAGGAAGAATATACTGAATCATGTATACTCTAGATTGTAGAGCCTTCTTTCTACATTCCTCCTGCCAATTTATCCATCCCCCACTGCCCACCCACCCCCCAAAAAACTGTAGTATTTGTTTTAAGGAAATATATGTAGGGAACTGCACAATGTTGTTTCTTATTTGAAATTTTCCTTTGTATGATGAACTTTTGTGTTTAGTCATTGCCCTGATTCTTTAGCATGGTGTATAATTCATTATTTGTGTCCTGTTTGCCTTTCCAAACTTATCTTCTATTATTACCTTTTTGCTTCAACTTATACTAGACCTTTGCTGCTGGGTGTTGTAGTGCATGCCTGCAATCCCAGCAATTCATAGGTTGAGGCAAGAGGATTGCAAATTCAAGACCCACCTGGGCAACTTAGTAAGACCCTGTCTCGAAATGAAAACAGAAAGTGGGGCGTGATGATGCACTGCTTTAATCCCAATGGCCAGGGAAGCTGAGGCATGAGGATGGAAGGTTCGAAGCCAGCCTCAGCAATTTAGCGAGACTGTAAGCAACCTAGTGAGATCTTGTCTCAAAATTAAAAATAAATAAAAAGGGCTGAGCATGTGTTTCAGTGGTTAAGCACCCTGGATTTAATCCCTTAAAAATATATATATGTATGTATGTATGTATGTGTATATATATTTCCCCTAAAATAAATAAATAAAAATGAAAATAAAAAGGACTGAGTATGTAGCACCGTGGTAGATAGAGCACCCCTGGATTAACTCCCCAGTACTGCAAAAAAAAAAAAAAGAAAAAAAATCTTTGTTTTCTATTATATTACCAGTACTTAGTACAGTAATTAACCTAACTTGTATTCAGTATGTATTTATATATTAAAAGAGTGATGAATGGATAAAGAAAGTGTCACCTACCTCCATGCTTAGAAGCCATCATCATTTTGACATTCTTATTAAAAGGCTTCTTTGTACCTTTTCTGTCTGCTCCATAATGTTTCTGTCTGAATAGTCTATAGTGTTTAACATATTTTATGAGAAGCCATTAGTTTGAACTAGCCTCTCACAGTAGGCTCCAGAAGATCACACAAACTCAAGAGTATAGTTACTTGTGCTATATGCCACCTAATCAAATTGAACTTTGAAAAAATAACTGAGGAAATTCCAGGCAACCTGAGTTAATGTAAAATAGGAAAGTCCCCGCTGTTTAAACCCTGTAAGGAAAATAGCTTTGAAACTATCAATCTACCTTTTGTCTTGCTTTCTTTTGCACATTTGTGTCTATAAAACCAAACTCTGCTCAGCTTGTTACCAAACTGCACAAGATTCCACCAGTGGAGGAAGATGTTAGGCGAAATACTCTCTGTTCCATGAATATTTGGTCCAGTTGGTGGGAAAATAATTTTATTCAAAGCCAGTTTTGAAGGGAGATGGAAGAAACTTGTTTCAAAAGTTCCAATTTTGAAATTCCTAAAAATTAGCAGAATTTGAGGAGGCAACTATAGTTTAGTGAGACAAAAGGTGTGAAATATACCTACATAGATTTAGTTAGTCTGTGTTCCACAGGAAGGGGTGCATTAGGACAAAAGGCAGTAGTTTCTGAGTCTGCGGCTAAAAGGAGTTTCACAGATTTTGCCTCCTTTGGAGTTCCTGGAGCCTCCTTATCACATCAAAAAGAGTCCATATATACTGGGGCCAGCAGCCAGCATCTGTATCTTCTTGGGATTGGAGTGGGTGGGGAGTGGTCTTCCAAATTCTATTTTAGGCTCATCGGAGTGCTCATGCTTGCATGTGGGGTCCAGGGAGGCAAATTAGATCTTTAAACTAAAGTTGGTATACTTTTGTCTTTTGACAGTGTTTACTATAGAATTCTTTATTCTTCTTAAGACCTCTTATTCATAAAGGCTGAGACACTGTAGTAGACAGTAAAGGAAACTGAATTGAGTAAGGGATTTTAAAGTTATGCAATAATACTTTTAAAAATTGTTTTTCTAGCGGTTGTCTTCCATAAAATAGTGATTATTAAAATTCAGTTATATTCAATTTGCAATTAATTGAGGTCTAGTAATTTTTTCTGAACTTTTAGTCTTTGCTGTTTTCTTTTTGTTACCCTTATCCCATTTCTTATACATCTTATTCTCTTTTAGCATTATATTATTTCTGTAGACAGTAAGAAAAATTGAATTAATAGTGAATGTCATTTGGAATAAGTTTCCTAATATTTTCTTTTTCTCTCCCTGTAACCTCCCATTTTAGAGCTCCGCATCTGGGTAGAGAGCTGGTGTGCAAAGAGAGTAAGAAAACCTTTAAAGCCACCATAGCCATGAGCCAGGAATTTCCCTTAGGGATTGAGTCGTAAGTTTGTTATTAATTATACATGTTTATAAAGAGAGCTATTAAACCCTAAAGGCTGTAATAATATTTGCATTTGATTGTTGAGTTTGAGGACTTTGAAATGTAAAAGCAAATAGCCATTGCCTTGATCTGTGTAAACCTTTAGAAATTTCTTGGTGACAAAGTATTAATATTTTTATTATTTTCTCCAGATAAATTATTCAATATTTTAAAAAAGTTATTGAAGTAATACATGAATAAGTTTAAAAGGATGGAAGTTTATAGACCAAAAAATGGTAATTCTTTTACCATATTTATAGTTAATAACTAATGTATTTTTGTTCAGACTTTTGTTTTGCGTTTTTTTATTAAAATGGGAAATTGTCCACATTTTGTTCTATGAGTTCCTTTATCTCTTTTAAAGTGAGTGCATTGAGTTCTTAATCGCATTTTTGTCATCTTATTTTTTTTCCTTCTTTCTTGGTATTTTCATAGTATTGTTTTACTGCCATTTATTTTTATCATTCTCCTATTTTACTGCCATTTATTTTTATCATTCTCCTATTTGTAGACATTTTGTTTTTAGTTTGTCACTATTATAAATATTTCATTTTGTTTGAATATATCCTTTAGTTTGTCACTATTATAAATATTTCATTTTGTTTGAATATATCCTTAAATCTGCACTCACCAGATGCTTCTTAAAAAAAAAAATCTAATTTGGATACATGGGAGAAATGGGATGTGGGTAGCTACAGGTCCACTTTTTTAAAAAAATTATTTTAAAGTTGTTGATAGACCTTTATTTATTTATATGTGGTGCTGAGAATCGAACCCAGTGCCTCACACATACCAGGAAAGTGTGCTACCACTGAGCCATAACCCCAAGCCCTACAGCCCACTCTTGATGGAATTGTTACTTTAAGCTTTAGTAAGTGGAATGGCTATTTTTCTTCCTCGTTTCTTGCCCTTCCAGTCTGATCCAATACACCAAAAAGCAAACAAAACAAAACAAAAAACCTGGCTTAATACATGAAAAAATTTTTTCTTGGAGAACTTAGTAGGACCCATATTTTTCAACAGTCTGTACATAGAGCATACTCCCTGATTTTTGTCCTATATGTAAACTTTAGAAAAATGTGAGAAGGAATTAACCACATGTACAAGTCGGTCATAATACATTTTATCTAGGACCCAGTGACTCCATGATGTATCAGTTTTATAGTCTATGAACGATTGAAGAAGAAAATGTAGCTAATTTTCTGATGACATCAATTTTAGGAATTATCCAAATTTCAGAAATGTTTTGTGAAGAAATTGGGTTTCTTACTGAGATAAGATGTGTCAGTTGTAACCACTATTCCTGAAAAAAAGTAAAATAAGGAATACTACTTTCAAAAGCCATACAACGAAATCATTCCAAAATTAAACACAGGTAAAGGGACCAAAGAAAATTTTCTGTAAATACTATGGAAAAACATAAAAGACATGAAATCAACATACTAGACCACTCTAAGATGAGGTGAAAGAATAGAATGAAATGAAAAGGAGATTGTAAAGCTAAAGAGAAATTGATTGAGCATAAAACAACACTATTACAAATAAACATATTAGAAACAACAATAAAAGAGTAGAGGTGACTGAAATTTTGACAGGTTACAATGAATGTAAGAACACATAAAAGGAGTTAAAGAAAACAGTAGATTTGGAGGACAAAGATGATTCAACATAAGAATCATTGGTGTTCCCTTTAAATAAAAAATCTTCAAAATGTAGCTGAAACAATATTCAAAATATTATAGAAGAATATTTCTCTGTAACAAAGAACTGAATCTGTAAGATAAACATTAAGTTATAAGAAAAATGAATCATCAGTAACAAAAATTATCCGATTAAACTATTGAACTTCAGTTGTTAATAAAGTAATTGAGAGGCATCAAGACAGAAAATGGGTAAAGTCAGCCTGGTCTTACATCTCCCCACCCCCAAATTTTTGACATTTATGAAAAAAAGCAAAGTGTAATCTGATAGTATTTCTAGCTGTCACTTATATGCAATGCAACTGAAGATATTCTCAGACACAAAAAAATTTAAGGAGTATAGTAGCTATAGGCCTTTGTTGAAAGAAAAATACTACTACTTGAAAATGAAATCCCAAGATGGGCAGAGTGGCACATGTCTATAATCCCAGTGACTTGGGAGTCTGAGGCAGGAGGATCACAAGTTCAAGGCCAGTGAGACCCTATCTCAAAATAAAATGAAAAAAAGCGGGCTGGGGAGATGATTCAGTTGGTAGAGTGCTTGCCTCACATGCACAAGGCCCTGGATTCAATCTCCAGCAACAACAACAACAAAAGGAAAAAAAAAAAAAAAAAGGAAGAAAGAAAGGATTGGGCATGTACTCAAAAGTAGAATGAGTTTTATCCCCAGTACTGCCCTGCCCCATCCCCCAAAATACCAGAAAGAAATCCATTTAACCAGAAAATGAAAGGAGAAATTGTAATATAGTGAGTAGTGAGATACAGAATTCTAAGAGGTGTGAAATTGTAAGTCAGAGGGAAAAGATAGATAATCTGAAACATATGAGTGAAATTTCCCTTTAAAGACAAAAATACTATTTATCAAATAGGCAAGAATTGAAGGAATATTAAGCACACAAGAGCCATTCACACATAATTGATAGATACTTATTAAAGAACTCAGTAATTTGTAGACTTCAGCAAGGAAACAATAAGTCTGTAATCCATTTAAATAAGGACCTAATATCAAACAACTATGAAAACTATGGCTGGAGAAACAAAAGTCATAAAATTTGCACAGTAAAAAGAAAATTAAAAATCCAGGATGCAGAAAGTGTGTGATTTCCTCATTCCTAAGATCTGAAAGTCAGTATTACTTAGTTTGAAGCATGTAGTTAAATGCAACAAAAGAGCAACAGAAATAATATTTTGAACAATGAAATATTTTTTTCTTCTTCTATTTTTCAGATTATTGAATGTTTTAGAAGTAATAGCTCCCTTCAAGCACTTTAACAAGCTTAGAGAATTTGTTCAGATGAAGCTTCCTCCAGGCTTTCCTGTAAAATTAGGTAAGAAAAAAATTTGGATGTAATTTTAGTGTCTATTTGAAATATGGAGTTGTTTATTTAAATTTAATAAGAAGTATGTTTTAAAAGAAAGCACATTTATTAGTTGCTTACATTTTTATAAAGTTTTTCTTTACTTAGATACATTGATCTATTAATCATGCATATAAAGTGCCTTATGGGAGTTCTAATTCTATGTGATTCAAATGAAATATAAGGGATGTTTCATACAAGAAGTGAATAACTAATGATATAGAGTAATGTGAAATAGAGAGACTGACGGTTAGTCCAAATTTTCATCATACTTCTTAAGGTTTTGCTTATTAACAAATGTTTTTGGAGAGAGCAGTCATTCAAAAAAGAAGGAATCACACATTTTATTTTCAATCCTAATGTTTAAACTTAATTGTATCTTAAGCAATGATCTTTAGAAAAAGGAAACATTTTTTTTAAACACTTTTTATTTTTCTAACTTAGAAAATGGAACAAAGACCATTTTAAATCATTTTAGGGATTTAAGCCTAGAAGTAACATTAAGCTTCAGGTAGAGCCTTTAATGCCATCCAGTCATCTAGCCAGCCACCCAATATTTAATGAATCTTTGCTATGTGACAGATACTCTTTCAGGGATAGGAGAAAGCAAAAGTTCTTGTCCTTGCATATCTTGTAGTGGGAGAGAAAAATTAGATAGTAAATGGGGTCTTTATTTAATTTCTCATATATATTTGATCTTGTTTCATTCCATGTTTTTTTTAAAAAAAATTTTGATTGTAAATAGACACAATACCTTTATCGTATTTATTTTTTTATGTGGTGCTGAGGATTGAGCCCAGTGCCTCACATATGCGCTAGGCACTCTACCACTGAGCCACAACCCCATTCATTCCATGTTTTTAAAAATCCCATAATAATTACTCAAAATGCTTTACTCTCAGAGATAATGTTTTCATTGCTAAAAATTAAATCTATCCATTTCAACTTTCCAGACTTAGACATAAGCCATATTTTTGGATTAAAATTAAATTTAAAATGATTTTCGCTATGCCAGTTGTCCTTTGCATTAAAAAAGCATTGGTAACCCAGTATCTGATTTGGAGGAATCAGTGATAAGATTTTGAAAGCTAAAGCTAAAGGCTGTATTTTCTAGTTTTGAATAAGGGATGGCTGAGCATTTCTACAGAAGCTTGAAACTCTGTTTCTCTTTTCCATGGTCACAAAGGATTCCTCTCTAATTACAGTGACAAACTAGGACAAAGGACAGAGGTTAAATAAAAGGAAATTCCAAGAAGCTATTCCTGCATTCACATTTAATTATAAGTTCGAAATCTAAATCAAACTTGATAATGCAATGTAGATTTTTATGCAAAATAATGACTTTGATTGTATGAGAAGGAAAAAACTTTGCAATACTTTTTTGCAGGCATTCTCTGACATAGATCCACAGTCTTAACAAGGTATATATATAATCTTTTGCTGTTATACTTTTAAAAAGTTATAGGGATTTATTTATTTTGTTTGTTTGACCTTCTCTTGAACCAGCCTTGTTTAACCCCATTCCTTGTTTAACTCCATTTCTGGTTCTATTTTTAGGATAAAAACTACAATTGTGAGAAAATTTTAACAAGTCACAATTGTTGTTTTCAAAATTAGTCAAAACTTTATATATTGGTTATGAGTGATCTTTTCTTATATTTGCTGTTTGTCTTGTTTTGCTTTAGGGCTAAATTTGAACTTTTTTTTTTAATCAAATCTTCATTTTCCCCCTCCTACTTTTTATAATTCCAAACAGAAGACTTTTATTTCCTTTTTTAGAAAAAAAGACTATAAGAAGAGACCTCTCCTTACTGTTCTCAGTCCCCCTGTCTTTTCCTCCATCTTTCCTATCTATCTCAGTGGAAATGATGTTCTTCTTCATAGTTTAAATAATCTTTTCATTTGTGCTATGTATCTGTTCTTCCAGTTTTTTTAGTGTGCTGTTGTTCATATATCTGCTTTACCTCACAGCCCGTTTTCTACCATCTTTTTCCTGTTAGTTTTTTTACTACTTTTTTCCTGTCAATTCTTTCAACCTTATAAAGTTCAACCACCCAACTTAAAAAAAGTTTTTTGTAACTTCACTTTATTCAGCTCTTGCTTTAATTCTTACTTTCCATAGCTAAGCTGTTTGAATGTCTACTTTTATCTCTGTATTATTTCTTCCTATTTACAATTAAATTCTAAATGGAAGAAGGTAAAGGGACATAAATGAGGCAAGGATTCTCTACTTCACTTGAAAGGGGTAAAATGATGACACTAGGAAACTATGATAAATTAAATGTGTGTAATACATATCGAGAGCAATCACTAAAGATGGTTTATGAAGAGAGAAACCGAAAAACACTATAGATAATTGTCAAGTACCTTAAGGAAGGAAAGAAAAAGAAACAAACAAACAAACCAGAATAAACAGAAAACAAAATAAAATGACAAACTTAAGTCTGAACATATTAATATACTATTAAAAATAAGTGGTCTAAGAGGAGAATTTAAAAGACAGTGATTGCTAAAGTAGGACGTGATGGGGCTGAGGTTGTGGCTCAGTGGTAGAGCGCTCGCCTTGCATGTGCAAGGCCCTGGGTTCGATCCTCAGCACCACATACAAATAAATAAAATAAGTGTATAAAAAAAAATCAGTGAAACTATTAAAAAAAAAAAAAGAATGCACATTAAAGTAGGACGTGACCTAGGCCCAGCAGCTCAGGAGGCCAAGACCGGAAGATTGCAAGTTCAAAGCCAGCCTCAGCAGTGACTAGGCGCCTAGCAACTCAGTGGGACCTTGTCTATAAATAAAATACAAAATAGGGCTGGGGATGTGGCTCAGTGATTGAGTGCCCATGAGTTCAATTCCTAGTACCACCCCCCAAAAAACATGACCCAGGGACTTGGGGGTATAGTTAAGTGATAGAGTGCTTGCCTAACATGCATAAATCTCTGGATTTCATTTGCACCACTAGAAAAAATAAGGGAATAAAAGAATCAAAGAATCCAGAGCAATGGACAGTGGCATTGTGCTTATAATCCCAGCTTCTTAGGAAGCTGAAGGAGAAGGATCACTTGAGCCCAGGAGTTTAAGGCCCACCTGGGCAATGAAGTGAGACTCTGTCTCTAAAAACAAAACAAAAATTAAGACCTATAGACTATCTTCAAGAGACTTAAAATGTAATGTTAAAGGAAGCTTAAAAGTGAAAGGATGGGAAAAGATATATCATGCAAACACTATTCAAAGGAAATCAGAGCTGGTTATATTAAAATTAAATAGAGTAGATTTCAAAGCAAAGGAAATTATCAGACACAGAGAAGGACATTATATAATGATAAAAGGATCATCCCAGGAGGAAGACATTTATGGAACATTCCAGTTAACATCACCAGAATTCATATTAGTTTCAAGTGCTCATGGAGCATATACTAGGGTAGGCTATGTGATGCATAAAGGAAACCTGAGTAAAAAATATGAAAGAAGAGTCATACATAGTCCATTCTGAACATAATGGAATTGACCTTGAAACTAATAACAGAAAAAAGGAGAATCTCCAAACAGTTGGAAACTCAAAAATGGTCTTTTAAGTAATCTATATGTTAAAGGAAAAGTTTCAGGGGAAATATAACAATGCATTGAGCTTGAATGAAAATGAAATTACAATGTAGTAAAATTGTGGAACATAGATAAAGCAGTGCTGAGGGGGAAATGTTAGAGCACTAAATCCACATATTAAGAAAGAGGAGGCTCAAGCAAAGAAAATTTAAAACAAGCAAAAAAAAAAAAAAAAAAAAAGAAGAAGAAGAAGAAAGAGGAGGCAGGTGCAGTGGCATGCACTTGTAATCCCAGCAGTTTGGGAGGCTGAGTTAGGAGGATCTTATGTTCAAAGCCAGCGTCAGCAACATAGGGAGACCCTAAAGAACTTAGTGAGACCCTGTCTCAAAATAAAAAATAAAAAGGGCTGGGAATGTAGCTCAGTGGTAGAGCGTCCCTGGGTTCAATCCCAGTACCCAAAAGGGGGGGGTGGGGGGAAAGGAAGACTGAAAATTATTTGTCTATTTCAATAACTTAAAAGAAAAGAGCAAAATAAATCCAAAGCAAGCAGAGGGTTAGGGTTAGGAAGGAAATAATAAAGAGTAGAAATCAGAGAAAACAGTGAAGCAAAGTGCTCATTCTTTGAAAACAAATAATTGATAGACTTATAGAAAGACTGATAAGAAAAACCAAATTCCTGAGCTGGGGATGTGGCTCAAGTGGTAGTGCGTCTGCCTAGCATGCGTGCGGCTCGGGGTTCGATCCTTAGCACCACATACAAAACAAAGATGTTGTGTCCGCCGATAACTGAAAAATAAATATTAAAATAATAAATATTAAAATTCTCTCTCTCTCTCAAAAAAAAGAAAAACCAAATTCTTCACAAAAGGAATGAAATGGTATAGCACTACAGACCTTAAAGAAATAAAAAGCAAGTAATTGTATTAGGGAAAGAAAGTAAATAAAAGGCATTTACAGTAGAAAACAAGAAAACCTTCCCTAATAACAAATTACATGATTCTATAGGTAGAACAACTTATAAAGATTCTATAAAAAACCCAGCAGCAGTAAGTTTATTGGGGTTATAGGATACAGGTTGAACATAAAATGTCAGTCATATTTCTACATATTAACAAACATACAGACCTCAAAGTTATAAGTTAAATACCAATTATAATCACTTAAAAACAGGAAATAATATAAACAAGATTATTTCTGAAGTTTACATGGAAAGTCAAAGCTTTGAACTAGAATAGCTGTATTAATTTTACTAGGATTGCCATAACAAACCAGCACAAACTGCCTTCAACAACAAAAATTTTGGTGTTGTACAGTTTTCTGGATGCTAAAAATCTAAGATCATGGTGTCAGCAAGGTTGGTCCGTTCTGAAGGCTATGATGAAGTTTCTATTCCATACCTCCTCTTCCCTATCTTATGATGGTTTTCCCTGTCCTTTGGAAGCATTCCAATTTCTGCCTTCATGTTCACTTAGTGTTCTCTGCATGTTTTCTAATTTCCCTTTTTTGTAAGGGTAAGAAGCCATCCTGATGAGTCTTAAGGAGTTACTGAGAGCTGTGACTCAGTATCTTTTCTGAGAGGATAGTTCAAAACCATTAACTATACCTAAAACTTTTGAAAAAGAAATCACATTGTTTTGGTCATTTATTATATTACTATGGTGATCAATACATATGAAATCAGCTGAGGGATATACATACAGATCAACATAGCAGAATAGGGAATCCTTATAAAATGTAGCCAACTGATTTTGAAAAGCAGTTCAAAGGAAGAAAGCTAGTCTTTCCTACAAATAATGCTGGAGTAACTGGATATCCAACCGTCCCCCCCCCCCCCCAAAAAAAAAAAGAACCTGTGACTAAGTCTTTTGTTTTAGGCAAAAGTTGAAATGGATAATTGGACCTAAAATAATTGTAACTATAAAAAATGTAAAACTTCTAGGAAATAAACAACACATTATTAGGAATCTGTTTTTAGGCAAAGAGTTATTAATTTTTTTAAAAGCATGATCCATAAAAGGAATAATCAATGAATCAGACTTTACCAAAAGTTAATTTTTTCTCCAGAAAAGGGTAGGAGTAAGAAAACAGGTTACAGAGTGGGAGAAAATATTTTTAAAACATTAATATCTAGAATATGTCAAGAACTCTGAAAACTCATCAGTAACAAAACAAGCCAATTAGAAAAGGGCAAAAGACATGAAGAGAAGAAACAGTTTACCAAAGAAGATACATAGAGGATAAGCACATGAAAAATGTTGGTTATCATTAGTCTTTGGGATATGCATTTTAAAACTGGGGTGATATATCACTTACAGCCAACAGAATGGCTAAAATAAGATACTATGACAACACCAGACATTTGTGAGTCAGGTTGTGGAGAAACAGGGTCACTCTTACATTACTGATGATAATGTAAAAATGGTACGTATAGCCACTCTGAAAAATGTTTTGTCTGTTTCTTAAAAACTCTCTTGCAACTACTGTATACAATCAAGCAGTTTTACTCTTACACATTTACCAGAAAAGTGATTATGTTCACACAAAAACCTGTACATAAATGTTCATTTCATGTCAGCTGTATCTGTAATAGCCAAAAATTAAAATTATAAATGTCTATGGCTCATTATACCAAGGAATACTATTCAGAAAGAAAAAGAATGTACTGTTAATACATGAAACAACTCAATAGGTCTTATACTGTATGATTCCATTTATTTAAAGAGTGTTTGAAGTGAAAAATCTTATAGAAATGAGGAATTTAAACTGTGCAGTAGCCCACGCCTGTAATCCCAGTTTCTTGGGAGGCTGAGGCAGGAAGGATCACGAGTTCAAAGCCAGCCTCAGCAATGGCGAGGCGCTAAGCAACTCAGTGAGACCCTGTCTCTAAGTAAAATATTAAAAAGGACTGGGGATGGGCCCCAGTTGTTGAGCGCCCCTGCGTTCAATCCTAGGTACCAAAAAAGAAGAAATTAGTTTAGTGGTTGTCAGGGATTAAGGAAAGCATGGGGCATGAGGAAAGTGAATGTGGCTATAAAAAGGAAACATAAAAACATTTAACTTGAGACCAATATGTGGTGATGGAAATATTAAACATCTTTTACTGTATTATCTGTCGGTGTCCAGTTTATCATAATGTATTTTTGTTAGATGTTACCTTTGGATAAAAGGTACTCGGGGTCTTTCTGTATTATTAGTTACAGTTGCATGTAAAACCTGTAATGATCTTAAAAAGAAGGTCACTTCCTCACTTCATTGCAGATTTCTCTCTTCTACTCTATGTTTATTATTGATATTCACATTGTTTAGTTTTTAATCTAAATCTGTTCTTAGATTTGACTTTTTTGGAATTTGTGTCTCAGTAAATGACTGAGATAGTGATTCAAATTTCCTCTTACTTCTTGGGTAGAGTACTATCTTGGATTTCTTCCTGTCTCTCTGGCTGTCTCTCCTTTTACTCCTGTCACCTTATATTATATTCTCACCATATCTGCTAAAACGTACTGTACACTACTAGTCTGGTCATAATCTCCATTGGCTTTTTATTTCATCCAGAGTAAAAGCAAAGGCTTTAACTTGGTCTGGCAAACCCCATCTAATTTGACTACTTATTTCTCCCCTACCCTCATTCACTTGGCTGCAACTACACCAGCCACCTCTGCTGTTCCCAGAACCACACACTTTTCTTTTAGGGCTTTTAAAAAACTTATTGTTCCTTCTGTTTGGAATTTTCATCCTCTTGGCAACTGCATGGTTTGTTCTGATCTGTTTTTTGCTGAAAGATCCTTTCACTGAGGTTTTCCTTTGATCACCCTATACAACCATTCTTACACTGGGACACTGTTCTCCCACCAGGCTTAATATTTTTCTAGATAATTATCACACTTAATTTTTACCTATTTGATTATTCCAACCAGAGTATAATTTCCATAATGCATGACTTTTGTTTCTTGTTTACTGATTTATATCCAATGCCTGGAACCAGGGAGGGCAGGGGGAGAAGTGGTCAGCAATACTTTGGTTGAAAGATGATAAATACTTTGGCTTTGATGCCCATATGGCTTCTGTCACATACTTAAGTCTTTTGTTAAAGAGAAAGAAAGCAGCTGGAGACAATATGTAAATGAATGTGTCTATTGTGTCCCAGTATTCGTGAACATTGAATTTGACTTTCATGTAATTTTCAGTTCAAGGAATATTCCCCCCGCCCCCCCATAATTTAACAATGTGAATCCTATTAAGCTCACAAGCCTTACAAAAATAACCTAGGCATTGAGCTTCAGTTTGCTGATCCATGTATTAGAACAGCATCTGTACATGGTAGGCACAAGTAATTATTTTCCCCAGAAATAACTGGAAATTCATAGTTCTTCTCATACTGATTTTTATTTGTCCAAGTTTTTTTTTTTTTTTTAAACATGAGAATATTTCTGCAAAGAAAAAATACTAGGTTTATATCAGTATAAGTTAATTTATTATGTCTTTTGCCAGGTGTTGTGGTGCACACCTGTAATCCGAGTGAGTTGAGGCAGGAGAATACAAATTTGAGGCCAACCTGGGTAGCTTAGTGAGACCTGTCTCAAAATAAAAAATAAAAAGGGTTGAAGATGTAGCTCATTGGTACCAATCCAAGTACCAGAGGAAAACTTTTTTTTTTTTTTTTAACTCTTGTGTCTTTAACCAGATGCTTGAATTAGCATGTATCGACTTATTTCAGAATTTTAAGGGTTTCAGGTATTACAGATGAAATCTCTTGAGGTTCATAATAACATTTTACTATGTTAATGATTTGTCAGAATCAAAACCCATTTTTTTAATGATTTTTACTGTTTCTAGTAATTAGGAATAAAACTAAGAAGTCAATTAGTGTATTTGTCCATATTTTAAAAATTTTAAATTATTATTTTTGCTACCAGGGATTGAATTCATTGGTGTTCTACCATTGAGCTATAACTCCAACCCTTTGTAAATTTTGGGATACAGTCTCCCTAATTGCCAACGCTGACCTCAAACTTGTAATCCTCCTGCTTCAACCTTCCCAGTAACTGGGATTATAGGCGTTAACAATTAATGTACTTGTCCATATTTTTAAAATTTTAAATTACTATTTTTGCTACAAGGGATTGAATTCATTGGTGCTCTACTATTGAGCTATAACTCCAACCCTTTGTAAATTTTGGGATAGATAGGGTCTCCATAAGTAAGCTTGTATTTGCCCATTATTAATGTTAGATTTCACTATTAATTTCAGCCAGAAATATATTGTGTTTAGAAGTCAAGCTGTGTGGTATGTTATTACTCCAACTTTGATGAAACATTTTGCTCACATATTTAAGTGATAGAATGTTTGTTCTCAGTGTGTTAAAACAAAAAATGAATAATGTATTTCACTTAGGTTAGTAAGAATGAAAATAAATAAGCTCAAGAAGTGAACATAACAAATGTGCTAAATCTGAAGAAAAGATGTCAGGATGCACAAAGTAGAAAGGTATTTCTCTGCCTCAAGAAAAGATTTGTAGTCTGGCATTATGTTCTTAAGATTGGGAATAAATGGGATCTTAAAATTCTCAATCTCAGTGTCGTTCTCTTCATCATTATTACCCCAACCATTCCCCAAAACACACATGCTCAGAATTAGACATATATTTATAAAGTATAGACTTGTCATCATTGATTATTCTCTCCACAGATATACCTGTGTTTCCCACGATCACAGCCACTGTGACTTTTCAAGAGTTTCGATATGATGAATTTGATGGCTCCATCTTTACTATACCTGATGACTACAAGGAAGATCCAAGCCGCTTTCCTGACCTTTAACTGACATGGAAAATATGCCATCTAACCAAGGAAAAACAATGAGATACCCTGGAGGTCAACCCAAATAGAAGGGACAAATGCTTTCAGTAAAGAAAAGGGAATTACACATTGAATTGACACATCAGTAATGATAAAGAAATGGGCCTCTAATATGAATTTTAGCAAGTTTCCTGATGTGCCATTTTCAGTCTTTTTAAAAATATACTTATTATAAGTGTAGTAGTTTGACACCTTAATAACCCTAAGACCTTCGTATGTAAAGCAGCTATGAGTGCTGTGATTTGTTTTTAAAACTTTTTACACTTCTTGAAGTATATATGCATATAAATATATCTATATATCTATATCTAAAACACTCCTGGACCATTAACATAAATTAAATGTCTTAAGAGATGTTGAAGCCCTTTAAAACTTGTCATCTTATATTCAAGGTGACATTTATAAATATTCCTTCAAGCTTTGTTTTCATAAAATGTAAACTATGTAACATTATGTATAGTTCAGTAAATTGAATGTTTGTTCAGTATAATGAACTAGAAGGAATGCAATTTTCTGTAGATGAATGAACCAAATGGTAACCATTAAACAAAACAATTGCATTTATATGTTGCAATACATTTCAGAGGGAGCGTTCACTCTGCAGGGAATATGGTACCTCCTTTAGCACCTTAGTGCAATTCATTGTGGTGCTATTTGTTTTTACCTGAATTCTTTCTTCAATGGAAAATGTTTGTTACTAATCTTCTTTTCATAGAACTTCTATTTTTTTCCCCCTAAACTTAAGTTTAAGAGTCCTTGTTATGTTCATGATAAGGTACGGTTAGCATGCTTATAGATAGTCCTCTTCTAAATCTCAGCACTTTAAACAAATTCCAAATTTTTAAACTTGCTTCCTAATAAGTACATATAAGTCTGATGATTTTGTTTGTTTTTAGTGGAATATGGATCATTGGTGTCAATTTTAAGACGACCCACATATTTTGGACAGCCCTACATATATAATGCTTTCAAAGTAAGGTAAAAACATTTTATATGCTAACAGAATATATTTGTTACAAGCTAAAGTCCAGAAGCATATGGAAGATTGACAATACCTATTGTTAATTTTTTTTGGTCACAGGAAAATATTTGATTTTAATTGTCTCCAAAATGTTAAAATCATGCATTACTCATTTTTTGACTTAAAATTTCTTGTATTTATTCCAAGACGGTTTGAAGGTCCAAAAATGAAAATAAATTAGGGAGACTAATGTATAACAGTGATAAAGTATCATGTTGTATTAAAGAGCTTAGCTAATTTTTTAAAAAAAGTTTGTCCTGATGAATTTGTCAAGAATGCATCTGTCAAGTTTTTTAGTGTCCAGTAGTTTAAACTTGTACCAGAATTTTAGGTAATTTGAAATGAGTTTAGAGACCTTTATTGAAGAGATGATTTATTTAACAATCCAAAGTTATCAACCATAAGAAAATTTTTTATGATAAATATCTTTAAAACTGCATCTTCCATACATACCAATTGACCTTTTAATAAATACATTTATAATGCAGAAAAATATTCATAGTTAAAAATTCAAAGACCTAATCACTATCGTATGTGGGTCTGTTGAATTTTGAGGAAAGAATTGGTAAACGGAGAGCTAGCTTTGCTGAAAAGAAGTTGATCACTCATATTTAGGGAATGGCTGTACATCAAGTGATTGAAATATCCCGTCTTTGGTTATTATGGGGTTTAAGACTCTAAATGGCAGTGACTACTGTTGCTCTTAGGCTCCCTCACTTTGTAGGAATCTGGTATACTTTCAGGAATATACTGCAGATTTTTTGCATAAGTGCAGACTAATTGGAGAGGAAAAAAGACATGGTGAATTGCAGCTTGGGATTTATCAATTTCCTAACAGCTGTGACAGTTATGCTGGGGTACACTGGAGGTGGGAAGACTACTGAAAACTTTTGCACTTGGATTTTGTATTTAATACTTTTTCTTTAAGAAATAGTAGAAACAAATTGTCCATTCCAAAATGTCTTCTGATCGTGAAGAACAAACAAATGTCAATATCTATTATGATGGTGGAAAAAATAATGCAAATAAACTTTTCACAATATTAGATTTTCAAAATGTGCTCCTTAATGCAGTTAAGTTTAAAATGAATAGATCACAGCAGCCATATATTTTGATAATTTCACACAAAAATCAAGATTTTGTAATGTGGGTTTATAAAATTGTCTTCTGCTTGTGATTTTAGAAACTTATAAACTGAGTTGGGGACATAAAACAGTCAAATAAACATTTAGACATGGCTGATACTGCTGCCACTAAGTGGTATTTAGAATTTCTGTCCTCAAGAAATTATTCTAATGAGACAATTTGCCCTTTGTAGAATTCTCAAAATTCATAAAAGGGAAACATAAAGCTGATTTCCCTGATTGTTGTGGGTTTTAAGTACATAATGATGTTTTGGAAATTGACACGTCTCTCAGCTGATAGAAGCTGAAAAACTAGTTTCCTTCTGCTCAGATTGGTATTAAGCTTCATTTATACTTATTAGTGGGTTTTCACACTGTTATGCACATACAGCTCATTATTCACATCTTGGCGGAAGGTGAATAATGACGTTTAGCAAGCTTCTCTCCAGTTTTCATTAAGTATACAGATCAGATGAATATCCTGATTATACTGTTTCATTTTTGAGGCTATGAAAGGGCTGGAATAAATATTGTCTGTAAACAATTAAGGGATGCTTCCTTTTCCTCATTTATGTTTTTTTTGGGCAAGCAATGTGCTTGTAAAAACTTGGGAGTAAGAATTTTCAGGTAAATTCAAAGGCTTGCTTGTATGCTAGCCTTTAAAATAGCCTATGCTTAGGGTGAAATATCTCAAGATTAATAGTGGATACAGTATGCCTTTGCTGTTTTCTAAAATTAACAAAATACATCCTTACCAAAGTTGCTATACTTTCATACATATTGTGGTTGATCTGCTCCTTCTTGGGATGAGGCAAGATGGCTACCTTCCCCTGGATTCTACTTCAGCTCTTCAAGAGGTGAAGAGTTCTAGCCTTCTGCAGGACAACCTTGCCACCAAGAACAAAAGTAACAAGACTTAACCAGTTTCAGTCCATCCTTGTAGGTTTTAGTTTGTGCTTGTGGTTAGCTCCAGCTTATTCTTACAGTCACAAATCTTCACTTTCCAGCTGCTTGTGGACTTTAAACTGCATGCAGCATCAGGTGCAAAGACAAAAGCCTTACTGAGACTGCTTAACCGTCTCAGACAACCAAGGTCCATCCCTGTTAAAACACAAAATAACAAAAAACTAGGAGTTTTGCTTCTTTGAGTACAGTTTTAAATAACTGAACATTAAATTCTAATCGAGTATAGTTTAGAATAACTTAAAAGTAAACATTTGAAACATTCCGTCATCCTAGACCTTCAATTTCTTATGTACCAATCACTTTAGTTTTTTTTTTTTTGCAGAGTAGAAAGGATTAGGTACTGGGGACTGAACCCAGGGGCATGTTACCATTGATGTACATCCTCTGTCCTCTGAGACAGTATCTTGCTGTTGCTGAGACTGGCCTCAAACTGCATTCTCTTGCCTCAGCCTCCTTAGTTGCTGGGATTACAGGTATATGCTCCAGCTTCTAGCTAGCTTTTATAAGAAGCATCATACCAATTTTAGTGATAGTGCACTACAAAAATGAGCTTCAAATTTTGAAAATGATATGTATTTTTTTTAATAAGGACTTTATTAAATAGTCATTGAAAAATGTTCTGTCAGTTGCAGGGGATGTAGTTAGTGATATAGTACTTGCCTAACATGCCGGAGGTCTTGGGTTGGGTTTGATCCTCAGTACTGCAAAACACAAACCAAAAGAAGTCCTTTACAAATTATCAGTTCTTAAAAAAAAATGTCATATCAACATTTTTGTAAATGCTAAATATCTAATACTATACAATATGAGAATATTAATAATATTCCCACAGGGCCTAAATTACTTTGCTAATAATGTCTAAATCCACTTATCAGATACAAAATTAATCAGTATGTAGAAAACATTTAGGGAAATGTTACTTCTGCTATGCTAACACTCTTAGTAATGAATGAATGAATTCTGGATGTTTATAAAACAAGGTTCCAGTAGCAATAGCAATTCCATTACACCCACATTCAACTATAACACAAAATATGGACTTGATTTAGAACCAAGGATGAGACGCTTAAGTTTTTGAGACCAAAGACAGAAACCTCAATTCCAGTTTAAAAACCCAGAGCATTAATCTTCAAACAGTATGGATCTTTATCTGTTACCCAATTCAGTACTAGATTTACTGATAATACTGTGCGAACCTGAGTTGTAAGACGCAGCTCCAAGGTTAAAAATTAGTTTTTACTGTTACAGTACTGGCTTTTTCCTTTACTGTTTACATTTCTATCTTTAATGGTTAACATCATAATGGAAATATATGTGCCCTATGTTAGTGTTTTTGCTTTAACATTACCACCTAAATAACATTTTTAGTACTGGGGAATGAACTACCCTGAGCTACATCCTGAGTCCCCTTTATTTTTAATAGACTTAAGATAGGGTCTAATTTGCCTTGAATCTGTGGTCCTCCTGAGTAGCTGAGATTACACTGTGCCTGGCCTAAATTACTACACAGTTTTTCAAAAACCATAAACAGCATCTACTGTTAATTGATATATCGATACAATTCCCCCCAACCAACTAATGTGCACAGGTCAACAGTTCTCTCCAGGCTGGCCACATAAAGCAAACCCTTGACTAGACTGTTAATTCAAGTCTCCTCCTACAGACACTAATCTAATTACCTACAGAATTTAAGCAAATAAATAAGAACAAACATTTTTTTCTAACAAAACCACTTTTATTTTTAGATCATTTTACTACCAAATACAGAACAAAACTTGGTGTGGAGGCAGTGTTCACTTGATTTCAACTGGTTACCTCATCTGTTAAAAGGATTGTGTCCCAGTATAACACTACCTTTGTGCAGAATATGTTTACTGAAAAATATCCTAAATATAACTTCCTTCATTGCAGCATCTTAAGTAAGTGGCACTATTTTAAAATCCCCATTTTTAAATCCCTTTAGAAAATAATATATTTGCATCCAGAGGGTACAATTGGGGGAGACAGATTTTTATTTTTTACCCCATAAAACTGCCAGTATTGTTTTTTGACTTATAAAAAATGGCCACATCACATGGGTCAACCTTTACTAAACATTTTTTTCTAAATTTAAAATGTCATTTGCACTCAGAAAAAAAAAATCAGTGATTATTTGGACCATTTCTAGAATTTCTTATACTTGCCATAAACAAATTTCTGATAAAGTCTTAAAAAGTTACTACAAACTATAAAAATGCTGCTTTTCTATATGGCATTTCAACTTTTAGAACAGTTTTTTTAAAAAAATCAAATTTTACTGAAAAACTTGGATAAAACTACAACTCCAAGTCTCAACTTTCTTTAATCCTAGCCAAACACTCCTAATTTCATAAACGAATAAATATACTATTTAGTACTGTACAGCATACATATCATTGACAGTTTCTATATTATTTCAGAAAAGGCAAACATTATTTCACTGAAAATATAAATTTACTAGATTATAAGTGGATCATTTGTTTATCCTAAAGTTCATGGTGTAATCCAACCCCATTCCCATATCCAAAATATGAGAAAGTTATATCAAGACTGTTTTAGATAGAAATTCAATTATTTGACAATTCTGATGGCAAATACCAGCATAAGGTGATGGATTTCATCTTGTTACTGTATTTAAACGTGGATAGAAAGAGAAAGAATTGGTAAAATGAATGAGGTAAATGTCTTACATTCAATAATGTAAATAAATACAAATACAGTTTTACAGGAACATGAACATAAGTTTAAGGGTTTTATTATCAAAGTCTTGTAAAACAATTTCAGAAACTGTACATCAACATGGCACAGACTGTAGCCTACTTTTGTTTTTACTGCACAAAAGTGAAGCCCGAAACTCCTGTAACTAAGAAAAACAGTTGCCTAACTACTTTGCATATAACATGGAATCACTGTGTGCATTAAGATTACTACTATAGTAATAGTAACACAAAATTTCTTGGTTTTGTACAACTTGAGATCAAATAAAAGTACATTATCAAGTAGACCTATCTTATTTTAAAAGCATCGAAGGTCAATTTAAAATGCACTACCCCTTTTTCCATAAGTGAGCTTAAAACAAAAAGAAAAATTGAAAATCAGGACAAGATACAACTTTCTTTTACAGGTGGACTCAGGATAGGCGGATAACTTTCACTGATGTAGATATGGAATAAATTACGTTAGGAAAAAAATTCCCAAACACCCATGAAAAAGTACACAACTCTACTTCAAAATGTTGCTATTTACTCACCGTCAAAGACAGTTTTATTTGAAATGTTGTTTCTGTAATTAAAGCCTAATTAGCCATCAAAAAAGGTTAGTGCATATATAACCTTTCAAAAGTTAAACAAAAGCCACAAAAATTGAGCCACAAGGCTTATAGGATTATCTATTTCAGATGCTCATTTCCAGATGTAACTCTAAGAATGTTAATTTGTCATGTCAACAAACAAGACCATAAGTAGATCCATCATGTTGGAGGATTTTAATGACATTTAGGATATTCTTGCCACAATAACATGCAATCAGTGCATTCCCTACATGGCTCTATTACGGCAATGAATCAAATTCTAGAAATACTATAAGTGAACTTACGTAATAAAGGAGATCATACAACATAAACAATCCATGCCTGCTGTAGATGCATGCAGCTTTTCACTTTTGTTATGAAGCAGCACCAGAATAGTAAAACTGCTTGGTTACTCAATCAGATTTCACCACGACAAGAGCTGGTTACCCATGTACCATTTTCTAAAAGCTTTTTGATGTAAATAACTAATATCAATATCAGGAGCTTTATAACCATTTATAACTCAGCTGTATACATCTAGGATTGAGATGAACAAATACAGCATTAATAAATCACACAAAGGAATGACACTGATGCATGTATACAGTTGGACTCCCACAGAGGCAGTACTCAGTCACTCATATCCATGTCTTCTTCATGATGATCGTCCCCATTCACTTTGGATTCTCTTAGTGAATCACCGGTTCCCTTTTCTACAGAACATTCCTTTGTTTTAGGGGAACCTGTTTCTGTTGGTTTCTTCTCCTCTTTTTTCTCTTTCTCGCTGTCATACCCCTGTTCCTCTTCATCGTAATCCCGTGTAACCTGCTTTGCCAAGGATAATAATAAAAGTAAGTTTCTTCAAAGAAAAAGAATTTCTTCAAAGCACAAACACCACCCCAAATTCCAAACTAAATCAGTTTGTATACATACTTTTACATCTTTATCACTCTCTGATTTTCTTTCCCGGTCCTTCTCCTTATCTTTACTCTTTTTCTTTTTGCTTGTTGATCGTTCCCGTTCATCTCTGCTTCTTTCTTTGTCTTTATCTTTCTTCTTCTCCTTTTTATGTCTAGAATGACAGTTAAAATGTGCTCAAAAAAGGTCCTTTAAAGGAACCTCACAAGAAGTTTCACCCTTGAATATGAGCAATAAGTTTTAATTCCACAAGATAAAAAGAGGACAGCGAAGATCCAATTTCAAAACTGGACAATAAAGGCATCAATTTGTGCACAGGTACCACAGGCAAGAAGACTGGGAGATCTGATTTAGAGGTCTAAAATGATCAATTCTAAGAAGTGTTTAAGTCTCAAGAATATAAAGAGAATATAAGATACCTTCTCAAGCACTTTCAATACTCCAAAAGGAAAAAAATATATAGGTTATAAAAAACAAAGACAATTTAAAAATCTTTAGAACTTCTGAAAATCATAAAGGCCAGATCAAAACAATTAACATTTTTACCTCCTAGGGGATGGTGAGCGAGATAATTTTCTTTTAGGAGACCTAGGCTTTTTAGGAGATCTTGTTCCACTCCTGCTTCTTCTTCGTCGTCTCTCTCTAGAAACACAAACGTGCAAACTAGACTTTAAAATACAGTGCGATCTAATTAGCTCCACTGGGAACTTCTATAACATGATTCTAATAATGTAAGACCTGTTTCACAAAACTGTTTTGAGCAGAAACACTCTTAGGTTTGAGAAAGAACTGATTAACAAAAGTTCTAATGCAAGCAAGAAAAATTCAACCTATTATGGAGGAAATTCAGTTTTAGATTCAAATCTTTGGTGGCTAGAACAGATTTAGGATAATTCAATAACGTTTTGGGAAGGCAATCATTAATATACAAAAATTAAGCTTCTAAATCATTAGATGAAATCCAGAAAAGTAGAGTTGCCAAGTCCAGTTATATAGACTCCCTACACCCCAGCAAAATCCGCCCCACCAACTCTGCTTTAAACAATTATTTTTAAGACGGTTTTCACCTACTTTTTATTGTGGCTTTAAAAAAAAGCTCCTGAATTCTTAAGTTATTGGACGTGAAAGATGACCATGTGCAAAGCAATCAACATTTATTCATCGAATATTTACTAAGTTTGTCAAGAATATGAATGTTACACTTCTTGCTACTGTTCTGTGTAACTGATACTACAAATTCTTTATGTGGAAGAAATGTTTTGTATTTCTGTGCCCCTCAATATATTGAGGTATCGCTGCAAAGAAAGTATTTAATAAAAACAAAAAATATTTTAACTTAGAATGGTCTACTCAAGAGGTAAGGTATATAACCAATAGGTAAAAGTCTTTTTTTTTTTTTTTTTAATTAATTTTCTATTGTTTTTGGTGCTGAGGACTGAACCCAGGGCCTTGTGTATGCTAAGTACAAGTTCTGCCTCTGAGCTACAGCTCCAGTCCCTCTTTGTTTTTTAAGGCAAGAAAACATGCTATACTTCCCATCTCCTACAGCTTTTTGCCACCTGTCCCCCAGACTTGATATTGCATTCCTTTTGGTACTTAAACCTGGTTTCCTTTTCTTTCTTCTGTAAGCGTACTTTGCAAGAACATTCTCATTCAGATCCACAGAAATCCCATTCCCTTTACCAAGTTTTGATCTCTAATATCTGCCTAGTTTAGACTTTTCATATAAATAGAACCATTCACATGACTTCCATGACTGGCTTCTGGCCTGTTTTCAATGTTCATCCATATCACTTTATTTAATGCCAAATAATCTACTGTATTAGAACATCTGTTTATCCACTTGTTTGTTAGTGGACACCTGCACTAACTTTTTGGCTATCATGAATAATGCTATAATTTTTTTTTAACAAGCATTTACATGAGTGCATTTTTTTTTTTTTTAAATCTGTAGTAGTAAAACTGCAGGGTTAAAAACCTCTGTTCTAACTTTTTAAGAAAGTAAGTGTCAGCCTGTTTTCCCCAGAGCTATTGCCAATTTTTTCTAATTCCTCACTAACATTGATTTATCTTTTTGATCACAACAATCCTTGTGGGTGTGAAGTGGTATTTCATTGTGACTGACTTCCTTTCCTTGGTGGCTAAAATATTGAAGATTATTGATGTACTTATGAACTATATTTGCATACTTCTTTGGAGAAGCGCCTACATAGATCCTTTGACTAGTTTTTACTTGGGTTATCTGCCTTTCTATTGCTAAGCTCTAAGAATTTTTTATATGTTCTAGATGTAAATTCCTTATCAGGTCTATATATTAAAAATATTTTCTTGCACTCCATGAGCAGACTTTAACTTCCTTGAGAGTTAAAAATTTGCGATTCTGGTGCTTTTCCTTTGTAGTTTTTCTTCTGTTGTGCCTGTTCCCTTGGTGTCTTTATGTAGAAAACCACTGCCAATCAAGGTCACTGAAATTTACTTCTGTTTTAAGTTTTACAGTTTTGGCTCTGGCTCTTTAAGTCTTTCATCCACTTTTGAGTTTTTAAAAATATGACATAAGGTATCAAACACTGAAGTAAAGCATAAATAATATCTGAAAGAAACAATATTAAGGATGGCCAGTCCTTATTAAAATCACAAAAATCCAAGTTAAGCATGAAATACATTTTATGTGGGGAAAAGTTTGTGACACTTTTAATTTTCATTATGACAATTTAAAAAATAGACTTTTAAAATCTAAAAATGATACAAATCAGAACTTCCACTGTCTTCCCTTAATTTATCAATGCCACAATATAAAAATGAAATATTCTTGAGTACTAATATGTGGATACAGCAAATGTAACTCTTAATAAAACTAATTTAATATAACAATTTGATATGCTTTAGGGATTAAAATTTCTCATTAAAATAGAAACACTGGGGCTGGGGTTGTAGCTCAGTGGTGAAGCGCTTGCCTGGTATGTGTGAGGCACTGGGTTCGATCCTCAGTACTGTATAAAAATGAATTAAACAAAAGTATTGTGTTCATCTAGAACTTAAAAAAAAAGAGAGGCACTGACATGGCTAAATTCCACATTATTTTTATATACACTCTATGCTACAAGATGATACAAAGATAAACTCCAGATTGTTCTTCACAAATTGCCTTTAAAAACATTGAATTTTGGTAAAGTCTTCCTTTTGTAATACTGGAGTATTAATGTTCTGAAGCATATTTTACATTCACAGCCTTCTGATAACCTTAAAGTAAAAATATGCAAAGAATTCAGGATGCCACCTTACCTGCTTGCACTTCTCGAACGTCTGGCTGTGCTGTAACTTTTTGGTGGTGTTTTGGAACGTTTCTTTTCTTTGTCTTCCTTCTTTTTATCTCTAATAAATAAACATAATGTAAGAATGTATAATTAAGACTCCAATATATAGAGTATTACAAATGAAAACAAAAGTACAATCAAATCTAACCACATTCTTAAAAACATCCTATCCTCAACTATTAGGGATCAAAGTATCCCCCCTTTGCTGTTGTATGATAATCTTTTCACTATATATTCTCTATTTCATCCCATTCCTTCTATGGTTATCTTGCTCTAGCATTGATCTTCTTTTCATCCAACTGGCTATCACCTAATTCTTAAGTGACAATTATCAATTTCCTAAAATGTTTCAGGTATGCTTTCCATAAATTGATCATGTACCTCTATTGGAGATATTTCAAATTACAGTCATGTGTTGCATGGTTAGTACCTTTTGTGTATGGGTGAGGTGGTCAACTAGGTATTGAACCCAAGGGGGGCTTTACCACAGAGCTATAACCCCAGCCCTATCCCTTCTTAAGACAGGGTCTCATTAAGTTGTTCAATAAATTGCTAAAGCTGGCTTCAAACTTGAGTTTCTTCTGTCTCAGACTCCTGAGTTGTTAGGATTGTAGGTGTGAGCCACCATGCCTGGCTCATTGCTAACTTTGTAAATGTCATTTTCAATCTGATACCACGTGTCCTAACAAAGTCAAGTTCAATGTTTCAGAATGTAATATTCTAGTCACTTCTCAATCTTCTTCCAATGTACATGGCAACCATCACAGTCTTTCTCCAATTATTACTCTCCTAATACACAGAAAATTGAGAAAAGAATGCCCAATTCTGTGTAAGATGATTGTTCCAATATGCAGTCTTGTTTGACTAGATTAACATATAATCCATTTAGCGACACAATCCCATTATGAGTTGAATACCCAGTATTCCTATCTCCTCTATTCCTACTGTCAAGTTATATGCTTACCAAAGATAAATAACCAAGGGAAAAACAATGAAAATCTATATACTTTTCAAATGATAAAGCTCTCATGCCACTATAGAATGAAAATCAATGATATGGTTATGTGTAACTCAAAACTAGACACGCTAATTTTTTAAAAAGGTTCAGATCTTTATGAAAGCTTAGTTCTTGAAAGTATAGTAAATGGAAATGAACATTAAGATGGTGTTTCTTTTCCTTATGAATCTTTAGTTTAACTCTGTACTGGTCTCAAATCATGGGATAAGAGACTTTTTGTAGTACAGTTCCATGTCTGGCACATATTGATCCATAATGCATGTTTCTAAGTCACTGAATAATGAGACATATAAAGAGAAATGAAACATAACTGTCTATCTTAATCTTTGGCATACCACAAGGAATGGCAGGCAACACTAAATCTTTTGCAGTAGTGGAAAGAAAAAAATGAAGTAAAAGGGACAGCTAAGAATTTTTACTACTAAGAAATTTTACTTAGGAAAAAAAAGAGAGAAAAAAGAAATTTTACTGAGGCATTCACACCTATGGGCTGAAGTTTTAGTTTATGGGAGACAAGAAAATAAATGTTAGCCTCCTCAAGTCTCCAGTATATTCTTCCCCTATGTAGCTCTATCTGCCTGTACCCTTGCCTCTTTTTGTTCCAAGTAGCACAGTATTTGGAGTCCTAGGAACGCAAAAACATGAATTTTTACCCAATGTTAATAATCAGTAATACCTGGTTTTTGATGTGCTTCTTGACCTTCTACCTCTTTCTCTGGAATGAGATCTTCTCCGTCTTGGACTTTTGGATCGTCGTCTACTCCTTGACTTAGAATGTGATCGCCTCCTTGACCTGCTTCTTGATCGCCTAATAATGTAACAGAAGCAATACATGTATATTGTAAAAAGACTAGTGAATACTTAATTGTGAATACTTCAATCAGCCTCAAACATATGGACTGTGAATTAAGTGGGGATAATCTTCCCTTATCAGTTGCTGTCATTATTCAACCTATAAACATCTTGGATACCTTTTAACACTTGAATTCCCCATCTTTCAATGTTCTGCTCAACATTTCAGACCAGTCTTCCTATTCCCACTGAACCTACAACTCGAAGGTTAAAAGCACTACTAGAGAATGAAGGAAAAATAAATTCTCTGACATTACTTTAAACAAGTACATGGCATTGTAATTTCCCCCCAACATTCCAGATTAAACAATATTTATCAATTATCAAATATTTATATTAGGCTTTCTATATGATTTAGAAATAGGCTTCATAGTAACTGTATAAAGTATGTACCATTATAATCCCTTTTTATAAATGAAGACTGCTTAGTGGGTTGCAGTCATTTCTGAAATATATTTCAATTCTTTAATTCACAATTTAAGAAACTCTAAGCAATCTAGGCCTTACATATTCAACTCAGTATAAACTATCTCTTTTGCTCTTTTTTTCCCCCTCAAAATATCATGGTCTCCACATGATCCTCTCTTTGCTATCATTTAACCAATGTTTCTGTATGCCCCTTGGCTTTTCTTCCAGCACATTCTCTTTAAGCTTATTTAATCTTCAGATGTTGTCACCAATTCTTTACTACTATCTTAATACCTCTATTTTAAGAATAATTAAAAAGAAGTTGTAGTCCTTTGTTTAGTCTTGATCATTTAACATTTAGCCATCAAACTTTCTGTGAAACATATTTTAGAAATACAAAAGGTCATATTCAAATCTTTGCCACAGCTCAAGAGTATTATCCTCCTCGATAACTGGTTCTTCAGGAGTCAAAGAAATAAAATAGCAGCTATTTCAGAGAATAGTTGATTTTCCCTTACTGATGTATTAATATAGCTTTGATTTTAATTAATTCCTTGAACAAACTGCCTTAAAACCCATTAGGAGGAACTGGGGTTGTGATTTAGTGGTAGAGCGCTTGCCTAGCACATGCAGGGAACTGGGTTCAATCTTCAGCACCACATAAAAGTAAAATAAAGGTATTTTGTCTAACTACAACTAAAACAAAATATTAAGGAAAAAACATTAGTACCACCTTATTAAACTCACGATTAACTTCTATTTGTAACACTTATTTGCAGCCATCCTTGAATCTCTTATAATAATACCTCCATATCCCAAGAAATTTTTAAATGTTTACTTTTCTGTAACCTCCAGAAGGACAGGGGAAATATGTTACATTTATTCACTAGCGTAGCCCTAGTCAATTACTACAGTAACTGACTTAAGGTACTAAGAACAATTGTAAGGGAAATAATTAGCCTATGAAACATCAGAATTACCATTTTATTCTAAAAAGATTTAAAAATTCTGGAAAACTAAAAAAAATTAATGTTGTTAGAATTAAGTACATCTCATCTTAACATGCTAGCTTTAAGAAAATGTGTAAAACATTTTCAATAACCAAGTTAAGCCTTTTTTCCTACCTATAATATACACAGAAAGCAATACTGAATACTACAAGAGCATTTTTACAACTTTCTAAACACACAGATTTAATAAATTTTGAAAAATCTAAGAAACGGAGGTACTGCAACAATATCAAATCACTAGAGCCTAAAACAATTACTTTTCAAGGCCAACATATTGCAAGAGACACTTCTACTGTACTTATTTAAGTATCAGGAAATTTAGAGATAAGTATATCAAATGTGTAAACAAATAAAGAGGCTTGCTGAAAGTCACGATAATTAAAATGCTTAAGATAAATTAGGCATGGTGGCTCACACCTAGAGTCCTGGCATCAGGAGGATCACTTGATCCCCGGAGTCTGAAGCCAGCTTGGGCACAAGTAATACTCTGTCTCAAGAAACAAAATGAAACAAAACAAAAACAAAAAAGCCTAAGATACTCTACTCACAATAATTATGTTATATTATAAGCAGCTGAATTCAGAGAAATGTTTGAATACTGTTTTTCAGTAGCAAAAGTACATCATTATTAAAATTTGAGAGTCACAGAATTTAGTAATAGGAATAAAGCTGCTAGAGTTCTTAACTGAAAAAGAGTGAGAAAGGAGAAGGAAAAGATATAGACTCTCAATTTTAAGAATATGATTTAGAAAACAAATTATGGTAATCCCAGTAAAAGATATATTGTATTAGAGATCAGACTATGAGAGAGCACTGTCTTGGAAGATTAAGATAGTTGAGTAGTACCAACACTTCACATAAACAGTAGAATTTAAGCCATATCTTTCAGAAAGAAGAAGTTCCTCAAGGGGAAGTGAAGATATAAGAAACAGTATTATTAGAGAAGAGGGAACATGATGAGCCAACACATGAAGGCATAAAGAAAACATTGGTAAGGCAAGAAGTTTCATAACTGTTCTGAAGTGGAAAATGACAATGTGTGGAAAGATATGTCACACTGACTAGCAAATAAACTGAAAGCTATTCTGTGGTCTTCTTTATCATTAATGCAGTGGAAGTTTCTCATTACCATCTCTAAGAATGAGATGGTCAGGGAGAAGTTGGGTGACAGGGAATAGAAGACATCACACAGAACACTTCTAAAATAATCCATGAAGATACTAAATATAGACATGGTATGAACTAGGTTTCAGAAGAAAAAAACACAAGGATATAAGAACCAAGTGGTACTAAATCTGAAAATTAGCTGAAATAATTGACAACTGGGATATCACAATCTTATTATTATTTATTTATTTAATTTTTGGAATATCACAATTTTAAGTACTACCCTGCCAGGGCTTAGACTAGAATATAATTAAGGTAACTTGAACAGGGAGTTTAGGTAAAATAAAGAATGGCTGAAATGGTTGGTGGTAAGTTATCAAATGCAATGTTTCAGAAAGTATAACTTATGAAACCGTTTTTTGGGGTCCACATGGTCAAAATTATTTTCAAAATAGTAGTGATTATATGCCTTTTTCATTGTCTTGATATTTGCACTAATGACGCAACAGCATAAGGAAAGGTACTGGCATTTTCTTGTCACAAATCAAGGTAATGGCAAATGTACTGTACCAATCATTGGCACTTCTGTATAAACTTGTAAAAGAAAGATAATGCTGCTTCTAATAAGGATGATTTGATGAAACAGTGAAAATTATTAATTTTATTACATCTAGTTCTTTGAATAAGTAGTATTAATTCTTGAGTAATATTTAAAGTATGCATAATCACTACTGATGCTGATTAAAGTACAATGGTGTATCAAGAAGGACTTGTATGACTGAGTTGAATTAGCTGCCTTTGCCTTCTTGTAAAGATTAAGCTTGGGGAAAAGTTCTATTCAAAGTCTGAGAGATAACTGACTTTATTAAGTTAAAAGAATTTTATAAAAAGTTCATTATTATGGTTTCAGTTCCATATGGCAATTACCTAACTATCACCTGTCAAATTTTGGCACTTATTAATAAATTGTCTTCTTTTAAGCTAAACATTACAGATTTGCAAAGCAGTAAAAACAAAACCACTGTCTCCAGTTGTTTATAAGTGTAAAGGATTTTGAAAACTGGACTGTAGAGACCTAATATATTTATAGAGGGAAGTTATATGGAAAAAAGAACAAATTTAGTATTACTCTAGATAAGTGAGAGAATGATACTATCAACTGGTTTATCCAGTAATTCATAAAATATAAAAAATAGCAAGTTATCACTTGCAAATATTCATACATTAGATATACGCAGGTTCCTCAAGTCACCTTCCAATTTAAGTTTCAGAAACAAGTTATAACTAGAGTTCAATTCCAAAGTTTCAAGTCCAGTGATCTTTAAACAGTACTAAGTCATTTCGATATTCAAGTCCCAAGGCCTTCTGACCACCCACAGATTTTTGAGTTTAACAGTATCATAGATTTAATTCATATCTTTCCTCACTTTATATGTGTGTGAGAACTCATTCATATACTGTTAATAGCAATGGTTACCAAAATATACTTTAACCAGGAACTAGTCTGCAAACATCAAATTCAGAAATACAGAAACTACCTCTGTAAAAGATATAACTGACTTCAAAAAGCAATCTAACCTGTGTCTAGAAGATGAGGGAGTCCGCCTCCTCCTAGAACGTGATCTTGATCTTGAATGCCTTCTTTTTTCTTCTTTCTTATCTGGATGTTTTTTTTAAATTAAAAAAAAAAAAATGAACCAATATTTAGAAATCATCTAACAGAAAAATTACTCCCATTCAAGAGTTATTCAAAGAATTTCTTATTACTTTAATTTTATTTTATTTACTTATTACTTTAATTTTCAGCTTTTACGTATACACTTATGTCACAAGTGATCATTTCATAATCCACTGCTGAAGCTTGTGGAAATGACACAAATAATTTAGGCTTTTGATGGATCTTTATTATTAGATTTCTGATTCTCAGCTAACAGTTCCCTTTACTATCTTACTTGCCACAATTAGAAGGCTGTGAAGGTATTTTCTACAAATCAATAAAAAGGGTTATCTTTCACATAGGTGATTTCTGATTTGTTCTTTAGAAGGTTTGAGTCCTTTTTTCCTTTTTTGGGATTTCTTCATAAATACAGCTATAATCAGTCAGATTAATGTTTGCTTTGATTTTCATGTGTTTTTCTTTTTTGGGGGGCAAAACTGAGTATGGAACCCAGGAGCACTCTACCAGTGAGCCACATCCCCAGTCCTTTTATTCTTTAAACTCTGAAACACGGTCTTGCTAAGCTGGCCTTGAAATTGTGATCCTTCTGAGTCACCAGATTAAAGGTGTATGCCATTGTGCCTAGCTTACTTTAAAGAGCAAAATAAAAGCACTGCAGTTTTCATATGTGGATTATCATTAAAGTGACAATAAGTTCCTCTATCTTTCACATTTAGGACCCTCAATTAACAGGATCCAATCAATAAATTCCCAAAAATCTCAGAAAAAAATAATTTATAAACCATTTAACTCATGAGTTTTCAACTAAAAGCAGTTTAGAGGACAAGTGCCCAAGAGTTCTGAGTTACAAAGAACCATCTGTGTATCCAAAGCTTCTACTGCTTTCCTTGTGGCCTTGGCTACTTACTGAAAATTTAATTGATTAAAAGATAATCTAGGCGCTTGGGCTGTGGCTCAATGGCAGAGCATTTGCCTAGCATGTGTGAGGCACTGTGTTCGATTCTCAGTACTACATATAAATAAATAAAATAGAGGTCCATTTACAACTAAAAAAAAAATATATATATATATATATAAAGAATAAGACAAATGATTTTTTTTCAAACAAAAGATAGGAGCATTTCATAGGCTCTTCTGATTAGGCTATACCAACCTAGACAAATAAAAATGATCAATAACAACCAAAATATCATACCAGGTATTACTTAATCCTAGGCACTGCTGACATTTTGGAATGGTTCAGTATTGTATGTGGGACTCCTGTTCACTGTAATAGGTCTAGCGACATTTCAATCTCTACTTACTAAATGCAGTTGGTACCAGTGTGACAACCAGAAATTTCTCCAGCTATTTCCAAATATGCCTGGGTGGCACTCCATTACATGATCTTTTATTTATCAGAATTTGCAAACATCAAAAAAACAAAAACAAAAACAAAAAAAACTAGAGTATTATTCAACACATTTTTACATGCAGGCCATCATCATTTGTCAAGAATATTAGTTTAATTTCCAAAAAAATTGCATAAAAATATTTTACCTGGTTCAATAGCAGCAGAAATCAAGGACTGTGCTTCACGTACTCTTTTCATAGCTTCCTCTATTTCTTTACTAGAGGTATCTGATTTCAGATTTGGTGAAACCAGACCAGCAGCTACATGATTCAACCTAAAACACAAAGAAGAACTGAGGATAGAAATATTTTAAAATTCAACCCTACACTTAAAATAAGTAGTATACTTTAGTTTCATGTAACATAATTTCAGTAAACTATTCCTTGAAAAAAAGGGTGGGGGATTCCATAACCTCAATAAATGATATATAGTAGCATGGTTTTGAATATTTATAATAGACATCTCTATTTTAATGATTCACACAGATCTGGAATTCTGGAATAGTAAAATACTTTTTTATTTTTGCTGAACATTAACTTTCCATAAATAATTTTGAATATGGAAATGCTGAAAACCAAAAACTTTTTTAAAAAAGAATTCTACAATATCTTTGTTGGGCTTTAACTTTTAAGTTTACAAATGGGGAGAAACTGAGGCAATGGACAATGGCCCAAAGTTACACATGACATTCTGACTGGAGCCAAGTGCAGTGGTGCATGCCTATAATCCCAGTGGCTTAGGAGGGTAAGACACATCACAAATTCAAATCCAGCCTCTGTAACTCAGTGAGAGCCTGTCTCAAAATGAAATATAACAAGGGCTGGTTATGTGGCTCAGTTACTGATAGCCCCTGGGTTCAATTTCCAGTTACACACACACACACACACCCCCCCCAAAAAAAAAAAAAAAAAAATATCAAGGGAAGGCTAAAGATCTAAAGATGGCCCTTAGTGGTTCATACATGTTAAAAAAAAAATTACAGACACCAATTTAGTACAGTAGATTTGAGGAAATGGTGGGAAATGTCATATAAAATAGATACAGAAAGAACTTCACTCTATTGGTGACATTTTAAGTTGGATGGTGGGTACATGATTGAATTGGGAGGGGGGCAGTAGTACGGGGGATTGAGCCCGGGGCACTTAACCACTGAGCCACATCCTCAGCCCTTTTCCACAGTTTATTTACAGTAAGGGTCTCACTGAGTTACTTAGGGCCTTGCTATGTTGCTGAGGTTGGCTTTGAACTCATGTTCCTCCTGCCTCAGCCTCCTAAGCTGCTGAGATACATGAGTTTGCCACTGCATCTGGCCCCGTTTGAATTTTAACTATAAGAAAAATCCCCAAAGAATGTGTGAGCTATTGATTATGCAACTTGCATGACTTTGGTTTGGGATAGTTTTCCCTTCAGCTTTGCTTCTTTAAGTCCTACTATCCACAGGGATAGCCTTTGATCTTCAAACTAAGTTTTCCCTTTATAGTAAGTTCCCTAAACTAAACATCTCTGTCCTTTCCCTAGTTGAATGCACATTCTTTATTATAATAAAATATCAATGTCCTTCCTCCTGACTACAGCATAAGCGCCATGAAGGACTCACATATTTTAAGTAGGGGGAGGTGGAAGGATTACTGGGGATTAAACTTAGCAGCACTTTACCACTGAGCTACGGCCCTGATCCTTTTTGAGGCAGGGTCTGGTTAAGTTGCTGAGGCTGGCCTCAAACGTGCCTTCTGCCTTATCTTCCTGAGTTGCTGGGATTACAGATGTGCACCACTGTGTTTGACTTTAGGATATTTTTTTATGTTACTATTCTGGTATAAGCCATTTACATTTATTATGAAAGACCCACATTACACTAAAATAAAACCCTTAATATACGTGGGTTTCCTTCTAGATTTCCCTCATTTCTAGAAAACATTATGTAACATATGCCTTGAGAACATGTACTTCTATCAAAAATAATGATACACTAGACATTCACACACACTATCATGAATGAAAACAAACAAAACCCTTACTTGGGATCAACAGTGCTCATAAGCTTCAGCAACTGATCTGCGGCAAGAGACTGCAAAAAACCAAAAAATTAGTAAAGAATACATGCAACAAATAATGATGCTATTTATTTTCTCAGTACACTGAAATGCACTGAGGCAATTTTGTCAAACCTATAAAAAGTAACATGCTCTATGCATGATGCTAACAAACAGAATAAAACACAAGCTACACATTATTAATTTTTTTACAATCCACATTAAAAAAATAAAGACAGGTGGCAGTGTATTTTTTAGTGGCTACTGTACTGAATAGAACGGCTTTAACAAGTTATATGAAGAGTGAGAGCTAACAATTTAGATTTTACAGAACTACTTCTTGATTGTTTTTAGAGGGAAATGAACATTTTAAATACACATGTAATAAAACTCCAACTTCTTAGTATTAAAAGATTGCTACAAAACAAGGATTAAAAAAAAAGAGCTAAATTTCAATGAAAAAAATAAAACACATCAAACCGAAACAAAACCCAAAAATTTGCAAGAGGAAAATAACTTATGAAAGCATGTCCCAATCAGCTGGGCATGGTGGCGCACACCTGTAATCCCAGAGGCTTGGGAGGCTGAGAGGAGGATCATGAGTTCAAATACAAAATAGAGCTGGGGTTGTGGCTCAATGGTTGAGTGTCCCTTAATTCAAATCCTGGTACCAAAAAAAAGCATGTCCCAGTTACTGACTGCATGACATACTGATTTTTGTGTTAACTACCTACACACCTATTTTCTACTTTAAACCCCTGCTTGTGAAATGCAAATGAACAGTTAATAAAACAAACTTTCTAGAAAAGTAGGCCAAAAAATAGAATTAGAAGTTGTACCTGAGAGTTCAAGTTTGCTCCAGGAAGCCCAAGTGCAGCAAGGGCAGGATCAAGAGTAGGAGCTCCCAAAGCAGCCAATGGAACAGCGCCAATCTGTAAATATTCAAGTTTTGTTCCTTAAGACTTTTTTTGTTCCTTATACCAATGGTTAGCACTTACTTTAAGTGCTGTGTTTTGTGCTACTTGAGACATCACTCATTTCTCCTTGACTGACTGACTGCCCTATTAAGAATGCTGGAAGGATACTGAGGAAGTAATTCTGTGTCTCTTGATTATTCGTACAGTGTCACGTGGGATACTCATTGGCCTTTACCTCCCATATAGTTTAGTGCCGTCTCCTTGAATAGTTTCCTGGTTTGTTCTACGGGAATCCAGGAAAATCACTACCCTTTCAGAATCTAAATCTGTTCAGGAGTCTAAGTCCTGTGGTCTAAATATGCTTCTTCCTTGTATTCTTTCTGCCTCAGCAGTGTTTCTCATACTATGATTCCTGTATTCATTAGATTTCCCCTACTGCTTCCCTAATAGTTATTATTATTTTATATTAAATTTTCCCTGTTCAAATTACTATGTGGTTCTATTTCCTGCCTAATTCCGATTAGCCCGTAATTTAAACAGACAGAAATCTTGTAAAATTCTGAAACTTCAGAAGCAGTCTTTCTCCACAAGAACTGTGCTGAAAGTTCATCTAGTTTCATATACTATCTGGTCAATACAAATCATCCAACTCTGTAATTTAAGTATTTACTAAGTACAAGTGAAATGCTTTGTTAATACTAATAATTATTATATAAAATTTTATACATCAAAAGACACAGAAATTACCCCTTTATTGTCCCATAGGCAAGACAAACAAACAAAACTACAAAACCAAAGCCAAGAAGCTAAGTACTAATCAAATTTATATCTAAAATCCAGGAGATACTGATCTTTTCCATGATTCCATATTCTACAGTTAACAGAACCAATTATTTATACAGGAAAGATGACATGATAGGATATTTTTATAAATTTCTAGTTGAGGCACATCATTCGCTATTATTTTTAAAAGCCCTGTATAATCTCTTGGAGTAGTTAAAATATAGACATTTCAATGCCTTTCTGGCTGGGGATGCAGCTCAGTGGTAGAGCATTTCCCCATCATGCATGAAGTTCTGAATTCAATTCCAGCACTACAAAAGTAAAATTCAGGGTGCTTCTTAAAGCATTACCAGTTAGAATCATTATTCTAATCAACTTTACTTTCCTGAAAGCAAACATCCCAATCCAGATTTCAATTTCATTTTCAAGCCACTTTCTTAATCCCAACCCCACAATAACAGCAAAAAAATCAAAGGGCAATTGAAAGCTTCATTTAAGCAGTTTGAACTTCAGCTTTATTTTCCTTCCTGGATCAAATGAACAAATTTGTAATGGCATGTTCTCAAGTGTTAACACTGAGGAAGATCACCCACCCCTGCCACAATTACTAATAGGTTGTTTTGAGATATGTATAAAAGATATTTTATAATTTTTAGGATCTTCTTAAAGTACAAACTTTTGGAGAATGTCTCTGTAGTATTTGATTATACTACAGTCCTTTAAATGATATTGCTCTATGTGCTAGAATATTGAGAGCACTTAAAAAGTAAAATATATTTTATCCACAGTTCTGGGTTTCTTTCCATCTTTTCAGAATTCAAGAGAACAAGTACCTGGGTAAGTGGGTTAGGTGTAGGCAGGAGTCCACCACCAGGCAGAAGACCTGCCACTGCATTTGCTGGTGCCAACAGAGACAAAGCCTTAGTCTCATCAGGAATAACTCCTGCAGAGAAATATCCTTGCATGAGAACACATTTTTTTGTAAAACAGAAAACACACAAAAACACCCAGAAAATGTCTCCCTGATACACCACCTGAGTTTGTTGAAAGTACTTATTGTTCGCTAAAATATAAAGCTTGATCTCTATATGATTATTTATCATTAATTTTTATGTCAGAATGAAACTTCAATGTGTGAAAATTTGTTTCCTTTTTGTCTACAAATGGTTAAGTTTCTAGAGTAAAAAAAAAATAGCACAATACACACTACTTTTTTGTTAACACTGCCAAGATTTCATCACCTGTACTCGATTTTTAAGTCATGAACCAAACGTAAGCAAGCACAGTCGGTTCTCCAGGGGTGTGCTCTCAACTTTCAAAAGCTGTTTTATGAACAACGACTCGTGTCGGCTGCTTCACTATAAAGCACACAGAAAAATCAAGATACACAAGACAAAAAAAGTTTGATTTAGGGGTTAATAATATGGTACAGTTACTATGATTTTTTTTTACACCTACCATACAAATTTTGTAAAAATTAAGAGAAGAAAAGTATGTAAAGGAAATATTCTGTTGGAATCAAGCGTAGGGCTTTTGCTGACTCATGAAAATGAATATGAATGTTTCTGAATACACACGGAATGTGTATGTGTGTGTGTGTGTGGGGGGGGGGGGTGGTAGTGAGTGAGAGAGAATAGGTAAAACAACATGGCACATTCCTTACCTGTACAGTAAAATGCTTTATGTTCCAACATGTGCCATGCTAACCATACCAAAAAAATGCTACTGAGTGTCAGTTCAAAAGCTAACTGAGCCAAACTTCTTATGCCCCAAATGACATGTGTGTCTGTTTTTAAAGCCTAATCTGTGTATTCAGATGAAATCTAAGGGTCCTAAGACAAATATTTATGTAGACAATTTAAATTCTATCCAACAGCAAAAGCCCTATACAGATGGATTAATCTGTTAATGTGCCCAAGCCCCCAAAATGAGAGTTCAATAATACAATTAAACTACATATTTGCAAATACCAGTAGTATTTCTGTAATACATATTAAGAAACTGCATCTCATCATAAAACATACAATATGTACAGGGCACTTAAGAGAAACTGGATAAGCTGCAGAAGAAAACTGTTGGGTGGTATTTTCAGCAGGGCCTGGTATATAGTTCAGGCTGAACCAGGGAAAAGAACTGTAAAACACAACAACAAAAAAGAAAAACCACTGTTAAATAAAGGTAATGGTTCCTTCCACCTATACTGAGAAGTGCCGATAATATAAACAAATGTATACTACACAGCACTGTTATCTTGCTTGTGTCAGAGCTGTCATCAATTTAGATACCAAGAGTTATGGAGGGGAAGGGGGAGAAGATCATTTAGATATAGGGCATTTATGCATCAATATTAACAAACCTACAAAGATTAAGGGATAATTTTGCATGCAAAATTATGTCTCAAGAGGATATATTAAGTATCAACATCTTAGTCAAATTAGTGCATTTGCAACATTTCTGGCCAACTAAAATCCTCTTGAATTTATTGTGAGACACCTGATAGAAGATCTGCATCCATTAAAAAAAAAAAAAAGTCATGCATCTGATCCTCTGATTAAGAAAAAAAAAACTATTTAAAAATAAAACTACAATTTAAAAATAGCAATGAGGCCCCTCACCAGTTAATTTTCATGCGTCAAGAGTATTTTTTTTACTGCTGCTTTGATAGAACCATGAAATACTGCATGAATGTGTAGAAATGAAAGAAAAAGAAACAGACAAAAGAAACAAACATTAACCAAAGGAACCTAAATAACCCCCATATCCATTACTTTAAAGAGTTCCTTCCAAACTGGCTATATGTTTTATCAATTAAGACTGTTCCTTACCGTAGACTTTTTTGTCTATTGTTCTAAAACAACTGACCAAGAGCCAACACCAAAGTGTAAGAGCTAAAACCAGAGTGAATGGTGACAAAGGAATTGAATACATCAAATTACTTAGTGGAGATAACATGAATACAGCATATCATACCATAATTAAATATAGCAAAAATAGATTTCAGAACAAAATACTTCTGTAATTCTCTTATGTATTCCCCAACCTCACTTTCAAAACCAGATCTGAAAAATTACTGGGACCTAAAAATATTTATGAAAGTCAGTTATATGATATACTGTATTATGTTCCAGGGTTGGGAACTGTAACACTTTGCCAATAAGCATTCTTTAAATTTAATGGCTAACTCAAACATTTTGCATATTACTCACATGGTTTGACCCTTGTTTCAAGACCTATATATATTTTACTCATCCTGAATTGTAAACTCTGTAACAATTTTCTGTTGGTGATTTAGTCTTATCCTATAATAGGCACAAGTGACATAAAAGAAATGCTTAACCAAAACATACTAACTCAAAAATTATCTATTTTTAAGAACCTTAAAATTGAGCCCATACAATTTAATATTATGGAGATAAATGTACTCATTAAATAGCATGCCTTAACCCATCTCTGAATATAACTTAATTTCTTTAGAAAACCAGAGGCAATTTCTCCAAGTTTAGACATTTCACAACTTTTACAAGGTATATGGTGTAAATGTTCACATTTGTATTCAAAGATCCAATAGTATCTAAAATCAACAATAACAAGATTCTGCTTCCACTGACCAGTTTATTAAACAAAGGGGAAAGCAAGTAAATCCTGGTCAGTAAATTAAATTATTAACTTCAAATCCATTAATTTTATCATGTGATTTCTTTGATCAAAATTTATAGTTACCAAAAAGCAAATCAAGTAGCAGTACACTGGGAACAAACTAATTATAAAATATGCCTTAGAAATTTTTACAAAATGGCATTAAAATAGTGTTGTCTTGTCACAGTGGCTTTTTTAGATCCAAAAAACCTGCTCATATTTTTCTGTCAAATTAACAGCCTAAAATGTAAAAAGAGAGAAAATGTAGTTAACAAATGATTACACCAGGAAAACACTTGGGGGACTTGAGTGCTTGCTGGCCTTTAGTTAATGTCTAGAATCCCCTGTAGCTGCAGAGGACCCACTGTTTTTCAGTCATCTGGAAGGGTTTTGCATTTGCCTTCTCCACTACAAAAATCACACACACAAATAACAGAGAGAAGAATTTATTATTTAGAGATATTCTAGAAAATATAACAAGAATGAACAAGAAAATCTGGCATAAAAACAAAATACCCAGTGCCCATCTGGCACCTAAGCTATAGGAATTCTTGAACTTTCACAAAAACCAGTATCATTGCAACCCTTGGTATACTGGAATTCAACGTGGGATTTTTTTTTTTGGTTTGTTTTTGCACAAGTTATCAGTTCAAGGAAATAAGACTAACCTAGTCACTTATTTAAAACAAAAACAACATGCACTTGAAGAACTTTTTCTTTTTTTTTTTTTTAGTTAGCCATTTACCTTTGGGACTTTTTCATAAAATCTAACATTAACCAAGTAGATGTATCTCAGAGTTACAATTAGGAGTGGTTTCAATGAATGTGAAAGCAAAAGATAAGATTCTTTTAAAAATATCTGATTTCTAATTATTAGAATTAAAAAAAAAACTGCAAGTAAGAATTATGTACTGCAGTATAACAAGGGTTTCAAAATGTTAATTGCTTAGATTGTAACATGCTACTAGTGCTCATTCTACAACTATACTGAAGTAGATGGTCATCTTAGGATGCCCACACAGGTAGTTAAAACAAAGCACAAACCTTCTGCATATGGTACGACTATCAAAGCTCTGTCAACGAATACAGTATTTGTCAGATGCTGTGCCACAACTGCTGAGTCCGGATCATGGAACTTAACAAAGCAGACACGAGATGAGACTGGCAAAGGTGAATCACTAAAAAATAAACAAAAAACAAACAAAAAGATTATCAGCATAGACACAAAGGTTGTTTGCAAACCAATGCTTATACCCCAAGTAAAATAATCAGAAAAAAACATGTAATTGCACATACATTTCTTTTAACCAATCCAAAAGAAAAATAATGTATTGTACACTAATGTAGACAGTTGCACTGTAGATAAATACTCATTAATCCCTATTTAAATCTACAATGTATCAGGTTAGAAAGAGTTTTCTTAATCTCAAAGTGAGATCACAAAAATATCAACATGCTTTTCATAATATCAATGTTGTGGTGCTGAGGACTGAACCAAGGACTAGGCAAATGCTCTACAATGGTCCACATACCAGCTCTCATACAAACTATTTGTTTAGTAACCTTTCTTTCTGCTAATTTCTCAGGGTAAAAAAACTTAAGAATTTTCCACTTCAAAAATAAAGACTATCATTAAGAGGTATATCTGAGTTTTCTTGACCTGCATAATGAACTGGTTCCATACATTGATGTTTTTAACCGATAGCTATGACTCCTAGGCACTTTCAACAATTGGGTCTTTTTTAGGTTGGAGCACTTTCAAAGAAAAATTTTAAGCACACAAGGGGTGCTTAAAGTTTTAGGCACCTGTTCACCCCTGTATTACTTCACCAGGTGAAAAGCTTCTTTCCTCAGCAAGCTGCTTCCTCAGATAAAAGAAAAAAAAGTAGGCTTAAAAAAAAAAAAAAAGGGTTCCAATTTCCGTCATAACACTCCCTGTGAAAGGAAAAGATTAAAAAAAAGGCAGGGTTTTCAATCCTACATCAAGTTATTTGAAAACCAATGCCCAAAGGCAGTAACAATCAAATTGTCCTTGGTAACACATTAAAAGCATCTGTGAGGGAAAAAGAAATCCAGGTTCTCAATTCTCCTTTAATTAAATGAAGATTTCTAGAGGAAAAAGCACTGAACTCTTACTTGATGTCTGAAATAAGGTTTTTCTTACCCAGCAGTCATTTCCTTAAACCTCAACAAAAAAAATCAAACAGCTTGGTGAGGTGGCTGGCACACACCTGTAATCCCATGGACTCAGGAGGCTGAGGCAGGAGGATCATGAGTTTGAGGCCAGCTTGGGCAACTTAATGAGACTCTGTCCCAAAGTCAAAAAAAAAAAAAAAAAAAAAAAAAAGGGCTGGATGTATAAGCAGTAGACAGCAGTAGAGTGCTTGTCTAGCATATGTGCACATGCACACAGCAAGCACTCTCTACCAATTCTTTACCACTATTGTTATCTGATTAAAAGAAAAAACAAATACAATGATAAAAAATAACACTGTTAAAGAACATGTAATGAATAGTTTCTTCAGAACTGCCTATATGTTCAGTTTATTTCCATTTACTGGGCAATCTTTTGTACTCTGGAATTTTGTGCAAGTCTAGATGACACAGGGACAAATGAGAAGACTGTTAGGAAAAATCCTGTATGATGTTTTTGTCTTCCACCTTAAAAGCTGATAGTATTGATTTTGGGTGCTCGGGATCCAGCCCAGGGCTTCATGAGTACCAGGCAAGGTACTCTCCCATTGAGCTACATTCTCAGCCCTCAAGTTATTCTAAAGTGTCCTCTGAGGGCCGTTTCATAATCTTCTAGGATGCATACATATAATTCAAAATCCTGATATTCATCTAAAGCTCACTGAATCAGTGAATTCCTTTTATAAGAGTCCTAATTCTTAACAAATCCCAAGTACATATTCACAGCCACTTAAGTTGGAGAACCTCTGGTTTAGGCCACCAATCCCAGGCTTTAAACTCTTACCTTAACACTGTGCCAACCACTTCTGATTGTAGAATTTTGAGCTTATAGAGCAAAGTATCTCCAAAGCCCCCCCAAAGAAGCATATGTAAGAAAGATGACATTCACCTAAAACTTAATCCTACTGACCTATAATATATAAAGAAATGCACAGCAAAATGTTGCATTAAAACAAACATTTCTTCAAATTCGAATTAAATTCTTTTAAAATATATTCAGTGCTACAGTAGATGTTACTGTATAACTGACATGCTTCACTAGGATCATTAACTAATAAGCACTCCAATTGTATTCTCCACTGTGAAATCCCACTAAAACTAAACATTTAGTATCTACTTAAATAATACCACAACTCACAAATTGCTTCACTAAACCAACAAACCCCTGATCCAATGGTAGGGGAAAAGTCACATATTAAAAGAGTTCAAATGCTAGTTTTGACACCGATAGCTTAGCTTGGGCAGACAAAACAACCTATGAGAATTTCAGTTCACTATTTGAAAATAAGGTCAAATACACCTTCTGGGTTTGTAATGAATAAGGTAAGAAAAATTCTGAAAGCATCTTACAGTAGACAAACAATGCTGAATTTCCAATATGTTTCAATAACTAGTCAACATCACAGTTTAAGAAAACAAATGTAGGAGACAATGATAGATGCTTTCAAATAGTTGCAGGGCTGTTTTCCTGTCCTGTGAAGATAGACAACATTTCTCTATGTAAAATCACAGGCCAGTAGTTTTTGGCTTTAAGGAATTGAAATAACAGACAAGTCCAATAGCAAAACCAAGCTGGACACCTTCTCCAGTAATCTATCAAATATATGATATAATCCCAGAAAAATTTCCCCAAAATAGACATTTAAAACTGAAGCATTTCACTAGGTGTATATGGTACATATATGTACTTAAAAAATGCCTTGCAGATAATGTTGATGAACTCAAGAACCTCATTCTAATGACAGGGAGAAGGCTGAACTTACCTGTCAATTGGTGACAGGGGCAACAGAAAAAAACCCAAGCAGTGCTAAGTAGTATAGAGAAGATACAGAGCATCCATATTTTTAGATACAGTGGTCAAGGAAAGATTCTCTGATTAAAGTGACTATTGAGAAACAAATGGAAGCGCGTATGTCAAGAACATTCTGGGAGAAAAGAATTCTTGGCAGATATGAATGCCTTCTTGGGGGAAATTAAAAACATACAAATATATCCAAATGACACACACAAACAAACACACAAAATCAGGTGAAGACGTATTCACAATAGAGCCATTCAATCTTATTCCGTGTTAAGAAAATATTTATGGAGTGATGAGCCAATCTGTACCACTGGGAGCCCAAAGCACATTAATCCTGGCAAACTACTGATAACTCTAGTGAATTTATAGAAATCATCAAGTATTATCAACTTTTCAGATAAGACTAGCTATTGAGAAAAAGTAATAAAGGAACAAATAAAACTCAACATTAAACAGATAAAAATTAACCATCAATAGTACTGCTCAAATCTAGAGGCCCACTAAGTTATATACCAGTCACTATATTTTCAGAAGAAAATGATTGTATGTGGGAACATAAAGTAGAGAGCCAAAGAGCATTATTGTATCAATATTTATCTTCTAATACAGGGAAAGGAATCCTCCAAATGGACAGCACCCCAGGTCACATGACTGGATGAACAACTGCCCAGCAGCTATCAGGGTTATGATGGACATACCCATTCACCTGATTACAAAGGAAAAAGGCAGATTCTTGTCCATCATGGCTTCCTCTAAGATACTGCCCACTCATTAAGTAAAAAAAAAAAAAAAAAACGAACCAGTAAAATGCCCAAAACTTCTTTTACTTTTTATAAATGCACCATAAGGGAGTATCCTCAGAAAACAAAAAAGCACTTTAAAGTCAGCAACTATATGAAATTCTTAGGAACTTGTGGAAGTGGAAGGAATTATGTAGCAAACTGAGCATCTCAAATTATTTTATTACCCCAGTAATAAAATATTCAAACATATCACTTATTTCTTATCATTTTACTATTAATGTTACAAACAACTTAATGATACATTATGAAAAAGCTGAGTATCAGCAAAACATCCCTTTCTATAGCTCATGCTATGAATTTGTCCATTATAAAAGAAGTTTCTGTTCAAAATAACGTGTGTCCAAAACTCCACAGCACATCTGAGGCTATAACTGAATCCTTTCTCCACATGTACATTTTACTTAAAAATCAAGAACACAGCAATTTGAAGTCTTTGGAAAACAGAAAGTCATGAAATGTGATAATACTTAAATACTTCATTATGATTTGATTTTATTATTCTATTGAGCAGAAGTGTACAAAAATCAATGATTTATTACACCAACCACAACAGATTTCTTGAGGATCTCAATTTCGGGTTTAGAATTTAAGTGACATCATAAAACTCCCAATAACATTTTTCACTTTCATCTAATAAGCATTTACAAAGAGCACACAATTGTTTTTCAAGTGTTTGCTACAATACTTTTTCTTCATAACTTTTTAAAAGAAGGACAAAAAAGTCATTACACTCTAAATCAAAATGTCGACATTCTATAAAATTCGTTCTTAAGAACAAATGAGAAATATCTTAAATCTGTACATTAAAAAAAGAAAAACACTAGGACTCTTCATAATCCATTATGTGTGTGTGCATATGTATAGATACATATATAAATCAAGTATTCAGGCTCACTGAATTAATCATCTGTCCTGTCATATTCCCTGGGTCAGAATCACTTAAAAGCAATACTTAGCAATAAATAGCGGCCTACAAATTTTAACACAAAATTAACGCTGGCCTGAATAGTTTTGTTACTTTTCTTCCAAAGACCGCAGAGAAAAAACACACCTTGCCTTTTTTAAAAAATGAATTTAACCTATACGCGAAATGACAAAAGACAGATTGTCTGGCTTTATCCCAAAGCAAACGACCACGTTGGCACAATTTAAGAGAAAAGAAAAAAAAAAAATCCCCAATTTAAGAGCCAGTGTCTCCTAATCACTAAAAGTCTTCTCTGCTCTCTACATTTTTTTGTAGGCCTAAAACGCATCTTTTCGTCTATAAATGCAACCACCGCGACCAACTAACATAGCCTGGTAGGGAAAACAGCCACAGGGCCTACGGAAATGGTGTTGCTTAGGCCCAGGATGGGGCGGCGTTAGCAAAAACGGTGATGGTGGACGATACTCACTCCGGCGGGAAGAGGCGCAGTTCGTCGATCTTGCCTAGGAAACCGAAGAGAGTCCGCATCTGCTCAGAGCTAGCGCTCGGGGAGACATTAGTCACCTGGATTACCTCGGTGCCACCGCCTCCGCCGCCACCTCCGCCACCCGGCCCGCCGCTGGGGCCCGGGCCCGCAGTGCTGGGGACGACGGTAGTGTTGCTCATGGCGCTGCTCGAGTTCTCGCTCCTGCTTTAACACATCAAACACACAACAAACAGTGAGAGGGAAAGGGAAGAGGAACCGGTTCACGAGAAAGGAAAGAGGGGTATCCGATGCTACAGCCACTGCTGTTGCTGCCGCCGCCGCCGCCGTTTCTCCTCCCCGCTGCACGCCGGGAGGAGGGGAAGAGAGCGCGCGAGTTCGAGACCACGGGAAAACAAACGACCGCCCCCACCTCGCCTCCAACCACCACCCTCGCGGACCCCAGCTCCCCACAATGCTGTGCGGCGCACGGGTGCGTCACCGTCAGCTCCTCCCCGCGCAGGCGCAGCAGGCCCTGCCCGCCGCTGGAGAAACGCAAGAGGGAGCGCCGTCTGACGGAGAGCGTATTCCCCCTTTAGCTCCTTGTTTTTCAGAAGGCTTTTTTTCCCTTCTGCTTCTTCGAAAGCATTCACTTCCTTACAAAAAATTGCGTTTTAGCAACTATTGTTATTCAACAGCGCCCACGATATTTCTTTTTTTATAAGCTATCATCTACAAATTTTTTGAGTTACTAATATTTCCATCCTAGCAACCAAGTTTTTCCTCTCACCACTTTCAAGTTTCCTGGAATATTTACTACAAATTTCCGTAATATTAAACTTATGATCAACTGAATAATAATTTTAAAGATCCTTGTAGGATTTAGTAAACAACTACTTTGAATCACTGGTATTTGTATCCACAGCCATTTGAATTTCTGGGGAAGAGTATTCCAGATAAGACGAAATAAATTACAAGTTTGAAGCTTTCAAATATCATTGCTCCGTCGACCACTGCTTTCCACTTTATATTTCAAAGGGAGAATTACAAAAAGATCTTGTCATAGTGAAATAAGTATGCACAAGGCAGGATCACTTAACTCATCTTTGGGAGTAAATTAGGGAAAACGTCTAGTTACATTTGAATGTCAAATGTTATAATTTTTATTAACAGTTAATGCTATTTCTAATCAAAATGCCCCCCCCCCCCAAGTCATACTATGGAAAAGTACGTGTTTTCTGATAGGCTTTTAAAATATGACTTAAAAGTTCTCCATAATACTTTGAAGACCCAAAACGTCCTCCTGCTTGTAGGTAGGGAACCACCACTACACTACTACATTGATAAGAAAATTTAAACTGATTGATAGAATGCCAAAAAGATGCCTACGAATACCAGAGAATAATGCTTAGGCAAATCTTCAAAATAATACCAATCCTCTTATGGTACCAATACTATAATACTATAAAGAATAGCTTTAGTTCTTTCCAGTCTCAAGCTTGTGAAAGATCTTGTGCATTTAGATCTAAGTTCTTCATGTAATACATCTATATACAATCACTCTACTTGATGGATACCATTTTCCCAGTTACATAATGCAGGTCACTTGTTTTTTTGTTACCAACTTTTGTTTACACTAATGGAAAAGATGGTGATATCGTGCCTATCCACACAATTCTGCAAATCTTGCACAAGCAAAAGGCCTTTTTATCAAAATTAGTTGTCTTACCCTTAACAAATACTTTTTGAGAACAGGGAAGGCAAATATTAACTTTAGTGTTCCTGATCTCCCTGTTCATCATCCTTCTTATCAAAGTGACAGGTCTTGATATGTTGCCTAGGCTGGCACCAAACCCCTGGGCTCAACTGATCCTTCTGCCTCCGCCTTCCAAGTAATTGGAACTACAGGCGTGCACCTTGGTGCCTAGCGACCAACAACATTATACTGGACCAAAGACAGCATGTGATAAAAAACTTACTGAATACAATCATGTGCTAAAAACTTTACAAGTGCTTCAAACAATGTGCTCAGTCTTGTCAGGCAGGTAGCTCATTACTAAGGTATATATACAGGATGTGCATGCAGAAAAGGCTGGGTGAATGAAGACAGTAATGTTAACTGTGAGCTTTAAGGGGAAATTTAGTTGAGGTAAAAAATCTCAAAGTGAGGGATATAAATTTGTTTTCCCCTATAACTATTCAGATCAATAAGGAAAACCCTGGAAATAAATTACTACTTCTATAAATTTGTGAATCTGAAAAACTCATCTGTAGATCTACTTTATTTTCTATCCCTAACTTATAAATTACACAATTATATTTCTGTTCTAGTTCTAATTCTATAAATTTAGGTAATTCTATAAACATTACCTGTTTTAAAATAAAAATTGTAAATTCCATGCTTCTTTTTCTTCTTTCTCCATCTAAATGGAGAAGCTAATAAGTTAGTACCAGGGGACTAACAGGTGGGCAGATGGACATGGACAAATACACACACACCAGAACACAACAAAAAGCCTACCTAAGTTTATTTCCAAATACATCTTTTGCATTGTTTATACTGTCTTCCAATAGCAGTGATTCTGTCTATATGTTTAAAAAATGATAGAACACCTTGAAATTATAAGCAAAAATCTGTATGTGGTAATTTGTCACAGCCTTGTTTTCATGATTAACAGAGGAAAAAAGTAGTAGTAGTCTAACCATTCAGATACTGCTTCCAGGGGCTGGGGTTGAGGCTCAGTGGTGGAGGGCTTGCCTAGTATGTGTGAGGCACTGGGTTCCATTCTCAGAATTGCATAAAAAAAATAAATAAATAAATAAATAAATGAGATAAATGTATGGAGTCCATCTACAACTGAAAAAAATTTTTTTTCTTTTAAAAAGACACCATTTCCAACATTCTTATGCACAGTATTCTCAGCTATAATTAGAGCTTGGGGGAAAAAATCACAGTTGATTTATCTGTACAGATTAGTTTTCCTTTTTGGATTGAGTAGGGTCAACAGAAACATTTAGCTGGGGAACACTGATTACTCGGTACAATTTTTAAGTTATATAAGATTCTTTTGGAATTTCAATTGAGCAAAGGCCATTTGAGGGAATATTTCACAATTAAAAAAAAATCCACTGGGGGGCATTCAATAGAATTATATGTATTGTTAAATAGTTTCTAGCTTTTTCATATTAGCTTTTCTTAATCAAGGAATTAGACATTTGCATCATTTGACCTTTAACTTCTTTTTTCTATGCTGTAAAATTAACGTTCTCTTCATGAAAGAAAATTAATTTTATTTTATTTTTTTTTTTAGAAAATTAATTTTAAACATTTACAAAACTGAAAAAAATGAAAGTATACTCAACTTAGTAATAAGACTGAATGCTTTTAAAATGGCCTTTAATCCTTATAACACTTAAAAGGTGCCAGAGTGATTACTAACACAGGTCCCAGGGTCAAACTAATGGGTTTCCATTACCAATTAAAATAACTGTGACTTCTGGCTCATTACTTTGTACTTCCATTTCCTTATCTGAGTTATGGGGAATAGCAACTGGCTTAATATATAAAACAAGTAACAAAGGGGCAGACAGGTATTAAAAAACCAACCAACCAACCAGGTATCTCACTTCAAAGCCTATTATTTCCACTATTCTGTGTTGTTTCCTACTACTGCTTATCATAGTAACTCTAGAAAAAAATTAAACTTGTGAAATGGGAAGGAATAAAGATTAGTTTTGAGTTCTCAATTATCTGACTCAAACCTCTTATTTTGAAAAATGAATGGCTGTCTTCAAATGGGCTCCATTTTATACTATCATTCTTTTTTTAAGCTAGTACCTTGGGCTATTCTAACTTCATAATTCACATGGAAAATATGAATAGGAAGAACCAATTTACAAAGCGTAGTTTCTTACTTTAGATTTCATATTTTAACAAAACATGTTAAAAATTGTAAAGTAATGTGTCAAATATTAAAAATGTAAACTATATGAAGGTTAAAAAAAAGCAGTCCTCTATTTTACCTACCCAATTCCCATTCCACTCCCTATCCATGTTCTGAACTATCATAATAAGTACTACTACTAATTAACCACGTGATCTCCCTTACCTTTATATAAAAAATAGAGACAATGATACATATAACTTTAAGTTTAGCTTTAAGATTATAAATGCTATAGGGATAAAGCAGAGTGCCCAGCACACAGGCATCTAACATAAACTTACAGGAAAGTCAATTTCAAACTCTACAATTTCTTCAACTTTTCAGTGGATAAATACAACAGTAATACCGAACAGCAACACTTATTAAACAGCATTACTATCAAAATGAAATTGATATGAAAATACTATATAAGATGCTAAGTGATAGCAAAGATGTGAACTGTAATGATGCACTCTCTCCCTTAAGAGGCTGTTGAAATACAAACATGACAACAATGTAAATAGGTTTCACATTTTCATAATCATTTTGACTCCAAAGCAGCACATTACCAATTGCATGCATAGGCAGATGATGGCTAAACAAAATCTTCCCTTTCTTAATAAATCGCAAACGTTTCTATAGAAAATTCTTTTAGGAAGGCTTCACTTAACTTTTCCACATTTTTTGAGTAACAGTACTATTCATACTTCCGAACAACACAAACACCTGCACATTTCCTTGAATAATATTAAATGTACTGTGGCATGGATCAGAACAGACATGCAAATGACCAAAGTACAAATTAAAAACTACCAACAAAGCAAAATATTACTAAGTACCTGAAATAATCTGAACTAAAAAATAAATGACCAAGCATAAGTAATTTTTAAAGGCAATTAGGCTTTTCACCCAGTAGCCATCCCATTCCCTTGAAACTATGAAGTGCTGTTAATTTCAAGCCACAGTTAGCTCATGTTGAAGTCTAAACCACTTGGAGACATTTGTTATGCAATTATTTTGAGAAGAGATGGTGGAGAGGTAACATTTCTAGGCAATGAGTTTAAAAAGAAAAGCAAAAAGGTCAGCACCTTAAGACAGGAATATAGACGTAACTATACTAATGATAAATATGCTTTGTGTTAAGCAAAAAATAAGTACTTCTAGAATGATAAAGAGCAAGGCTGGGCTCATATATCTGCATAGTAGACATTAAGTATGTATTAGCTTTTTCATCACTGTGACCAAAATACCCGGCAAGAACAACTTAGAGGAAGGAAAGTTTCTTTTGACTCAAAGTTCCATAGGGTTAGTCTGTGGTTGGCCAAGTCCATTTCTCTGGGCCCCAAAAGAGGCAGAAGAGCATGGCTGAAGGGTGTGGTGAAGAAACACTGGTTCACAAATTGCACATTCTAATATTTCACTTGTGAATATGCTTGTGTTAATATAGGAGCTTTAGGGGAACAGTTCATATTCAAACCATAGCAAGATAAGAATAAGGATGAAGCCTCAAAGATCATATTATTAAGTCTTATTAGAAGTATAGGGGGGCTTTGCTCATGTGGAACAATATTTGCCACTTATAAATATTTACTCTCTTTTAAAAGTACATAAGTGGCAAACTGAATTGAACTGAATAAAATTGTTTCCAGGGAGTGATAGCTAAACTTTAAAATAGTAGATTTCAGACTAGCGATATAGCTAAGTGGTAGTAGAGTGCTTGTTTAGCAAGTGTGAGGCCCTCTGTTTGATCCTTAGCACCTCAGGAAAAAAAATAAAATAGATTTTGTATATGCTAAGACAAAAATAGAACAGTACTGTGAGGATGATCTATAAGGTTGTGGTGTCCAAATTTTACCTCTGAATTACTTTACTAACTCAAAGCTCCCTCATTTGTAATACCCATCATAATATTAAAACCAATATTTAAAGTTGTGGAACATATTAATCTTAAAAAAAAGAGTAGGAATACTGTAATAGCTATCAAAGGTTAAAAATAATAATTACAAGGAATAATAAGAACCATTTTCAGATGATTTTTAGAATAACTAGTAAACAAATCAACACCATAGCACTTATCTTAACTGGTATTTGCAAGAATGGTTTATCCACCATCTTTTTCATTTTTCTTCAGTAGAAAGAAAATAAACAACAATAACAAAAACTAAAAGTATTTAGGATACATCTATTTTACTAGTGTCTCCAAAACACTGACATGTAATAAAAGCAGTAAACTAGAATTCTTTTATATCAAAAATAGAGAGGAATCTAAGATCAAATATTAGAATCAAATATTAAACCTCTTAGAGCAGGAAACTTGCTTCATGATTCAAAAGCATGAAGAAAAGCAGTGGGAAAACACAAAGAATACATAATTGTACAATCATAAAGAAAATGCACTTTCTCCACTAAGAAAAATAATTATCTCACTCACCTCTTAATAATAATAGAATTCAATTCAAAGTTGCATTTGAAAAACTACTAATAAAAATGAAAAATACGTATTGCCTTCAAAGAAATTTTTTTTTTTTACTATTTTCCAAAGTTGGTACTTAAACACCTAAAGGGAAAACAAATATGAAATTACAAATTGGTATTTGTAACATGAACTAAAATGTTGTCTCAATAACTTTTACATAGGATAACAAGTTCTCATAGATAAGACAATATTTTGAAAGATAAATGTAATACTGCTTCAAACAGGCAAAATCTGTTATTTTACATGAAAAGAAACTTCAGAGAAATGTTTGCAAAGCAGACTTGCTTTGCTCTTGATTATAGTTTTTAAACAAATGTGCTTAGAAAACCTACATAATTTAACCTCATCTTCCCTTAGTAGAAATTTTAGATTTGTTTCAGTAAATCCATCTTATCAATTGTACCTTTCAACTTTGAAAAAATAAATCTAATACATAGCAATGTTTTACATCAATTTGAGATAGACATATAATTTTCCCAAATACAACCACATCTGAAAATATCTTATTAAATTTTAATGTAAGATAGCTGCTGTATCTTAATTTGATAAAGTCTTATTTTTCATTACCAAACAGAATAGAGTTCTTTGGGCCATATGATTGTTGTGCTTAACATTTTTGTTTTTTAGTTTCTGTTTTCAGTTAGCAAAGAAGCTTAAAAAGTAAAACTTTCAGTACTTAAATAAAATGAACGTAATAAATTGTAACTAGATAATTCTGCTACTAAAGTAGGTGTACAACAGTAGCCAGCCTGACTCAGGAGATAACCTTTTCATATTATTTTAATAATGTACATAAAGTCCATTTTTTAAAAAGCTAACAATTTCACTTTCATACCTGTGTTGAAAACGGTTAGAACTTTTGTTTTTAATGCACTTTTAAGTAATACAACTAATATAAAGACCTAATTCCCACTAATATAACCATATAATATTGTAACTACTTTCATAAAGAAGTTTAATCCAGGGGCTGGGGTTGTGGCTCAGTGGTAGAGTGCTTGCCTAGCATGTGCGAGGCGCTGGGTTCAATCCTTAGCACCACATAAAAATAAATAAAGACTTAAAAAAAAAAAAGAAGAAGAAATTTAATCCAAGTGGATTAGCTTTCAGTATCCACCAATTTGAGATAGACATATAATTTTCCCAATTGCATGAGGTAATAATTTTTACTTCCTCAATCTCCATTTTTATTACAGCTATATGCTAGTAAAATTTTTATGTCCGTTACATCTGTTGACGTTTACAAGTATATGGTCACTTGAGTTTCTCAGAATTATTTTGTCATTAAATAGGATATGCCTCTTTTATTCAAAATGAAACAATGTTTCAACATGATGTCATTAAACATCAATAATGATTAGCATTCAGCAGATTCCAGCAGAATCACAATGAATCAAACAAGTACACCTAGCTATATTTAAGAGCAAAACTAAGCAAGAATCTGTTGTAGATAGAGGAATAGTTACTACAAAATTTTGCAGCAATTTATTATCTTAAGGTAGAGTGTTACCTCCTAGAAAACAGAAAAAGTTTGTTCTCAAATTTGTTTTAAAGCAATTGAAATTGGTTAGTACGGATATAGCTCAGTGGTATAGCACTTGCCCAGCACGCACAAGGCCCTGGTTTCAATCCCCAACACTGCAAAAACAACAACAAAATACAATTGAAGTATTCCTTAAAATGATTCCATAATAAAAGCAAATTGGAAATTATGAAAAGCCACTAGGCAACTCATGGTTGGAGAAAGATCCAGGTTTAATTGCCTGGCCATGCTCCTTATAGAAATTTGTGATCTTAGGCAAGATTCCTAACTTCATTTAGCCTCTATTTCTTCATCTGCAAAACTGGTCACTATATTGAATAGGAAGAAAAAAATAAATAGGGTGTTTAAAAACCAAATCTTACATGCAACAGGACATGAACCTGGATTCAGGTAAAATTGCATAATGCATATTTTGTCAAGAGACGTCATTTTACTGTGCAATTAACACTTCAGATCCACAGTAGATTCCCTGGAGGTTAGGAGAATATCTGCTTTTAAGACAAAATCACTCTGGAGAAGAAAAAGTCTAGCACCCAGAAGAGTACTATACAGGGTGAGTTCTTAATAAACACTTGTTGAATGACTTAATGAACTGTACCTTTCAGACATAAACTGTAACTTTCCAGGAAACACGGACTTACTGGACAAACTTTCCATATTTTATTCTGATCCCAAGTCCCTTCCCTCAACCAAGGGATTTAAACTATTGCTTTCATCAAATTATTTCCAAAAGCTTATAAGTTAGAAATTGTTATTCCTAAAGTAATGAAAAGAATGACTTTCAAAAGCTGTCGAGTAAAACTGCTTTAGTTACACAGTATGAAATGAAACTGACTTAACTTGACATTGCTGGGAACAAAATCCTTCCTACTGAGAAAGGAAGCTAAAGGGCTGAGATATCCCCGCCCTCTCCCCCAACACACACACACCAGTCCCACATACAGGCTCTAAAGATGATGGCGAGCAGGAAAGAAGATTGCTCACTCAGGTCTACACTAAATCTGCTTGTTTACTTGCTGCCTCTTGTCCCCTTTTGCCTCCTCTTCCGGCCAATTAATTCTACATCTAGGTATCAGCTGCATTTGTTCCTATAAATTATAACTGCTTTTATGGGATGAAGGGAGAGAAGCAATCTTGCTGCTTCTCCCAGGTTTGATAAAACTGCCTAACGTTCATTCTTCCCTTTTCCATCTTTTGTCTATTTCTTATGTGGGGGACACATCTGGCCAGCCAGAGGGATCCTAGGCTCGCTGGCCAGCAACAGTAAGCAGGTGGGATTTGAACTTGCACTTCCGGGGCTTCAAAGTCCGGGCTGTGATTCACTAAAGCTTGTACCACACTTGTCTCCTTTACCGTCCACTTGTCTCCTACAATTGTCCGGTAGGCAGGACATTTTTTACATTTTAAACTTTTTTTCCTCTCTTTTTCTAGGTTGCCAATCCTTTGATTTCACATTCCCTCCAACGTTGGGCTGTTTCAACACAACAACGGGAGTGATGCACGTTAGGAGTCAAGAGTACAGGCTCCAAGACCAGGAAATCTCTTTTACACCTTACGACGGAGGTCTGGTGCCACTACCCCCAGCGACAGACAGGCTGGGTTCCAGAGAGGCTGCAGACCGCGCCCAGGTCTCAAGTTTTAGTTAAGGCCCACGTTCAGACTAGAAGAGGGGAGAAGAGAGGGTTATCCTTTCCCAACCCCCTCGCCACGGTGGAAGCATACAGAAGGCTGGAGTCGCAGTAACCGGAGCAAACAATAAACCCGAAAGCCCCTCTTAAGCCCGTTGAACGCACTTACTAGAGCGAAGTAATTCCAGGACGCTAGGCCGGCACCGGCAACTGAACGGGCTGCTCTGTCCTCCAGCCCCGGGAGCTGGCGGTGACGACATCTGCGCCGCGCCACACGGAGCGAAAGGCCCAGCGCGAAGCCACGAACTACGCGCACAGAGCGCGCGTTTGCGGAAGGGGCGGGGTAGTCTGGCGGCGCCACATTTAAGCGTCATGGGTGGGGCTGCCGCTTGCAGACCCAGGATTTGAACATGTCGCGCCTGCAACGGGTAGCCGGGCGGGATCCGCGAGCGGGTTTCAGAGCTGAGAGGAGAGACTGCACTACTTCTGTGCCCCAGGGGCTGTTAAAGGCGGCGAGGAGGAGCGGACAGTTAAACTTGTCGGGTAGGAACCTCAGTGAAGGTAAGACTCAAAGGTGCTACCAGTTTGTGCCGTGCGGGCAGAAAGCCCTAGCTCAAGGCAGCCTCCTTTCCTCGAGCTTGGCTTTGCCTTTTAGCCAGGATCCCTGTGCGGTAATCCAGGCAGTCTTACATTTCGACTGACATGGCCTCCCAGTTTCCTTACTTCTCTGGCTCCAGCATCTCCACTGCAGGCACCCTTCTGGGACTATGGACAAAATTTAAACCGGACGCTTTCAGGGACTCCCGCATAAGAAGGAATAGGCAACGTAATGGTAGAGTAAACTACCTATCAGATATTGGGAAAATATTTTCTTTGATTCTTACTTTCTTTTTCTCAATTTGTTCTCTAAGGAAAATTACCGACGCTAAAATTCTGTATTTTATCTACTCCTTTGTGAGCCTTGAGTGAATGCGATACCTCTTCTTTATGAACTTGGGTAGAGTCCTAATGACCAGGAATGATGAGCAGGTTTTCTAAATTGAGGATTGGAATAAACGCCACACAAAGTCCATGAATTTGAGGCCACTCTGAAAAACCTGATAAAGACAAAGAAACGGTAACCTGGGTATAACAATGAAAGGCCAGATGCTCTTGGAGTGGCCTGTGCGTGGGGGTAAGGGAGCAATGAGGGAGAAGTGGAGAAATAAAGCATTCTTCCTGTAATATTTTCCTCTACTTACATTCAGCTTTTTACACTGCAATTAAAACCTTCCATTTTCCTTCTAATGAATATTAACTTATTGTTCCGTGAATAATGTAAACCAGGCAAACAGATACTTTGATGAATAAGTGAAAGGGTATATGGCATAAAATCCCTGCTTTATTTATAAGAATTTTTATAGATGGGGCATAAACACTTTGAAACTACAGATAAGCTTTTTTCTCCCCACCCAACCCAGTCACTCTCCCTCTCCCTCCCTTGCCTCCTTTTCCCATATATATTTGTTTTTTCCAAAGTCGAACATTTTCTTTTTTGACTCTCTTGCTTCCTTTAGGATTTTTGCTCAGAGCTCACTTCCAAGAGGCCCTTCCAAACCACCATAATTACCACTGGTAACACACTGTTGTCTCCCCTGTTTAATTTTTTAAATAGAATCACTATAAGGACTTATATCATTTAATTATTGCCTACCTTGCCCATTAGTTTAGACTGCTAATTCCACACCGTCAGGTACCTTCCCTTTGTTCATTGTTGTGTCCCTAGCTCCCAAAATAGTGTTTGCTGTATTGTAGGATCTATTTGTGGCCACTATAAGTAAATGAGTGAATATTCTCCAGAACTAAGTGATGTTTTGGAATGTGTTTATTGACTAGATCCATGTGATTTAGTGTGTTGAACTTTTAGGTAGAAAATTTTGACTCTTAGGTTCATGCTGATATGGATCAGGACTGTTGTATAAACTGAACTTGACACAGTAACTGTTGTGTTCAGTGAGTGAATATATAATATTTCATAGGAAAGGCTTGTGGTATTTGTAGCTTATATATGAAAAAGGGTTTCCTGTTACCATAATAAGGAAGATCTTTCCCTAACTGGTTTTAGATTTCAGTTTCATGTCTTATCACTCTAAACTTTGATATTCAAATCACTATAATTCTGTACTATTTGTATTCCTTTTGGGGATAACCCTCGTTATCTCCATTTCTTAGCTCATATAACTTGGAGATGTTCCTTAGTTTTTCACTTATAATGAAATAATAAGACTTAACTAAGGTTTATATAAGTAACATAGTTAAAATGCCTGCTACATAAAATAAAATTGAGCATTTCTGTTATGGTATGGCCTGATATCCTGGGTTTCTCACTTTAAACCTCACTCTCTTAATGTCATTACAAGAGTTACCTTCCCAACACAGATTTTACCATATCTCACAAAACATTTTAATAACATTTCATAGCTCACAAGGTGCAATATAATATTCTCAGCATAACACTCAAAAGATTTTCAGAATCTTGCCCCCAACCGTCTACTTTGTGGTTCCCATCTCTTTTCAGCATCTTATTCTTTAACAACAATAATAACAAAGTGTTGCCTTTTCCCCAAACAGTTATACTTGTACATTCTTTGATAACTATTTTAGGTTTATAGAAAATTGAGCATGTTGTACATTGTGTTCTCTTTTACCTCCTCCCCCTCACCGCTTACATTTTTTCTTTTAATAACATCTTGCATTACATCAGGTACATTTTTAATAATTAATGAGCCATTATTATTATTAACTGAAGTTTATAATTTACATTAGGATTCGCTGTTAGTGTTGTATCATTTTATGGGTTTTGACAAGTTCATATCATGTATTTACCATTATACTGTCATGCAGAATAGTTTCACTGCCACAAAAATCCCTTGTGCTGTACACATTTATTCCTTACCTACCTTCCCCCAATAAATAATAATGAATCTTATGTTAAAAGGCTTATGAGAAAAGGAATTATGTGAAGGTATCATTAATTTTTATTTTATTTATTTAGTACCTAGCACAATATCTGGAAGAAACATAAATAGTTGATAAATAACATACTATTTAAATGCATAATTGTATCCCTTCACATATCATACATAACATTTTCACATGTTATATTTCACATGAAATATCTTGTATATTTGTGGAAAGCAATCTGAAAGAAGACATGTTTCAAAATATCTTTTGAATATAATTCATAATTCAAAGTAATAATATTTGGAGGCACAAATAAAGATAATAAGAAGACTTTTTTTTGTACTGCCAGCGAGAATTTAGGGGTGCTTAACCGCTAAGCCCCTCCTCCTTTTTTTTTTAGTTGTTGATAGACCTTTATTTTATTTATGTGGTGCTGAGAATTGAACCCAATACTTCACACATACCAGGCAAGTATGCTACCGGTGAGCCGCAGCCTCTGTATTTTTTATTTTGAGACACTAGATAAATTGCTGAGGCTGGCTTCAAACTTGCAATCCTCCTGCCTCAGCCTCTGCAGCTGCTGGGATTACAGGTGTGTGCCACCAGGTCCAGCATGAGAAGACTTTTAAAAATATTTATTAAAAGTATAGCAGTGTGCAGACTGGTTCAAGGGAAAAATTTATTGGAAAAAAACCACCATCTACAATTGTTTTAGTTATATCAAAAAACATTACCGAAACTTCTTTCCAGAACACTTTTAAGAACCATAACCAACAGGCTACTGGCTACTTCTATATTACTTACTCATGGAACCATCAATTAGGTAGCAGAAACAAGTGACATAAAAAGACAAATATGCTCCACATGAAGAAAAGTAACAACCCAATTTAAAAATGGGCCAAAGTTCTGAAAAGACCCCTAACCAAAGAAGATATATATGGCAGATGTGCTTATAAATAGCACATCTATATTCAACTTTATTCATCACTGGGAAACAGCATATAACATAATGAATCTAGTAACATGACTAAAATCCAAAAACCTGATAATACCAAATGCTGGTATGGAGCAAAAGGAGCTTTCATTCATTTGCTTGTGGAAAGATAAATGGTAGTGTCACTTTGGAAGACAGTTCGACAATTTCTTATAAGGCTAAACATAGTCTTATATGATCCAGTGATCATGCTTCTAAGTTTTTATGTAAATTGAGTTGAACACTTACATCCTCACAAAAATCTGAACATGAATACTTATAGCTCATTTATTCTTAATTGCTCCAAATTGAAGCAACTGAAATATCTTTCAGAAGGTGAGTGTATAAACAAAATGGTACATCCATATGATGGAATATTATTTGGCAATAAAAAGAAATGAGCTATCAAGTTATCAGAGGATCTGGAGAAGCATATTTCTTAGGGGGAAATATAAGAGGAGAAAAGGCAATCTAAAAAGGCTAGATACAGATATGACTTAAATTATGAGACATTCTACAAAGGGTGAACTACAGAAACAGTAAAAATATCCGTGGTGACAGCTGTTTTTATGAACAGCAGCAGAATATATCATCTCTTTGTTTCAGTGTAAATAGTGCAGCTCTTTTTTTCACTGAGCTAGATAAAATGAGGACCAAGTGATAAAGAAAATATGGATTGTTGCTTTCTGGTTGCATAATCATGGCAGAACAATAGTGTAGAAATGTTTTTAAGTGTTTCATCTAACACTAAGGAAAATGAAAATGTGCCACAGTTTGAGAAAAAAGAATGTGCAAATTCTAATGGAAACTACTTGAACTGAAAGGAAAATTGGTAGGCAGATAATTTATTAAACAAAGTAATTTACTTTGGAAACCATATTATTTGAAAGGGAAATATTGTTGTAAGGCTTTTCTTCCTTACCTTGAAGAGAACAGAGGATTAGTTTTCACTTGTACAATTAAGTAACTAGGTCTAGTGATCCTAAGCTTCAAAAAACATACTGTTTTAGGGTAATAATGATTTATTTTATTCAGTATACAGTTAGAACAGATAAAAAGTATAAAATAAACCATTTCTTTAGGCTTTCAGTAACCATCTTAAATTTTTATAAACCATGCTCTGCATTACTATTTAGACTGAATCTGAGTTTTAGCTATTGCTTGCTTAATGGAACCCATTGTGATATTCTAAATAACTAATAAAAACTGATCATTTTCATTTCAGGAAAAAAAAAAAAAACTACTTCCAGGTGAGTATGTTGTCAAAAAAAAAAAAAAAAGCAAATCCTATACATTTCTTAATGAAAACAAGAAAAAATGCCTATATGTTCAGAAGTTGAAAGAGAACATTTAATTTTTTTACTGAAATCCAAGGGAGTTTGAATTATGAGACAAGGAACTAGATAGTTAATTAAAAAGGTCCCATTTCTGTTTCTTAATTCCTTAACACAGTTGTTCTAAACTTGATTGACTCACCTCTTAAGTCGTTTATCTCCAGTTTTCAGTGCCAAACACTGTGTAATAAATTAGTCCAAACTTAAACGTATCTTTCTTTTGTTAGACTTACTCACTTGCATTTTAATGTTATTTTGAGTAGATGGGAAACACATGGAGTTAGATAACAAATGAATTGCTGAGGCTGGCTTTAAACTTGCTATCCTTTTGCCTCAGCTTCCCAAGCCACTGGGATTACAGGCATGCACAACAGCAACTGGTTAGTAATACACTTTTGAAAGAGGAATGGATCACAGCAAAATCAGGGAGAAATAAAAAATCCTTAGAAACAAATGAGAATACAGGTACAACATAACAAAATCAAATAGAGGCAGTTCTAGGAGGAACATTTATAGCATTGACTTACTACATTCAAAAAATAGATATCAATGTAGGGTTGATTTAGCATACACAAATCAATAAATGTAACTCACCATATACGTAGAGTTAAGGACAAGAATCACATGATTATCTCATTAGGTGCAGAAAAAACAAACCTCAGCACTCATTCATGTTTAAAATGCTAAAGAAACTAGGGATAGAAGGAATTTACCTCAGTGTTGTAAAGGCTCTCTCTCTGTACAACAAACCCAAAGCTGCCATCATACTGAATGGAGAAAAACTGAAAGTTTTTCCTCTGAAAACAGGAACAAGACAGGAATGTCCGTTCCCACCACTGCTATTTCACACAGTCCTTTAAAATCTAGCCAGAGCAACCAGGCAAGAGAATGAAATTAAAGGGAAACATAGGAAAGGAAGTCAAATTATCTGTTAGTTGATATGATCCTATATCTAAAAGACTTAAAAAAATTCCACCAGAAGACTTTAGAGTCGTTAAAAATTTCAACAAAGTAGAATGATACAAGATCAGTATATATAAATAATCACTGCTGAGAAGGAACCTAAGGAAACTATACCATTGATAATACTCTCAAAAAGAAATACAAATAAAAGAGAATAATTGAAAATATATCTAACCAAGGATGTGAAAAGTCTCTACAATTAAAACTGTAGAACACTGAAGAAAGAAGTTGAAGAAAACTTTAGAAGATGGGAAGATCTACCATGTTCTTGGTTAGGTAGATTAAATATCAAAATGACTGTATAAAAGCATTTTACAGATTCAGTGCAATCCCCATTAAAATAGCAATGGCATTCTTCACAGAACTAGAAAATTTTAGTTTTAAAATTGCATTCTAAAATTCCTTTGGAAGAATAAGAGACCCAGAATAGCCAAAGCAATCCTGAGAAAGAAGAGCAATACCAGACCTCAAATGGTCCTGGGAAAACTGGATAGCCATTTGTCTACATATGTCTTTCACCCTGCACAATCATCAACTCAAAGTAGATATGAATTAGACCAGAAAATCTGCTATTGCTAGAAGAAAACATAGGCCTGACATTCCAACATATAGGCACAGGCACCGACTTTTTTTAACAAGACTTCTAAAGCACCAGAAATATAATCAAGAATCAATAATTTGGATGGCATAAAATTAAAAAACTTCTGCACATCGAAGGATAGAAGAGTCATAAAGAGGAATGAAATAATGGCATTTGCTGATAAGTGGATGGAAATGGACAACAACATGCTAAGTGCAATAACGCATATAACGAAGTCAGGGTCAAATGTTTTTTCTCACACGTGGAAGCTAGACAAAAATAAAGAATAAAAGGAGGGCTCTCATGAGAATAAAAGAAGGATCAGTGAAGTAGAGGAAGGAGATTGTTTGGTCAGGAGGAGGGACAGAAAAGGGGAGGAATAGTGGAATGAAACTGACTGAACTATCCTTTGTACATATATGAGTAGACCACAGTGAGTTGAACCTTTATGTATGTGTATAATGCCCTTTCAAAAACAAACTGAAGTAGAAGAAAGACAGGTAGAGTAGAGGAAAGAACAGTGGGAGTGAGGGGGCTAAAGGGAAAGTACTAGGGACTGAGTTGGAGTAAATTATATTCTATACTTGTACAGTTATATCAAAATAAATTCCAATTATGTATTACTATAATGCACTAATAAATTTTTATAAAGATATGAGCATTTCTCACTTCTTGAAAAGTTTCCTATGTCCCTTTGTCAGTCCATCCCCATTGTTTGCTCCATAAAACTGTTGATGTGCTTTTTGTCAATGTAAATTAATTTTGCCTCTTCAAATTTCTTGTAAATGGAATCATAAAATTGCAAATTTTTTTGTTTAAGGCTTCTTTTACTTAGGATAATTGTTTCTAAGCTTCTTCAATGTTGTTTATATCAGTAGTTTCTTTTTATTGTTGAATAAGAGTCCATTGTGTGCATATAATTCAATTTGTTTATTTACCTGTTTATAGACATTGCATTTTTTTCTGGTTTGGGCTATTAATAATACTTCCATAAGCTTTCATTTATAAGTCTTTCAGTAGACCTATATTATTTCTGTGGACTGTATGCCTGAGAATGGAATTGCTGGACAATAATAATAAGTAAACATTTAACCTTATAAAAGCTCACCAAACAGTTTTGTACTAGACATATGAGAGATCCAGTTGCTCCACATCATTACTAGTAATTTGTATTGTCAGTCTTGTTAATATTATGCATTCTTTTGTCTATGTTAGAGTATCTTCTTGCAATTTTAATTTGTATTTTCTTAAGTAATGATGATCATCATTTCTACTGCTTCATAGTCATTTGTGTATCTTTGGTTAAGTTTGTTCAAATTTTCTTTTTTTTTGACTTACAAGACTATATATTTGGAATACAAGTCCAAGTCCATAGATATCTATCTATACCAACATCTATGTAATATTTTCTGTTTATGGCAAGCCTAATTTTCTTAATAGTATCTTTAGAAAAATAAGCTTTTAATTTTGATAAAGTCTAATTTGTTGTCTCCATTTTTTCTTTTTTAAATTGAATTTATTTTTAATTATTACACAAAAAATTAGAAACAGTACATACTAGCCAGATGTGGTGGTGCACACCCATAATCCCTGATACTTGGGAGGCTTAGGCAGGAGGATCACAAGTTCAGAGCCAGCCTCAGCAGTTTAGCGAGGTCCTCTGCAACTTAGTGAGATTGTCTCAAAATAAGAAATAAAAAGGGCTCTGGATATTGCTCAGTGGTTGAACCCTGGGTTCAATCTCTGGTACCAAAAAAAAAAAAAAGACAGCACCAGAGAAAGAAATTGTACCCACTAATGGGCAATAGGATAATGTCTATTAGTCTATGTGCTTTTTGCTGGTTGATCTGTTTCTCATTCCCATAGAATCATCTAAATTTATGTATCAAAATAATAGTTTTCACAAATTTTATGACGCTTTTGTTCTCAATGCTATTGGGAATAGTAAAGGTTTTTTTATTTTACTTTGCTTTTAAAATAATCATCCACCCACAAAACAGAAACAGAAGTGGATTTATATTCTACATCACTCACATTTGCTTAAGAAGAATATAGAAGCAGAGAGTACCTAATCCAAGAGAAGGAGTAAGAGAGGGATGTTATTATTTATTCTAGTGTACATGTAGATGCCTCATAACACCATTGTATCAGATTAACCCTCTGAATTATACTTCATGGTTTTAAACTTGAAACTGTGATTGCACCTTTCTTTTAAATCTCTAATGATTTTGATCATCAGTTAAATCAGGGCATAACCAGTGAATGCCTTGATTAATATTAGTTCAAAGATCTACATCAACATGTATGTAGTCCTACTTTTGTTAAGGAATGAAGAACTCTCTTTAAAGTAATTTGGCTATATTATTATAACATTAGTTTTGCTACTTCATTACCATAAGCTACTATCTGGAACTTCAAGTGATAGTATGGCCCTGTTTAACTTATATAGTCTCATTTGCTGTGTTATAGGAATTATCACTTGTTGCTGTAGAATGACACAAGTTTTATATGCTGGAAAAAGAAACATAATTTTATATCTAGCAAAACAGAGTTGCTAGCAGAGTCCAGTATTTCTCCTAAGTACGATTAGAAAAGATACAACAGTCCTACCAAGGTTAAAATCACATCTAATACCAGCTGTGGAACCCTGAGTGAATTGTACATTTTCCTCTTTGCCCCATTTTTCTCATCTATAAAATAGGAATGGTAATAGCACCTATCTCACAGAGTTGTGACTGGGTATTTTGGTTGTTTTGTGGTGCTGGGGTCAAACCCAGGGCCTCATGTGATGACAGGTAATGCCTTACCAGTAAGCTACACCCCCAAACGTGTTACAAGGTTTAAATGCATTGGTTTGTTAGAAGATTGCCTGATATTTTCGTTAGCTATTATTATCACTACAAGTACTGTTAGACCTTTCTGAGACTCGGTATACACTTCTATTACAAAAGTTTTGATATTATAAATATAATTAATAATTTGTAAATACAAATGCTGATTTCCAAGCCTTTTCTGTAACTTTGTTAGCATGATAGTAGACTATATTTTATATATTTATCAAAAAGTGTTATACAGAGTACACCTAGTGTGTAAGTGAATAAAATTAAAAGTGAGATCTAATGTATCTAGTCTGTTTTTGAATGAAATCAGCTTTTGCTGTAGCTGTAATTTATTGCTATTTGACTTATTGGAAAATTTTTGTTTCTGAAATTGTTTCTTAGTAGATAAATTGAGTGGTTATTACCAAAGTATATCATTTAATATCTAATATCTTTTTTTTTTTCTTTATGGTGGTGGTGGAAATAGTGCCTCAGTGTGTTTGGAGAATAAATGTGGATATCCCTGAAGAAGCTAATCAGAATCTTTCCTTCAGTTCTGCTGAACGATGGTGGGAACAGACAGATTTGACCAAACTAATCATATCAAACAATAAACTTCAGTCACTGACAGATGACCTTAGACTCTTACCTGCATTGACTGTTCTTGATGTAAGTTGAATATAATTATGTGTTGTTGGTTGAAGAAACTCCAAAGCTAAATTTAGGCTTTGATAAGCAGAAAACTCTTCATGTTAAGTTGATACAGTCAAAGGAAAAATAACATTATTATGTCATGCATTGCATAATGGTTAAGGGTATAAAACATAAGGTTTTAATTCTGACTTTCCCACTTAACAGCCAGTGACTTTGGGAAAGTTGCCTATTTGTGCTTTAGTTTCCATATCTATCAATGAGGAAAGATACTACTGTTTTTAATTATTAGAATTCTCTGTGTTAACACGTACAATCAGTATTGTTGCTTCTACTCATCTTTTTTTCTTATTGTTATATTTTATCATCACTATGACTCTAGACATTAAAACAAGTGTAGTACTTAAGGGTTTTTTTTTTTTTTGTAATTCACTTTCAATCTCACTGACTTAAACTATTAAACTCAAATTTTTATGATTTTTATTAAGGTATTCAGTTTTTAGTCTCTAGTCACTATGTCATGGTAAATTGGAGCATTAATAGTTACTTTAAAGTATATAAACTTCTGGTTTACATAGCAACATCAAAAGTCCTGTAATTCATGTGTGAAAAAGATTGAATGTAAATAGTGAAATTTCTAGAGAAGTTTTTTTTTTTTGTGTGTGTTTATTTGTGAAATGATTGAATTGGCCTACTCCAAGATACTTTCTCCCTTAAAAACAGTATGTTTCTGTGAGAACATGAGAGAAGTTCTTCTCTCCCTTATGTAATTTTTGTATATGTTGACGTAAATAATTTCTTCACCTGTACATGACATTAAAACTCCAATCCATGAGGTGAAGCTTTTTTGTTTTATTTTGGTAATATTTAAAATCAATAACTTATTACTTCATGATTTCTGAGCAGTAGTTGGGTCAGTTTTAAACCCCTTTTCCTCTTCTACACTCAGAACAAATTACAAATAGGTGTCATGTCATTGAATTAGAAGAACAGGGATTATTAGTGAATAATTTTGTATAATTCCAAGCTCATGTGTTGTTAATTATAAGAATAAGAATACTGACTTCCTTTTAATGATTTTAGATACATGATAATCAGCTAACATCACTTCCTTCTGCTCTAAGAGAACTTGAAAATCTTCAGAAGCTTAATGTCAGGTAAAATTTAAGCTTATTTATTTCTAATGTTGCAATTATAATGGTATAGATTTAGTATTCTTTAAAATTATTTTCTAACATTAGAAAATATCATGAGGCTGGGGCATAGCTCTGAGGTAGAACCTGTGCGTAACATCCATGAGGCCCTGGGTTCAGTACCCAGCACCAAAAAAAAAAACAAAAAACAAACAAACAAAAAAACCTTTGTGTTATCTTAGAAAGTAGTTGAATAAGAATTTTAATTTCTTTTTTTAATATTTATTTTTTAGTTATAGGTGGACACAATGCCTTTATTTTATTTTGTGGTGCTGAGGATCGAACCAAGTGCCTCACGCATGCTAGTCAAGCGCTCTGCCTCTGAGCCACAGACCCAGCCCTTTACTTTTAATTCTTAATTAGTTGTCCTTTTTAAAAAGATGGGTTTTGCTATATTCTCCAGGTGGTCCCAGAACAGCTGTGCTCAAGCAATTATCCTGACTTAGCCCCATGTAGCTAGGACTATAGATTAGCCCCTCTGCTCTCAGCAGAGCATTTGTCTTTGTGTTTGGTTTTAGAATTCCCTACATGTTTTCTGGTTTTATGAATTTAAGGCCAGTTGATTTAAAATAAATGTTTTTGACTTCTTACCTAGCATGTGCAAAGCCCTGGATTCAGTCCCCATTACCAAAAAAAGAAAGTGTTTTATGTTTATGAGATAATATAAAAAGATTCAGGTCATATCAAGTTTTAAATTACTATCACGACCCATATGAAGTTTACTCACTTTCCCCAAGTTAGGGCAGTGAGTCAAATTAGAAATATTAAAAGTATGAGAAATTTAAGAAATAAGACCAAACATGAAAATAAGTAAAAGAGCAGAATTCAATTAGGACCAACTTTGATGGAGACTGGGTCTAACTCCCCAAAATGAAGTCATTTAAATGAATGGGAACACCACTGGGATTCCGAGTAAAGAACTTCCTGAAGAAACAGGAAGAAGATAGTAGAAACAATTCCTCTGGATGTTAGCAGGTTAGGCCCACCTCCTGTACCTCAGGGGCAGCTGCTTTTGAACCTAGGGCTGTTAGCTAAGGCAGGGCATCAGCATAATCTGGCGTTATCTAACAGGGAATTTCACTTAGGAGCTCCAAGGAAAGCAACCTCCCTGCCTTGTTATGGCTCAAACAAGCCCATAATTCATACACGGGCTCCAACAAATTACCTCTATATTCTAGAAAGTATCTAGACAATAAAGAAGAGTTATTTATTAATCAATTCCTTTATTAATGCTGAAGAATTTTCTGGTTGTTTTGTGTGTGTGTGTGTGGTGCCTGAGATCAAACTCACACATGCCTCACACATGCTAGGCAAGTTCTCTACCACTAAGCTAAATCTCCAGCCCTCAGGGTTTTTAATATTAGCAGTTTTTAAACTTTTCCAAGGACCCCTTGTGTTCCATGCATGTTTCTGGTACTGTCATTGGCAGATAGGATGCTAGGTGGCTGAGGCTCTAAATGCTTCCTCCCAATTAACACCCAGATTTATAAGAAAGAATATCTTTGCCCTGTCTGTTATATAGACATAGATTAAGAGAAAGAAGTTAGGGGAGATTTCATTTAGGAAAAGAAACAAAAGGTTCTTTAAAACGTAGTTTGAAAAACTGGTTATAAAACAGATATGGTTATAGATCTATTTAACACAGTATAGTCAGTTCTGTTTTCTAGTGGTAAGTTAACTGGTTTGAGGGAAACAGTCCCTAAAATAACAGTCCTCATTTGGTGAAAAACTTGAAATTACCATAAATCAGAAAAACTATCTACACCTGATGGGCTGTGGATCAGTGGTAACGCACTTGCCTGGCATGTGTGAGGCACTGGGTTCGATTCTCAGCACCACATATAAACAAATAAAGGTCTATCAGCAACTAAAAAATAAAAAAACAACTATCTACACTTGAAAAGGTGCTAATTGTTTAGATATGCATCAGAGGATCTTCCTCTTATAAGTCAAAAGTATAGACAGAGCTTGCAAGGACAAGAGTGAGGAGTATTAAGCTTGGGGGGCGGTCAGCTTTAGATTCGAAAATGTTAAGTATATGAATTTCAAGATGGAGGAAATATATAGCTAGAATTACATCTTTTCCCATCTCAATCTTTATCAAATATACCCAGACTTCAGCTACATAACCTAGAATAATAACCAACTTTTAATAGTCTTACTCGTTCTTATTTTAGAAAACAAGAACGAATGGCTCGTTTTGGCTTTTTTGTTGTAGCTAGTTTTTTTTTTTTTTAATGTAATTTAAGGTTATTATACAGCCCCTCATATTTCTATTTCCCCCTGTTAGTGCATGAAGTAACTGTGTCATGATAGTAGAGTAGAATTCATAAGTGAATAATGAAGTTGTGATAAATTTGGGAATCTCTTCATTTCTCTCTTAATAACCAGGGAACATATCATCCTCAGTGATGTGGGACTTCTCCTAAATCAGTAAACTGAGTATCTCTAGAGAAGGGTACAACTGAAAAGTTCAGAGTGGAATTGACATGTCAGGCCCTCAAACAGAACTAGATATTTTTGTCTTGAATGCTATGTTTACAACCTTACCTCCATATAAAATATAACTCTTCTGTAGGGTGTGGGTAAATGTACACAAGTCAGATACAGTATAAAAAGTTACAATAAGTACAAAAAGTAAGAGTACAATAACCCAGTGCCTCACACATGCTAGGCAATTAAGAGTACAATAAGTCCTTTCATGATACATGTAAAATTAAGTTGACTATAAGCAAGAAATTAGAAGTTCACTGATTATATGTTTATTTAGAAACTTTATTTCTTTAAGATTCTAATTTGGTTACTTTAGATTACTGTTATTTTAATGAGTATATATTTTTGGAAAGTGAATTTTGATAAGTACTTAAAATTAATAACCATGTCTTATTTTTCTAACAGGTTCACATAGTTGATTAGCAAGAATGTCTTTGATAAATATCTATTGTGTTGTTTACTAAATTATTCAGCATTTATTTTATCAATCAATAGCCATAACAAACTGAAAATGCTCCCTGAAGAAATTACAAATCTAAAAAACCTGAAAGGCCTGTACCTCCAGCATAATGAACTAACTTGCATACCAGAGGGATTTGAACAACTTTCCAATTTAGAAGATTTAGTAAGTTGTGATTTTCTGATTTTGTACTATTGTGGCTGGTGGGATTTTTTCATCAGACTGAGAAATGTGATATGATTGAAATTGTGGGACCTGGATGGCTGATTTTATGATTAGGTTATCAGAAATTGTGTATTTCAATTAAATTGCTAAATCAATAATTGTGAACTTGTTTTTCCTATGTTATTAAATCAACTTCAAGTTATAACTCAGGACTAGAGTTTGGAAAAAAGCAAAGAAGGTGACTATTCAGAGACTTATATCTTAGAAGGAAGTTGTCTTTAGCATATATCAATTTTCTTCTATCCCTATACTGCTTTTTTTGTTGTTGTTGTTGCTTTAATGTATTTTTTATTGTAGATGGACACAATACCTTTATTTATTTACTTTTATGTGGTGCTGAGGATCGAAACCAGTGCCTCACACGTATTAGGCTAGTGCTCTACCACTAAGCCACAACCTCAAACCGCCCCCAATACTGTTTTTGTTCTTTATGTTACCTATGGCCCAGCCCTGTGAGTATCTAGATAATCCCTTCAAAACATGCCTTTTCCTCTCTATTTTCCAAAATGGCCATATTTCCTACTAAAACTTTTATTTTACGTTTTACTTATCCTTAATAGAGATAATGATAAAGCAAAAGAAATAGTATTTTAATCATATTATTAATAATAAAAACAATAAGAACTTTGCTTCGTGTTTTACATATGGCAAGCTAAATAGTTCTATCCCTTAATATATTAAGAAACTGAGAAAGTGCATCCCTTTTTCTGCAGTTTACCACCAAAGGAATAAGACTCTACTGTAAAGTATTCCATCTTAAAGAATTTAGTCACATCAAATGAGAGGTTCTCATATATGTTATGTATTCTAAATAGTTATTTCCTATTGCATTTTGGTTCTTTTCCCTTTTACATGTTTCCAACAGTTCATTTGTGTCATGTTAACCTTAAACTTTCTCACTAAAGTAGAAATTAATCCTTTTACTTCTATTTATTCTGTAAGTACAACCTCCTTGATACTCTCCTCAATTGCTCTAGTGTTTGAAAACAAAAATATACATGTCCAAGCTATTCTTTCAACATTTTGTTGTTGTTCAGTCTGGTCAGATTGGAAATTAGATTACAGAATAAAAAGGCATATGTAGATAAAATGAATGAGAGAAGGGGACTATCAGATTTTCTTATAAATTTTTTAAAATTTTATAAATATTAAAAGTAGTTGATATTTAAAAAGCATACATTAGAGTTAAAAGCTGGCAAGAAACTTTATAATAAATGAAGTTTCCTAGTTCTGCTTTATGGGTTCTCAGTCATTTGCATAATAAAATTTTCCTTTGATAATTGTGTTCTTAAGGACTTAGTGTCAAATAAATCATGAATATGGAAAACAACATATTAAAACAGATTAAAATGAGAAATACCTGTGACCATTTAAATTACTAATATTAACATTATAAAAACTGCTTAGCCCAATGGCACTAAATAAATATTTGTTGAAATAATACTGGCATAAATATGGATTAGTGTATAAATAGTATACTTATGTTTTATGCCTTTACCAACTACAATAATTTAATGTTTTATTTTATCAGTAATACGTTGTAGAATTTAGAAGGAACGGAATAACTTGGCATAAATATGGATTAGTTTATATATGGCCATACTTATGTTTTATATCTTGCTACAGTAATTAAATACTTAATTTTATTAGTAATTCCATTTAGAATTTAGAAGGGATTTTTATTAGAATGATTGGGGTTTTTTAAAATGCTTTCAGAATCGCTGGGCTTGGTGACACACACCTGTAATCCCATTGGCTAGGGAGGCTGAGGCAGGAGGATTGTGAGTTCAAAGCCAGCATCAGCAGTATCAAGGTGCTAAGCAACTCGTGAGACCTTGTCTCTAAATAAAATACAAAATAGGGCTGGGGATGTGGCTCAGTGGTCAACTGCCCCTGATTTCAATCCCTGGTACTCCCCCCCCAAAAAAATGTTTTGAGAATTTTTGAATTAATTTGTCAGCAATTATTTTTTAAGTTTTTCATTTTAGAAAACTGTTAGATTTATTATAGTTGTAAATATATGCCCTTTAACCAGCTTGTCCTAATGTTAACATTTGTATAGTTATGAAACATTTGTAAAAACTCAAAAATTCATATTGGCATAATTCTAACTATAGATTTTAATTCATTATTTCCCTAGTTTTTTTTTTTTTAAACTACTCTTTTTATTCCAGGTTCTAATCCTAATCCCATTCTATTTAATTTCTGAAACTTTCAATAAAATATAATATTATTAGCAAGCAATTCCTTGATTTTTATTTGAGAATTAGAGTTGTAGATTATATTGTTATATGTTGTAGATTATTATAGTGTTATATTAGTAAATTTTTGTAAAAATGAGCTGATTCAGCTTTTTACTGTTTTCTATCTCTCAATTTATTCAGTTACAGAATACAGTTGTTTAATATTTGACTTATTGAAAATCTTCATAGCTATTTTAAGTCATTTTTTTCTTATTCATTCTTACCATTGACCCTACCTAACATTTTGCTGATAGAAAATGGAACATTTTACACTTAATTCAAGTGTTATAAGAACTACCTGATTTATAACATTGTTTTTTAAAGGATGTTTTAAAAATAGTTCTCTCATTTAAAGAAAAAAGAGAAACTTCAAAATTTAAAGAAACATTGAAGTATAGAGATAAATTAAGCTAGCTCGAATGCATCAAAAGTAAAGACTTCTATCTTGGCAATGTAAACTTCCGAAGTCAGCAGAACCAAGAGAATATATTTTTTGTCAGAAATTGAAATGACCACTTTTTCCACTTTGTTTTTCTTTCTTTCAGGAACTTTTCTATCTTGCAAAGATGTCTTTCATTTGTTATTATGGGTTACCAATAATGTACCTAATTCATTCAATAGAAGGACAAAAGACATTTATGCATTGCAAACATAACATGATATATTGTGCCTTAGTTTTAATAGTAACCTTTATGTTAAATATTTTTTTTTAATTTTTTATTGTTGGTTGTTCAAAACATTACAAATTTCTTGATACATCATATTTCACACTTTGATTCAAGTGGGTTATGAACTCCCATTTTTACCCCATATACAGATTGCAGAATCACATCAGTTACACATCCATTGATTTACATATTGCCATACTAGTGTCTGTTGTGTTCTGCTGCCTTTCCTATCCTCTACTATCCCCCCTCCCCTCCCCTCCCCTCCCCTCCCCTCTTCTCTCTCTACCCCCTCTACTGTCATTCATTTCTACTCCTTGCATTATTTTTCCCTTTCGCCTCACTTCCTCTTGTACGTACTTTTGTATAACCCTGAGGGTCTCCTTCCATTTCCATGCAATTTCCCTTCTCTCTCCCTTTCCCTCCCACCTCTCATCCCTGTTTAATGTTAATCTTCTTCTCCTGCTCTTCGTCCCTACTCTGATCTTAGTTACTCTCCTTATATCAAAGAAGACATTTGGCATTTGTTTTTTAGGGATTGGCTAGCTTCACTTAGCATAATCTGCTCTAATGCCATCCATTTCCCTGCAAATTCTATGATTTTGTCATTTTTTAATGCAGAGTAATACTCCATTGTGTATAAATGCCACATTTTTTTTATCCATTCGTCTATTGAAGGGCATCTAGGTTGGTTCCACAGTCTTGCTATTGTGAATTGTGCTGCTATGAACATCGATGTAGCAGTGTCCCTGTAGCATGCTCTTTTTAGGTCTTTAGGGAATAGACCGAGAAGGGGAATAGCTGGGTCAAATGGTGGCTCCATTCCCAGCTTTCCAAGAAATCTCCATACTGCTTTCCAAATTGGCTGCACCAATTTGCAGTCCCACCAACAATGTACAAGTGTACCCTTTTCCCCACATCCTCGCCAGCACTTGTTGTTGTTTGACTTCATAATGGCTGCCAATCTTACTGGAGTGAGATGTTATCATAGGGTGGTTTTGATTTGCATTTCTCTGAGAGCTAGAGATGGTGAGCATTTTTTCATGTACTTGTTGATTGACTGTATGTCCTCCTCTGAGAAGTGTCTGTTCAGGTCCTTGGCCCATTTGTTGATTGGGTTGTTTGTTTTCTTATTGTCTAATTTTTTGAGTTCTTTGTATACTCTGGATATTTGGGCTCTATCTGAAGTGTGAGGAGTAAAGATTTGTTCCCAGGGTGCAGGCTCCCTATTTACCTCTCTTATTGTTTCTTTTGCTGAGAAAAAACTTTTTAGTTTGAGTAAGTCCCATTTGTTGATTCTAGTTATTAACTTTTGTGCTATGGGTGTCCTATTGAGGAATTTGGAGCCCGACCCCACCGAATGTAGATCGTAGCCAACTTTTTCTTCTATCAGACGGCGTGTCTCTGATTTGATATCAAGCTCCTTGATCCATTTTGAATTCACTTTTGTGCATGGCGAGAGAAAGGGATTCAGTTTCATTTTGTTGCATATGGATTTCCAGTTTTCCCAGCACATTTGTTGAAGATGCTATCCTTCCTCCATTGCATGCTTTTAGCCCCTTTATCAAATATAAGGTAGTTGTAGTTTTGTGGATTGGTTTCAGTGTCCTCTATTCTGTACCATTGGTCCACCCGCCTGTTTTGGTACCAGTACCATGCTGTTTTTGTTACTATTGCTCTGTAGTATAGTTTGAAGTCTGGTATCGCTATACCGCCTGATTCACACTTCCTGCTTAGCATTGTTTTTGCTATTCTGTGTCTTTTATTTTTCCATATGAATTTCATGATTGCTTTCTCTATTTCTACAAGAAATGCTGTTGGGATTTTGATTGGCATTGCATTAAACCTATAGAGAACTTTTGGTAATATCGCCATTTTGATGATGTTAGTTCTGCCTATCCATGAACAGGGTATATTTTTCCATCTTCTAAGATCTTCTATTTCTCTCTTTAGGGTTCTGTAGTTTTCATTGTATAAATCTTTCACCTCTTTTGTTAGGTTGATTCCCAAGTATTTTATTTTTTTTGAAGAT